ACACACACACACACACACACACACACACACACACACAACACAGTGATTCTGCGATGGGGATTTGAACCACTAACTTCAGAAATGGCAGCAAGTTACTATTCTGTGAATTATTGCCCCATGATGGTGGGCAGTTACTGTCCTTAGCAATGCATCGTCCTCTGGAGCAGCAATTGAGCTTGTAAAATCGAGCGAGTGTAAGCACAAGCACATGTGACGTCGGAGCATTTTTGCCACAGGCAGCGAAGTTGGGAAAAATTAAAACTGGTTCTTTACGTCTACAGCCAAATACTGAAAACGGAGAATTCGCTAATCTCCACTTTGGTCAGTTCTTTTTTTTTTTTTTTAAACTGCTTTTGTTGTTGTTTATCTTCATTTTCATGTGGATAACTGACCAAACCATAGAAAACATCTTTGTTTTGTGGGATTCGCATTTATGTGTGTACAGGGTGTGAGTTTGACTCTGCTAGCTTAGAAAAATCCACTTTTTTAGGAAGTCGGTTCATGCAGAACGGAGTAATGAAACCAGCAGCAAAGAGGGAAACGATGAACCACTACCAGCAGAACAGCAGTTCACTTAAGATCTATAATTACCACACGGTTTCATAGACGTACTTCGGTTTCAAGCAGACACAACAGCTCTTGTCACAACAGCAGGTCCCTGTGATTTGATATAAATGGTATATTTGACCTGCTCCAGTGGCAGCTGAGTCCAGGTGAAATATACGGCACAGATGAATGACGGGATAATCCCGGTGCTCATGAATCCCATATATCTTTGCAACAAAGGGTGGTGGATTAAAAGTACGTTTTAATCCCGGAACCAACATTAAAGCAGGTCGTAATTCGGCATGCCCACAGGGCGTTTTGATGATGGCTTGGGTGAACAGGCTAAAAGAGAAGCCACACAGAACGTAGGTGCCACCTGGGAAAAAAAGAATAAATGTTTTTAATGCATAGTGGGTGAGTCACTGACATTTCACTCTGGTACACACCTGAGCACGGTACAGTATGTGTGACTGTTCTAGAGGAAGAGCTCAGAGCTAGACCAACTAGTTTTGCATAATGAGGAAATGGCCAGAAGGGGCCTGTTATTAAAACAACACTAAAACTATGAACAGATGCAAGCCGTGCACTACTGTTGCAGGGTTTTGTTGTCAAAGCTGAAGTTGGGTAAATCTCTGTTAAAATGTGCTTCTTAGCTTTCTCCTTTCTGTTTCTGACAGGGAGACTCGGCTTCCTCCAAGTATGGGACAACATTCAACGGAAGAGATGATGCTCCAGTTAAAGATTCCTTATCGATTTCTGGAATCTTAACGTCAGTTTTGACCATCCTTTATAGACCGAAGAGCTGGACTCTCTGTGGAATATTCTCCAGATCGCCTGATTTCTTTTTTAGATTTTGATTATTTCACCTGACATACAGAAATATTTTCTAATCTGGAAGTTTACAAGTCTTGACAAGGAGAAGATCAAGTTGCAAGGATAATTCTAGTAGGTATTTATCACACAGAGGAGTCGACGGCAGCATTCTTGCACCTATCGCCATGCCAGACGAGTTCCAAAGCTTTCAGGACAAGTCGAGGCCTGGAGGCGAGGCGTCACAGGCGTCCTTAGTGCCTAACGTTGTTGTCATATCCAGCAATGGGAAGGGCAAAAGTGATTTTTTGCAGCTTGATGACTTCAGTCACGCAACAAAGGGCCCCGCACAGCCTGCATACAGCAGTGGCAGAAACGTTTTAAAAGAAAATAGCAGCACAACTAAGCCCCCAGGTGAGAGCAGGTCAGGACTTGGTGGGTCCCCAGGTTCTGTACAGATGGGTGAGGTGAAAACTGCACATGCTCCTGAACCCCTCAAGACCGTTTCTGTGTTCAAGGGGAGAGAATTGACTCCACAGAGGATGGATGATGCTGCTCCAGTCAGCCTGTCCTGTGAGAATGGCAGCAGCACTTCACTGCAACTGAACAGCGGCACCGATTCGGACTACGGCAGCACAAAGTCCGACCGTTGTAATGCACGCACTAGTTTCAGCTCCGACATTGGGGATGAAGATTTTTTAGAGCTTGATGGAAAGGCGTTTGAGAAGACCAGCTCCATCTCTGCTGTCAATCTGTCTGAATCCAGTTTAGATGTTTCTAAATCAAATAAAGTCGCCAAAGACCGCCCCGGCGATAACAGAGACCTTCAGTTTTCAGAATTGACTGATAAATCCAATGTTGGGTGCAGCTCCTCTGGATTTCCAGACGTTTCCTTCCAAGTTAGTCAAACCAGAGACAGCATAGATGTCAGGTCATCTGTGCAGGATGAAGACGATGACGGACAAAGCACTCGGTCCAGGCGGAGTGTGAGAGAGGGGTTGTGTTGTTGCTATCAGACCACCAACAGGGCTTTCCTTCGATGTGTTGAAGAGACCCCAGCCATGTTGTCTGGTCTGGTGCTGTCCTTGATCTTCTGTGTGGTCATCATCGTCGTCATTCCTACTACAAGGGTGAGTTTGCATGCACAAAATAACTTCAACACTCATGTTTCTTGTTGCTTGTTGCAATGATCAGTTAACAGTAAAGCAAAAATCCTGAGAAAACAGTTTGAGCTATCGACTTTTCGAATATACGCAACTCCAGTCCTCTTTTTTCAGGCTTTTCCCCTACGTTGCACCTCTAGATTACAGAAACTCCCACTTGTTCATGCAGGATCAGTTTTACGTTTTCCACCCGTTGTTTACACCTTTTCTACCATATTTCCTAGCATAACACACCTATGTAACAGTATAACATTTTAGCATGCTAGCTATTTGGTGTGGAGTTTTTATGGTCAAAATTAAGGCCGTGTTTAGCTTTCGTGGTTTACGCTTCACTTAAAAGTCACAGCAGCTCAGCACCAACAATCTGAGGAAACCCTAAGAACAACTGGTCAAAACTTCCAGATGCCAAGGTAACAAACTGACAGACGGCTCTACCAGTGGGAAAAGGACAGGCTGCGTTCACAGGCAACAGGTCCGTCACCTAAACGTTTCTCAACAAGAACGGAACCAGACTTAACAGGACGTGTAAAACAACTTCTTAAGTGCAATTTGCAAACAGAAAGTGACATTCCATCGGTAAGGGCGCAACGGATCATCCTTGATCCGTACGAATCTCTCTCTACAATTTGGCATGCACGCGGTTCGCGGATCGGTCACGGAGAGGGCGGAGGCGCTACCTGTTCAAATGAGAAATGCACAGCGGTGGTCATGGCGGAGGATGAAAAACCACCTGCATCCTTTAAGTCACCTGTATGGGAGCATTTTGACTCCCCTGTAAAATATTACGATGATACAAATGGCAAAAATTAACAGGCGCACGTATCTCCAGTCTGACGGTGCAACGCCGCTCACACATATCTCCGGTCGCTGTGGTGGTGGTGGTGGTGCATGAAACATGCCTCGGACATAACATAAACCTGGTGGGACCTGTAAACAGTGCTGGACAAATCTGTAAAATAGGACAAAAGAAAAATAAGCAGTGCACCAGAAAGGTGAGGGGATGAGTGAAAGCTGAATGCGAAGGGACCTTTTAACATTTATTGGGCAAGCCATTTTAACATTTAATCAGCGATTGGACCTCTGTCTAACTCCTGCTTTTATAGCAAGTTACAAATTGAGCAGAAATATTGCACTAAGTGTTCTAAAAATAAAGAGACAGAGAGAGCAAAGCTATTTGGTCTTTTTCTTTCTGCTTATCCAATAAAAATGATCCAATCCGTGACTGAAAACCTTGAGCCGAACCGGGAAATTTTTGATCCGTCGCACCACTATCCGTCGGTGATGCTAGCTAGCCTAACTCAGGCTTTGCTTTCTGTTCACCTGTGTCAAACCGAAAAGAGTTGGGAGAGGCAGTCAAAGCACAGTTTGATGAGCAGATATGGTCAAATCATGAACAGGATGTTCCAACTGATTGGATTTGGTTTTTCCAGGATTGTACATTTCAGAGGCGGTTAAAATTATTTTTTCCTTTGACAAAACATTGAATATATTGGTTGCCATTATTGGTATGTGAAGTAAATTTCTAACAAAATGGCAAAAATACTCCAGAAAAAGATCTCAAACTAAACAGTAAATAAAAACAGAGAATGAATGCATATTGCACAGCATCTCTCATGTCACAGATCAAAACCTAGATCAGTGATCCCCAGCTCCCTTCCCCGAGGGCCAGTGTCCTTATGTAACAGTTTAATTTGTTCTTGAAACAACTAAAATAAGTGTAACAATTTAATTGTTACACTTATTTTAGTTGTTTCCCTGATCCAACACACTTGATTCACCTGTTCAGCAGCTCATCAGGCTCTGCAGAAGCCTGTTGATCACCTGCTAATTAAAACCAGGAATGTTGAAGCAGGAACAGTAAGACATGCTGGATACCAGCGCTCTGGAAGGAAGTTGGGGATGACTGCCTTAGATCAGGTTATGTTGAATGATTATTTCCTAAATCTCTTAAATGAGTTACAAAAAGCAACTGTAACCAGTCGTGGTTGACGGTAAATACGCGTTTAATCTCCATGTCTCTGTAGACAGGATCAAAAAGAGAGCATTGCTGGAAATTGTTTTGCAGCCAACCACAGAGACGGCGTGAAAGTGAAGCATTAAACCAGTTTTCCCTGAACACCAGAACATTCTTACGCTTCGATTTAAGAGTCTGTGTGACTTCTCATCTTTCCACCACAGCGGAGCACATGACAACAGTTCAAACAGTGTAGAAGTTATCAGAACTGACGTGCGTATGAAAAGGCCGTTTGTGACGCCCTCACTCTGTTTATATGGATTTTAAATTGGAGTTCAGTGAAGCATGAAAACGGGAAGAAAAATAAACTCTTAATCCTTTCGATTAGATTTTTGACTCATAGTGCGTAGAGTTTTAGAACGCTTCTTTTATATTTGAGCAGCTTATCTTGTGATTCACGTGCACTTCCTCAGAAACGGAACCAGCCGTCACACCTACTCAGACCTGCAGACGGGACTGGTTGTTCTGTGGTGACACCACATGCTGTTTTGTTCATGTTTGGATCAAAGCGCTGTAACAGACTAGGATTGTATCCTCATTAGACTTTTCTGTTTGCTGTTATAAAGCAGTGTTGTGTTTGCGTGGCTCTGGGTGTTTCAGCTGTGCGTAGCAACAGAAGGATCCTGGACAAATGAGAATCAATACCAGCGTGTTTTTACTTATCTATTCTCTTCACTGCAAATCTGGAACCATTTAAGATATCTGAAAAAGTATCAGAAAGCAGATAAATTGTGCTTTTAATACCATTAATCACAGCCCCCAGGACTCCTGTGATTGGAACTCTAATTACAGCCAAGAGTGTCACATGAGATTCTCAGTACTTTAACTCCTGGATGCTCTGAAAGTAGACAATGATAGCTTCTTTCCACAGAATTGTGTAATTACGCTGGTCCTCACGGCAAAGCTAACTCGGTTGAGCCTGTTTATAATTATGGTAATAATCAGAGAGTTGAACTTTCCACGCCACGCCCCCCGTTTGGAAGAAACTAGTCCACGATGCCACCTCCTCTCATCAGCACGCCTTTTTAATCTCCAAAAGCGATAAACTCCTACACTTCATCAGCTCCAGCTCGTGCACCACCTCAGCAGCGAGGAGTGGATTCCCTCTTGTACTGCGTGGCCATCTTGTTGCCGTGGAAACACAATTTGTGTAACAAAAAAACAAAACTGAGTCATGACATTACTTTTTATGACTTGAAAAATAAAATAAAACAAAATAAGAGCTCACTCATAATTTACTCATTCACGCCAAAAATGTTTCTAACTCGACTCTGATGTTAAAGCAGAGGCTGTGTCTCAATTCAGGGTCTGCATCCTTCGAAGGACCCAGCCCACCCGGCCGACGTGGGCTGCGTCCTCCGTCGGCCGGGTAGACCGGATGTTAACGGCTGTGAATTTGGACAGGCCTAGCCTTCATGAACTCCCTCGGCGAACGTTCCGTCGCCTAGCAACCGTGGAACCGCTGGGCAGAAGGAACCTTAAACGATGGAGCTCGACGTTTTATTTAGCTTTTTAACCCCCAGAAACCCAAATTTAGAAAACAACTGCAAAATATTTTTAACCTTTCACATGTTGTTCTAGGAGGCCAGATAAACGGGCCTATTTACACATTTTAACAGCCAATAGTGTTGCAGAACTGAATAGGACCTATTAGCAATGTAAATGTGGTTTTAAAAAGAAAAAAAATGGGGAAGGTTTATTTTTGTAGACTTAAATCTGATGTTGTGATACTACAACCGTGGGTCTCTGGGGGTTAATCATTTCCTTGACTGTTGGAGAGCTAATTCAGAGAAAATACTTTAGACTAGCTGAGCCTGAGCAAAGATGTGATAATAGTTTTTAATACTTTCTAAGGGTCTTAATTTGACCAAAACCGATTTATCACCTTTTAAGACTTTTCAAGACCCAGCGGATACCCTCTAGTAAACAATTCTCATTTGTAAACAAAAATAAAATTCAAGAGTTTAATGCAGAACTGATTTTATTTAGATATTTCTTTTACATGTACATGTTTAATCTTCATTAACCATTTTTTTCTAGCAAAGTAAAAAGCTGTCAAAGTTCTTCCTTCTCTCCTGTGCTCTCTGCTGCTCTGCAGCCTCATGTCCTCCCAGATCAGCTCCAGAAGCTCATCGCTGGCACCTTCCCCTGGATGCCCATTTTCTCCAGAATAGTCTTAACAAACATGTAAGAAAAGAAACAGGAAGAGAAAAGAGGACAACGGGTTATTCCTTTCATGTTTTCGCAGAAAAAAATATACTCAAACGAGTTTTTAAAATATGAGATGTTGTTGTACCTCCATGCCACAGCCGCCGAATACTTTGCTCCGGTGATCATGTGGTCCATCTCCGCCCTAAGCTTAATAAATTCCCTGGTTTTCTCTTTTGGTCCTAAAATACAAACTTCTATTAAAATCAGGGGGAAACGTAGTGGGAGAAGTACGACACCGAGCGCGGCCGAACATACGAGCCGAGACCGCAATACAAGCACTTTTACTGTAACATTTCTAACTAAAATAATGTTCATGTATCACAAAAAGTCCTTAAACTGACAGTTTTCAAGTTTATACTTACATTTATATGCGCAATCCTCTCCGACAGCTCCCGCTTCACTGTCCGCCATTGTTTTTAAGTTTTTCTGCCGGCCGGCCCGCAAGGCATCTTGGGAAATGCTACCTATTGAAGGATACACCCGACCCATCCTTCATTCAGGCGAAAAGAAGGCCGCATTCGTCGACCGCATTTGAAGGAGTCTTCGAATTGGGACAGGCCGAGTCGCGGCGCTGTGACGTAACCGGCCGACGAATCCGGCCGAGGTAGGATGCAGACCCTGAATTGAGACACAGCCAGAGACAGATCGGGCTTTGTCCACCGTGTTGGTTTCAAAACAGAACAGTGGAGAGCGCCATCTACTGACGGGAGTCCAACTTGACTGATGCACGCACCAACTAGTGGTGTAGAGGGGAAACTTGTTTTTTCAGATGACACATTTGACGTTCTCGTTCACTAATTTTTTTTAACTGAACTTGCTGTTGTGTCTTGTATAAATGAGTCATTTTCTGTGGGAAAAAAAAGCTCTGGCACTCTTATTTCAGGAAGTAGAAGTTAATCGGAGCAATGGGAGTGGAAAAAGGTGGGATTTTACTCATCGATGTTCATGAACCATCTCTCTGATTGGCTAACAGCAACACAACTCTTCCGCTGTCTTTGTTTAGTAAAAAAAATCAATGTTTATGTTTTATCTCCATTAATAACACAAGCCTGAAGGAGTTCTGCCATGTGGAGTTCCTATATGCTAACAGTTAGCATTTTAACAGCCATGACGCGGTCCACGCTCTCCTTCTTGCGTTCACAAGCCAAGGTGAACTAATTTTCCCCGTGACGTAGAAGAGACTGGCGTTTTCCCATCTATTCCCTGTCTGCAGCTGATGCAGGTGAGAGGGGTGGAGGAAAACGTTCCCGTTCAGCACACACACGAAACCTTAGATATTTAAGAAAGAGCAAGTTAACACGGTTTCTTGGTGATCAAGAACTTTAAGAAACAAAATGTTGACCATGAATCATGGTCCTCATCATTAACAGCTAAGGGCGGATCACATTGATTCTTTATTGGTCTCTTAAGAAGAAACCATTTCGTCACAACAGCAGGTGCAAAGGGCAGGAATATACAAAATCTGAAACGGTACCCAATGAGAACATAGTGAGATAAAATGCTGATTATAAATGAATCAAAAACAGAATGGAGAGTTGAGTTAAAACCACCTGCATTAAATTAAATTAGTGCCGTCTATAATGTGTTTTAAAGCCCAACTGATTCTAATGTGTCTTCTTTAGCTGGATCAGTTATAAACACATTACCCACCTGTCTGAAATGATGCTTTCATGCTAATGAAAAAAAGGCATTTTAATACTAGTCCCTAAATGTTGAGCGTCCTTCTTTAATATCGTCAAGAGATGAATCAAAACGGGTCAGTGCCTATTGGGTAAAAGGTAATGCTTTTTTAAAATGTCATTATAATGTAGCATCATTAGTTCTGATGTGGCTGCAGATCAAACTTACCTTGAATTTAGCCACAGCTTCAGGAAATGCACTGACTACTGTTATTATTATTATTATTATTATTATTATTATTATTATTATTAATAATATTACTGTTGTTGTTGTTGTTGAAGCCTCAGGAAGTGAACCAGCATGTTGCTGCCCTGGCGGTGGTATGTGTGGTTCTCTGCCTGAGTGTGCTCCTTTTGGTCTGCCTGCCCTGGCTGGCCACTATGAGGCGCTGTGGAGGAGCTCTGGCCCTCTTTGTTTGGGGAACTCTTTACATCACCGCCATGGTCTTCGTCTTCACAGGGGGGGCTGTGACGGCATGGGAACAAGTGAGAGGAAGCAAAACGAATCAAATTGACGTTTTTAGGAAACCGTCTCCTGACTTGGATTCTGGTTTTCCAGGTGGCATTTTTCCTCTTCCTCTCCCTGAGCGTGTACACCGTGTTGCCCCTGTCTCTGGCCTGGGCCCTCATGGTTGGGATTGGGACCAGTCTTTCACACATCATCATCATCAGTGTTTTTGTCACCATCAAGAGCCCAAACACACCACAGTTGGCTGAGCAGGTAAAAACCTACCAATAAACAAGACATCTTTATGTTTTCATGTGATAATAATCACAGTTTTAGGTAATATTAGAGATAGATGTTGGTGAAAGTTACAGTTTACCTGTCCATCTAAAGACATGTGACGTTGAGCTCAGGCCAGCTTTTAGTTTCTCTGGAAACATGTAAATGTTCTGTAACATTTGTTACTGTTTCACACAGAGATCCTAAAATAGCTGGAGTGTAAACACATATTTGTTTAACAGGTTTCCATGCTTTACTTTTCATCAATGCAAGTTCAACAGAAACATTTCAGATGTGGAGTCATCTCATTTTTATATAGCTGAAGTGGTTCATTGTCTTCTCAGTCCAGAATGATAGTTAGGTCGTAAGTCAGCTGCTGCTCTTTCCTGCTTTTCCAGCTGGTGGCGAATGCTATGCTGCTGGTGTGCGTGAACTGGGTTGGATTCTTTCACCTGTGGATGACCGAGAAAAATCTCAGGATGTCCAATCGCAAGAGACAGGATTTCAGCGCCATACACAGCAAGAAGGAGATAAAACAAATTCAGCAGGTACAAACTCTAGCTATTGAAAATGTTTTAAGTTATAAAAATTTTAAATACACATTTAACACACCCAGTTTACATCAAAGTTTTTATCCAGGGACTAAACGTTTCGGTGTGTGGCTACAATGTAACTTATTACTGGGGATGTAAGAACATATTCGTCCATTTTCAGTCACTTATCTGGAGTCGGGTCGCGGGGGCAGCAGCCTAAGCAGGGAGACCCAGACTTCTCTCCCCCCAGGTGCTTGGGCCAGCTCCTCCAATGGAATCCCAAGGCATTCCCTGGCCAACTGAAAGATATAGTCCCTCCAACGTGTCCTGGGTCTCCCTTTAGGCCTCCTCCCGGTTGGACGTGCCCGGACAACGTCACCAGGGAGGCGTCCAGGAGGCATCCTGACCTGGGGTTTCATTTATCAAACATTGCGTAGAATCCTTACTAAAACCGTACTTGAGCTCAGCAAAAAAAATCCACTTACACCAAGTAGGTTTGTGACCAATAAAACATCGAGTACGCACAGCTGCACGCAATCTCCGCTTCATAAATCAGAGACTAACGAGGCAGGTTCTCAGCTGCTTTTTAGTTACATCCCGCCCTCACCACGCCCACTTTCTGCCATAAATGATCAATGCAAAGTGCCTTGTGGACCTCATGCATATATATAAGCCGGCTCGTTGCAGCATTTCGATCGCCACTGCAGATCAAGGAAGCACTATTTCACAAGCAGAAATTGAGGTACTTGTGGGTGAGGCGGAGAAATGAAAGGAAGTGCTTTTGCAAAACAAATAAGAGAAAATCCACGGAGTGGCACAGCGTTGCAAAAGCCATCAATGCTGTGAGTTCTTCAGAGAGATCTGTAGCGGACATAAAAAAAATGGTCCGATCAGGATTCGATCCCCAGACTGCAGGTGCTTTCCATGTCCAAAAATGTGCATAAGCCAGGTCCTTAGTCAACTTAAAGTTACGTACATTTTTCCGCTAATATTTCTTTTATAAATCCCAAAGTTTGCATGGAAAGTTGCTTACGCAGTTTTCCGACCTCGTTTTCTGCATAAGCAAGCTTTAGAAATGAGGCCCCATGTGCCTGAACCACCTCAACTGGCACCTCTCAATGTGGAGGAGCAGCGGGTCTACTCCAAGCCCCTCCCGGATAACTGAGCTTCCCACCCTATCTCTAAGGGAGACCCCAGCCACCCTGCAGAGAAAATTCATTTCAGCCGCTTGTATCCGCAATCTCGTTCTTTTGGTCACTACCCAAAGTTCGTGACCATAGGTGATGGTAGGAACGTAGATTGACTGGTAAATCGAGAGCACGAAGAGAGGTGGCTTGGGCATCTGGTTAGGGTGCCTCCTGGACACCTCCCTGGTGAGGTTTTCAGGACGCACTGGAGGGACTAGATCTCTGGCCAGGGAACGCCTTGGGCTTCCCCCAGAGAAGCTGGTCCAAGTGGCTAGAAGTGGACAAAAATAAATGGATAGATAAATGGACAGATGACTTACCCGCACTTTATTGAATATATTTCTGTAACAATTTGATTACTTTGGTCTCTTTATAAAGGTAACAATTGTCAGATTTGTTGTAATGTGTAGATATTAGTTTATGTTATTGAATAAGTCTAAAGAACAAATGTGTAGTGAACAGAGAAAACATCTAAGGAGATTGCAGAAACGACTAAAATTGAGTCGAGAACCGTCCAATGCATTATTAAAAACTGTATATAATTTTATAGGGATGTAAGAAAATATCGATATTGTCACGCTCTGAGCAGGAGGAGTAGGACCCAAGATGCAGAGCACCAGACGACATGAGGCAGGAGTGAGTGAAATAAAAAAAGTAGAATCCTTTTAGGGTGATAATCCAAAAATCACGGACAGGGAGCCAAGCCAGGTATCAGGAAACACAAAAACAGATTCAGGAGGTCACTAACTGAGCAGGAGTCTCAGGTTTACACGGGGGAACAAATACGCTGACAACAACAATGGACCGACAAACACTGAGGGACAAGACAGGGCTTTTACACAGAGGGAGGTGATCAGGGTGAGTGAGATCTGGAGGGAAGACGGGTGCATTCAATAAACTAAATGGGGAAAGAACTAAGCAGGAGGGAAGATAAACATTAACCTATAAAACATGGAATAACCAAACCTAAAGACTAAGGGCAAAAATAAACAACTAATAACTCGAGGGAAGCCTAGAGGGAGCTGGGAATAATAATGGGACGTAAGAGAACCTGGAGGAGAACAGGAGGAGGCTGGGGACAGAGGGACACAGAACATGACAGATATGGCAATATGTCGTGATTTTCTTTCCTGCAATATTATATTGATCTTCAAAAGCCACGTATCAAATTTTTGTAAGATTTTACATGCAAACATTTGTGTATTTTATTTTTTCTTTTGGTGCAATTCAAACGCAGACTGCTAGTTAGCAGCAGTGTTCAATGGGTTTTGTTTCCTCCATTGAAGCGTAAATCCCTCTATTATGGTTCAGATACCTCATGTTAAACATGTTAAGTATCAGTTTGGGCTGTTTATTGAATTTTCCTACAATAAATTCAGTCTAAAAAATCACTAATATCATCTGGCTGAATGTATCGCAATATATCGTGATAAATCGTATTGCCTCCCTGCATCGTGATATGTATCGTATCGCCAGAATTTCACCAATAAACATACTCAGAGGCGACTCGAGGTTTAGAGGTTTAGGGGTGCTAAGCACCCAGAGAACTACCCGGCAAACAGGTTAAAGTTAAATTTTTGCACATTTTAACACAATTTCATTCCCATATTTGTGAAAGAAAATAATTTTTTTTTACATATAAAATATAGGTTTCACAAATCACAAGCTGTGTTTAATAGATTCTGCTATCAATGTAGAATAATCTGGTTCATGGTTTGAAGAGTCTTGGTAATTGGATCCCAATCTTTTTTCCTTGTGTCCAAGATAAGCCAGCCCCCCCCCCCCCCCCCCCCCCACACACACACACACACACATTAAAATTCATTAATTTAAAACTTCATACAGAGATATAACCCTTATACAGGATTTTGATTATAAATTTTGCTATAGAGATTTTATACATGTAATTTATGCAAACAATATTGGTAACCTCATATACAGTACTTTGTTGGTCACAGACCCCAGGTTGGTAACCACTATAAGGGAAGATTAAAGATGCTCAGAGTGGATAAATTGGTTGCCGTTTCCTTACCGAAAACCAGAAATAGGAACGAACTTCAGCATCCATGTTACTGAAAATACCAGTAATATTTTTAGATCTATTTGTTTAATTTAGATTTGAATTTTTCTACAAATTTCAAAATCCTGTTGGGAAAAAAAATCAGTGTTCTTTCTGAAAAGTTAAATTTTTTTTCTGAATTTTAAAACTTAAATAAAATGAAATGGGATATTTTTTTCCAAAAAAGACAAAAAATATCTCTTGTAAATATTTATGAAATAGGAAAACGGATAATCGACTTCTTCTCAATAATGTCTGATCCAATCTTAACTTTTTTTCTCACAATTCTTAAAACTAATCATCATGGCTTTGAATCAATTATTTCAGCTGTTATTTTATGTGCTTTAAAGGGGTTTGGCTTGTAGGAAACAACACTACTCCACCACCTTGTCTGTGATAGAAGCTTATTTGAGCTTTAGCACCAACCTGTCCCATTACCAGAGGTGTGACCAAGTCACTGCTTTGCAAGTCACAAGTAAGTCACAAGTCTTTCCAGTCAAGTCTCGAGTCAAGTCCAAGTCAAAGACAACCAAGTCCAAAGTCAATGATGTGGAAATCCAAGTCAAGTCCAAGTCCTTAACTTTGAATTTTCAAGTCATGTTCAAGTCACCTGTCCAACTTCAATATAATGACGATGATAATAAAGAAATTCCAGAAATAAAGCTTCTTAAAGCTTCATTTATTTGCTTAAACAAGCAGAAAGTGCAACTGAAACTGATCATAAACAAAGTGCTGCTGCATTTAGCCGCACAAGATCAAACCCAGAACCAAGAATGAGTTATGATTTTTGTCCATGTCGTGCCACTTAGGGCCAAAATATCATATATGCTCAAGTCATCATCAAGTCAACAGATGCAAGTCGATTCAAGTCGCAAGTCATTGGCGTTCCAAGTCTGAGTCAAGTCGTAAATCTTTATGGATTTTATCAAGTCAAGTCAGAAGTCATTAAAATAATGACTCGAGTCCAAGTCATGTGACTTGAGTCCACACCTCTGCATGTTACTGAGGAACCTGTTGTGAGCAACAGTTTTGACCCAGTGTAACGACTCTGACAAACATCACAGACCAGCTTTACCCACGAGTCTTCATTGTAAGAGCATTTTACCACCGCGTTTCACCGGTGTCTTTTCCTTCTGCCTCGGTGGTTCGTGCACGTCGCACGCTCCGGATTTGCTTTAAAGATCCGCCTCCTAGCTGGATTGACAGTCTCTCAACCAAGAGCGCTCAGAGCTCTGGGAAGGTGCGCAAGATCAAACCACTTTTGAGTAAGGGGACATTTACTGTAATTTTATTGTTAAAATATAACATTTTAATGAAGTACTGTATGTTTTTTTAATAATTAGTGGTATGTTTAAAAATAAGCACAAACAGTGAAAATAAATGAATAGAAAACGCAATAACAGGCTAAAAATGTCCATGCACATCCCTGATATTTTATTGCATCTTGATGACATAATCTTAACTGTATCTCCTTTGATTGATCGGAATGCTGGCTTTCAACTCTGTGCAGCTCTTTGTTCAATGTTACTTTCCTTTAGCTGTGACAAACCTTTGGTTAGTTTGAAGTCAACAGAGAAATCCACTCGTACAGCTTTCTCCAAGTTTAAAATCATTGAGTGTAATCACTCTCATTGAAGGGCTCTTTGTGTAGACAACCACAGCTTGGTACCTGTGTGCTTTTCTTCCTATTAAGCCAATAGATTAATCATTCACTTGTCTGAAGCTCAGCAGCAATAGAAAAGGCAAACCAAATGGGCACCATTCATTGCAAGCAAACAAAGAGATGAAACATGATCCACAGAGCAAACACGGCACCGCTTCAAGGAGGCCTTTGATAGCCGTCTCTTTATTTTACAGGCGGTAGCAACAGATCGCCATCTTTGCAAAACACAAATCAGACAGACCCTCAGCATAAAGTCTCAGAAGGCATCACACACCTTCGCTTCACACACTTCTAACCTCTGTTGTTGTTTTTTTGTCCTTGACAACAGGAAGGGCTTCTGCTGTCCGTGTTGCCGCGCTACATTGCTTTGAAGATAAAGACTGAGAAAATAAAGAAATCACAAAAGACCAAGGAAGGAAAGGATGACGAGAACAAGATGGCAAACTTCCACAACCTTTATGTGGCGCAATACAAAAATGTCAGGTACTGGTCTCTCTGTTATTGCTCATTGCTTGTGTTGCAAAAGCAATCTATGATCATCTGTGGCTTTTGTCTCAGCAGCATCATGAACCAGGCTCACTTACTCATTACATCTAGTTAATCCAACTGTTGTTTTGGGTATTACTGCTCGTCTGATGCTATTTGGGATGTTTACCAAACAGGGGCTGATAATACAGCCTTAATAAGTTTGTGCAGTTCCTTGGTCATCGTGATCATGGGAAGTCCTATGGGAGTCAAAGAAAAGGTCCCTTCACTGGAGAGAAAGCCGAGCACAACAAGCTGCCTCTAGTGGGCAAGTTTGAAAATGTATCGATAAGGAAATCAGGGACCTTCCCTAGTTGTTAGTACACCAATCGGAAACTTCATGCAGGTCCCTATGTGGGAGAGTGATCTGCATGAGTTTAGCTCACATTAACCTAGGGCAGTTTAAAGACTTCATCTGAAAGACTAAGGTTTGGGTAGATGATCCTGGAAAAAGCCGTTTAAATAAGCTACGGTTAAAAAAAACACAATTTAAAGGTTCAGCTCCCTTTGTTCAGGCCCCTCCCCCTAAGCCAGTGGTTCCCAACCTTTTTCCCAAGGGACCCCGTTTTTTACCAGTAAAATTTTTGACGACCCCCTCCCATTCTCTCTTCCAGTACAAACATTATTAAGAAATGATAAAATTGTTCAAGCACATTTTAATATGCTTTGATTGAATAGATAACAGTAATAGTAGGCTCCAGTACAGAACAAAGTCATTAACAAAACCAAACAGAGCATAATGTGCTTGACAGTTTGTATTACTTTTCTGAACACATTGTTTCTTGTAAACACTGATAAATCAATCATTCCTTTCAATAAACGTTTGACACATAAAAAATACACTGAGCAAAATGTACTTAAATGTGTATATTACTGTTTATACTAGATTATTTACTGTAAAGGCTGTGATTAATCAACCAGTCCTATCTTTAATGAACTTTTGACACTTGAAAATAAAACAGTGAGCTGAGCAAAATGTTCTTAAAAGTGTGCTACTTTTTCTGTACTAATTATTTCCTGTCTTAATATCAGTAAACTTTTCACTCATGAAAAAAAAGTGAGCAAAATGTAGGCTATAAACAAGTAATAAATGAAGTTTTAACCCCTTAAAGTGGAGAGGTCCTGGCGACCCACTGACAGGCTTTGGCGCCCCCTTGTGGGGGTCGGGACCCCCAGGTTAGGAACCACTGCCCTAAGCAACAGCCCCAGAATACAGGAGAATGCCAGACTTGACGGATACTGTCGAACAACCTAATAACATAAAAAATGTTCACCTTTTTGACCTGTTGTTGGCACCATTTCTGCCGCAAGTACTAACATAACAGCTACAGAGCTTCCAGGTTTCTGACAGGCTCCTCATAGTCAGGATGACTCTGGACTCTGTCCCTACTAAAGGTTTAAGAGAGCGAAGCCACTAGGACTGAAATTGCGATTTCAAACAACAGGATTACATGATTGCCAAAGCTGCAGTTATTTGTTGCGCCCCTGACTGACCCAGGATCTGTTGTCAATTTCTTTATGCATCCAGATTTTGCCATTTCACGGCGGGAGCAGCGAGTTTGGTGGGGCTAAGCCCAAATGCTCAGCTGAGAGAGCCTCATATTTTGGTTATTTTCTGGTACAGCTGATAAAAAGTGATGAATGGAATTTACCATAATAGCATACCACTACCACATAATAACTAACCACTCAGGCTACGTAACCATATAACCATGTAGCATGCTAACTGAAATAGCTAGGAGAAAACTATCTCCTACCCCAGCTTTAGGACAACGTCTTGTCTAAGTCCAGTTGCTTTTTAAAGCAATTCTTAGGACACTGATTTAAATCCACTGCTTGTTTACTGATGTAGAGAACATATTGGTAAAAACTTGTTAAACAGCATTCAGGTGCTTTAACACAGAGTGAGCATTGGACGCACACAAATAAAAGAAAACTGTATTTGTCTGTATGAATTTGTGCAGCATCCTGTATGCAGACATCGTTGGCTTCACAAAGCTGGCCAGTACCTGCTCCCCAGAGGAGCTGGTCGCTGTCCTCAACAAGCTTTTTGGCAGATTTGATGACATCGCCATGGTAACGCTGTAACATTTGTAAAATATTTAATCTATTTTCAACACTGGGCCTCTCCTTCATAGTCTTCTCTTATTATTTTATGTGTGTAGAAGAATGGGTGTCTTCGCATCAAGATCCTGGGTGACTGCTACTATTGTGTGTCCGGCTTACCTGAGCCCATTCCTGACCACGCCAAGAACTGTGTTCAGATGGGCTTGGACATGTGCACTGCCATCGGGTCAGTTTATCTTCATTCGTCTGACATGCGGCTGATGTTTTGGTCTGTCAGCCGAACTTTTCTGTGACAGTTTTAGAATTTCCACGTAGCTTTCAGAGTAAAATTTCTAATAAATATCAAAATAATGATGGTTGGTGAAGGATATTGTGTTAAGAGTGACCAGATTTTGAATGGATCAGCCCCTTGTTGGTTTTTGGTTTACAAGTGAGCTCTCTTCCTGTAGGCTGCAGTGTTATTATTGTCTGTCTGACATAATGCATGGAGATGGCTATTTCCTACACATTAACCAAATTTAAGTTGAATCGTCAGTCCTTTCCCTGTGGACGTAAAACTGTCCCCATGAGATTGGATCACTTTGGACTTGGCAGAAGACGGCATAAGCAAACCTTTTGTGTCCAAAAATTCAAAAGTGCTGTAGATGGTTTTTATTCTAGAAATGATCGTGAGTATTTTCAAGACTGTTTATCTAAATTCAGCAATGTGTTGGTCTCTCTGTAGTAACCTGCGAGAGGTGACAAGGGTTGACATAAACATGAGGGTTGGCATTCACACCGGCAATGTGCTCTCTGGTGTGATTGGTGAACAGAAGTGGCAGTACGACGTGTGGTCAGATGATGTTACTTTAGCCAATCAGATGGAGTCTGGAGGAGTTCCTGGGTGAGAAAACCTCAAGCTCAGATGTTGAAAATGTGATTAAATATGAATTTCTAGGGATTTAACTGATTATTATAAAATAACAGGCGAGTCCACATAACAGAGGAAACGCTGCAGCATTTGAACAGAAAATACAAAGTGGAAGATGGGAACGGAGAAAGTCGAAATCCTCATCTCAAAGGAAGAAAAACGTATCTCGTAATTGATCCTGACAAGGCTAACAGTGTCTCCAAACGGCCTAATGGGGTAGGTGTCGGCTGCCAGAACACTCAGGAGAATTGAGCGCTGTTTTAAAAAAGTAACGTTAAAATAACCTTTACGGTAATTTCAGGCTCAGATTCTGGCACCAGGCCTGAGCAGGCAGAGGGCATCTGTCCGAATGTCTCAGTACCTCCAGTCCTGGTCCATCATCCACCCTTTTGCTGACCTAAGAAACCCTGAAAAAAAGAAGCATCTGAGGCCCTTTAAGGATATAATCAAGCGATCACAATTTGCAAAAGTAAGTATACAACATATGCGGTTGTAAAAGGACTAAAGCCTAATTTGTACTTCTCTGTCAGCTCCGCAAGGGAGAGAAGCACACCGACGCACATGCATTGACAGAGATGTTGTGCTTTCAGCTTTCTCCTTCAGCTTGGGATTGTTGTAAAACAATTCCCCACCAGGACAACAGAGGGCGTAGCGCTATTCTGAGGTATCCAGTCACCATTACAGTCGCGTATCTGCTCCAAGAAAGTGTATCTACTATTAAATTTACATTGTTTTAATGTATTTCCGAGACTTTTGAACATGGATGAATTTGTCCCTTATTCTCCTCCACCTCATCATATGATCGGTACCACTAAACTCACATTTCTCGTCTTTTCTGTCCACGAATGCGTGTCTCCGCACCAACCCAGACGGAGAATTATAAGTTAGGCTTTACAGTCCTGTACCTCTGATGGTTATTATTTATTTTTTCTGACAGTTTGGTTATGAATTATTGTTTATATTTAAAAGAGGAAAATGTTTTGTTTCATTCAGGAAGGACCACACGGCCGTGACAACCCCAACCGGTTTGTACCAAGAATTGTTAAGAGATTTGTTGAATCATAGAATTAATAATAAATAATAATAAGGTTAACATTTCACACATAAATCTCTCAAAACTGTAATTGTGGAAAAATCATAATGATATTTCAGTCATGTGAAGTCCAACTTTTTGTGGCCAGTTTAAAATAAAGCTTTTTTGTAGAGCGCCAAAAGTAGGCGGAGTTTTCTCATCAGTGTCACCAAATAACATATTTCTCTGTGGGGAAATTTCTCAGTCGTTTGCTAGTTTTGCCTATAGCTATCAAAAATCTCCCAAAGAAAATCTGTTTTTTAGTAATGTTATTTTGTTTTTCTCAGCCTTTCTGTTGATAGCAGTATACGGGGATCAGTGGACACTGTGGACATTGTCGGGTGAGCGTGTCTCGATTGTTTTTGTAGCAATCTTCTACCTAAATACACTAAAACAAGTTAACTTCCATTTGTGAAATTATTACACTTTTAAAGTCATTTTTACTCATATCTGGTGTGTGTGTGTGTGTGTGTGTGTGTGTGTGTGTGTGTGTGTGTGTGTGTGTTTCTAATTCTTCAAATGATTCTTTCTCTCTTTAAATTCAGGAAGAAAGCAAAGAAACTCAACTGGTTGACTCTGCTGTTCAATGACTTCAAATTAGAGAGAGAGGTAGATTTTCTTAGCTTAAACTCAACTTAAGGAGTGTTGTTCTCAAGTGTATACAAAGAATTTAACATGCAGTGTTTTCTTTTTTCTGTGTGACAGATGAGGATTTTATCTTTCTCTGTACAACCTGAGATGAATCGGCTTCTGTTACTGTTTTGTTTTCAGTTTCGCCTCTCGGAGGTGACCGGTTTACACCACTCTATGAGCTGCGCTGCAGGGATCTTCATCACTCTTTTTATTGTCCAGATGCTCGTGTCTGAAATGTAAGTAGCCCTTTTAAATACATTCAAACGTGATTTCTGGAACAAATCTACTATTCTGCTGATGCCACGATAATGTGTCGTCTTTCCTTTTTCATTTTTTTGCTAATTTATGTAATTTTGCTTCTTAAAAGTAAATGCTGCAAATATTTTTAATTGAATATTTCAGGAACTATCAGATTGGAATATCATATGGTGTGACGTTTCTAGGAATGCTGCTACTTCAGTTGATTACGGCCACAGGATACTTGGAGGTAAACAGGACATTTGTGTTTTAATACTGATGATAAATATACCAACTAACAGAACGATCGGATGTGTAAATCAGGAGTATTGATTTTCTTTTTGCTTTCTTGATATTTACTGGCTAGATATTGTCTCTTAAAATTAGGTAATTTCAAAAATAGTTTTTGAAACGAGTGATGGTTTTGACATTGGTTATTAGATTTGTAAAAATTTCCCCGGTTTTCCATCAGATGTGTAAGCAACGCTTAACGTCTTAGATTAGAATATTCCAACTGACATGTTTACATGAAGAATTTTTGATGTGATAGGGCATTTATTCCGATTACGTGCACCCATGTAAACGTAGCTACTGAGGCCTTGTCCACACCTAGCTGGGATTTTGTTTAAAACAAATATCCGCCCTCCCAAAAAATAGCTGCCTCACCATCTCGGTTTTAGAAAAACCTCCATGCACATGTACCCGCATAAGTTCATTGTTAAGCACATTCATAGGCATGCCAGACCCGTAGGCAGACCTATTTACCCCAAATCCTATCCATTTTGTCTTCCTGCTTAACTTCAACAAAACATGAAACATGGCGCCTAGCTCGTTTGTGCCGAAAAACCTTCCTTAAACATGAGCACAGCTCTGAGGGCATCCATGATGTGGTGTAAACACAGATCGCACATGGGCCGTCAGCATTTTTGTCGCAGACAGCGACATCGTGAAACCTTAAACTCTGGCTATTTCTGTCTGCACAGAAACACCTAAAACTGAAAAACGCTAATCTTCACTTCAGCCATAGTTTTGAAAAAGATTTGTTTTTGTTGCATAAAATCTGCATTTTCGTGTGGATGACGGTCCGAATCGTAGAAAAATACTTTCATTTTGGGAGATACCCGGCCACATGTAGACAGGGCCTAAATTGATATTTAAAATCAGTGTATCAATTTTTAATGGAGACATTACATGCACAAAAAAACATTTACAATTTTTCTCTTTTGTGGTGCAATTCAAACTCCGGCTGCTAGGTGGCAGCAGTTTTCACTGCTTTCATTCTGACTTGACAAGATTTTGCGATAACACTGGATGTGTCTTGGAAGCATCTGGCCTGAGTCTTCCAACTAAATTTGGTCTTAAACGTTGTAAATATCGTCTGACTTTTATTATCGTAATATATTGTATCATCTCTCTTGTGTTGTTCTAGCAATCTTATCGCAAGATTATTTTTTTACGCTTTACGCTCAGTAATGCAACTGTTCAGATTGGACCAGACAGGAAATTAAACACAGGAGCAGTATAAAGCATCCAAACAAATTCAAAATAAAAGACATGAGCAGATTTCCTTTTGCTTAACTATTAAAAAAAAAAGATTGGACGTTGTCGGTGACGCCTCCTTGCCCAGGATAAAAAAGCAGACCTTTTTGATACATGCTGTCCTTATTCTCCTTGGCTGCTATTACATGAACCGGCAAAATTTTTGCAATCTTGCAATTTTCCAGTCATCACACGGGAACACATTCACCGCCACCGCATGTCGGAAATGCTACTGATAGGAGGGGGCACCCCACTGAGGTTGTGGCGAAAACTATTACGTTACACATCCGGAGGAAAGCCAGGGTTACATGATCAGTCATTCTTCTTCTTCTGTGTATAAGATGTGCCTGTCCATTTTATTTTTCCAGAAATGGCGCTCTAAGATGCCTTTGTGTGGCCAGTGGTTACTAAAGCTGTCAGACGGGATCTCGACTATAGTCGTGGTCAGGATGTTTCTGGTCATTCTCTGTGTGCTCATCATCTTGCTCATGGCTATCCTCAACTTGGTGAGGATCATCTCTTGTCCTAAAACATGCAGGATAGTGGCCCTCAAAACCAGGATTTGACCCATCTGGTTCAGTCATAAAGTGATTACACATAATATTAATTAAATCACTTAGTGGTCATCTTTTGTCGTATATTTCCTCTAGTTCTTCCTCCCTGGAAACAACTCCACCTCAGTGGCTAACACAACGGAGCTAGAAGGGCTCAGACTGTACGCTCTGCCTGTAAGTTCCTTTTCTTTTATGTGATCCATTTTTATTGTTCTAGAAGTCCTTTAAGGGACTGCTGTAACTACTCCCATTGAACAGATTGTTGTAAGTGAACACTCTTCATACTTTGAGCATCACGTCTAACCTGTTGGCACTTGTTTTTGTCCCCACCCACACGTCTGTGAAAACATGCAGTATTACATGTACTGCTGCCTGCTGGCCATGCTGGGTGTCCTCATGTTCATCAGGATATGCTTCTCTGTGAAGGCACTCCTGCTCACCCTGGCTGTGGTGGTCTACCTGGCCCTCTTCCTTTATGTTTACGCTCCCATGTCCAGCCACCTTGTTGACCTGCAGTACAATGGCACAAAGTGAGTGACTGGTATTAATACGAGCATTTTTGTGTTTGAACATGTGAAATAAACCGCATTAAGACTGCAAATAGTTATTTTTATTATTGATTTAATTGAACACGATGTCTCTGTGTATAATAATAATAATTTTCACTGTAAAAACAAAGTCCATTCATTAGCCTGTTGAACTTGCGTTAGCAGCAATAACCTTGGTTCATCATTCCTTCAGTTCTGCCTCCAGACATTTATTTCTACGCAGCTCTCTGAAGGTCCCAACACAACATTTCAGTCAGATCTTGACTTTGACCACCTTATTTCTTTTCTTTCTGAGTGGTTCCATTATAGATTTGCTGCTGTGTTTTATGATCCTGGTTAGCGCTTGAACAGATGACCTCACATCAAACTTTATATCTCTGATCTACAAAGAAGTTCACGATTGACTCAATAGCTGTAAGTAATACAAATCATGAGCCCTCCCCCACCATGCCAACAGCTGTTACAAGGTGTTAGTTCTGATGTGCTGTGGTTGGTTTTCTCCATTCATGGTGCTGCACGTTATGGGTACATCTCCACTTTGGTCTCGTCTGTCCAGAGGACACTCTTCCAGAAGTCTTGTGATTCATTTGTTAGGTTTGAGACCTTACAAAGTTGTGTTGTGGTATTCTTTTTAGAGAATCAGTCATTTTATACTTTGACTGTCATGAACTTTAACCTTTACCCTGCTAACTGAGACCAGTAGAGTCACAGCAAAAGAGTGATCACTGGAACTGGAACTGTTTGTATCTTGACCTGGGGACTTCTACGAACAGGTGATCTGATGACCTTGTTTCTCTATTTTCTGGACATAATGATAAACTATCTGAGATGTAGGAGAGAACGGTGCCATGAATACATCAACAGTATTCTATGACCCACAGGAAACCAGTGGAGGGACAGAACAGTATTGAACCAGTTGTGGTGCGGTATGTTGATGATTGATGTTGATAAAATTCAGAAAATAACTAAATCTCACATGAGAAACACTCATGGTCTGCTTCTGCAGGCTGATTAAAAACAATTTTCATTGGTGAATGGTCACGTTCATTGTGTGTCTGGGCCCACCACGCGTCTAAGCATCGCCTAAACAAAACGCTCCACGTCATTCGCTGGCCTGACAAATATTAACTGGGAAACTTTTACATATTGATAAATCCTACTCCAGTCCAGCTCACTGACTAAACTCCATCCTTTGACTACGAGACAATGTGCAGATGTGTTGATTAACTCATCAGTACCTGGCTGACCATTTTCCTCTTAATTCCTCCAAACACAGTGAAGTGGATAAATAAGCAGAACGGAGGCCAGGGTCTTTGCAGCTCACGGGCATGTATTTGGAATACACACAGCATGTCACAGTCAGCAAAACACCCTGAATGTTCAGTTCAGAGAACTTTTACAATGGAGTTGACGTCGGTCATTACACAAGCAGAAAGATGAAACCCACATGCACACATGTATTGGGGGATGCCCATTTGTTAGGAGGTGGGGAAATGTGGTGTGGTGATCTTTTGACAGAGAATCTTATTTTTAATGGTTTAAATACACAATGGAAAACAAAATAGCTTAAAACATTGTTTTTCATGCCTCTTAACAACATTCAATTCAATTCAGGCACTTCACATAATAAACATTCCAATTCACAGTTCATTAAGCCAATCAGAAATAATGTTTCCTATATAAGGAACCCAGCAAATTGCATCAAGTCACTGACTAGTGTCAGTGACTATACAGCAATCCTCATACTAAGCAAGCATGCAGCGACAGTGGAGAGGAAAACTCCCTTTTAACAGGAAGAAACCTCCAGAGAATCCTGGCTCAGTATAAGCAGCCATCCTCCACGACTCACTGGGGATCGAGAAGACAGAGCACACACACACACACGAGCACACACACACACGAGCACACACACACACACTATGATACGGCTATAAATATATTATGGAAATGAAAAAGTAAATAATTAAAGTGGTTCTCTTGCATTTGTCTAAAAACATCTCCCATGTTTCAGACTGAAAGCAATCACTGGGCCATCCAGTTGTCGGTCTCACCGAACTGCCACACTTCTGCATTCACCTGCACCCTCCATTCATCACACACTCACGTATTTAGCAGCAGAGCACCACTGGTGTGAGAAGTTCTCCTCTCAATAATATCAGAGAAGGAGAAAGAGCCGGCTGCTACCACTTCAACTTTAGGACAAACTACCAAAAAAAAAAGCACCATTTGAAGTCACGGACAACAAAAAAAGTTTGAACCTAGGAAATGGTGACTGGTGTTTAGCGCTATTTTGTTTCCTCTGGTAATGTGGGATTATGCTTCCAGTGGACATGGAACCAGTGAAAATACCCGAGGGGAGGGGTGAGTGTTCCATGACTGTGTTTGCATTCAAACCCCTAGCTTGTTTAGTAGATTTACTATAGCAGCTTTAATCTACATCATTTTATGATCTGCTATGACAAACTTTAGAGGGTTGACTTTATTTTTACCCTGAATGTAAACGTATCTTACATTTATTGATAACTGATGCATTTATGTCTCAAAACCCAAAAACACTGTCTGCTCTGATCAAATTTAGACTCTTAGTAAACATAATCCTGTACTTTTAACCCTAAAGAATGAATAAAACTATTAAAAACAACCCTTAATCATTTTTCCAAACACCTCATTTTCCACCAGTCTTCAGCGAGCACTGAATGTGGACATCACACCGTCTGGGTGTTGTATTTCCTGTCTTTTGTCCACCGCTCAAGGTTCAAGTTGTGAATCCTTGTGTGGTTTCAGATCACCATTGTTTATTCAATAGCTCTCTATAGAGACAGACCCTCTCAGGACTCGGTTTAGACACAAGGAAATGTCTGATGGACCTTACGTAGAGCACTAGAGTGATGTCTTACGTAAGAGTGTGTTTGTGTCTCCGCAGGCCCGGAGTCCTGAAGGACCCTCAGATCATGTCTGGGATTTGGCTGGTCATCTTTTACATTGTGTGCCTCATACTAGCCAGAAGGGTGTGTGTGCACATGTTTCATCGTTGATTTTTGTGTGTGTTTGTGTGATCTACAAATGTAAAGTGGTGGACTCTGTCTCTCAGGATGAGCTGACTTGTCGCGTGGACTTCCTGCTGGAGCGTTGTTTCAAGGCAGAGCAGGATGAGATGGAGACCATGGAGAACATCAACAAGCTCCTGCTAGAAAACGTCATGCCGTTGCACGTCGCCTGTTTCTTCATGGGCAAGACCGTTCGCAATCAAGTAGCCATCACAAAGTGGCGCCGATTAGTTCTCCATTTCCTGACTGAATTAGCAACGTGAGCTGATCATTTTTTTATTCTAAACTGCTGTCTTTCAGGACCTGTACAGCGAGTCTCATGAAAGTGTGTGTGTGATGTTTGCATCCATACCGGAGTTCAAAGACTTTTACACCGAGAGCAACGTCAACGGGGACGGTCTGGAGTGTTTGCGCTTCCTCAATGAAATTATTGTCGACTTTGATGGGGTACGACAGAATGAAATAGATGAATTACTGCTATAACTCTCAAAATCAGCAGATTGTTTTATTTATCAGGATTAAACCTGCTTCTTCTGTGTCTGTCTCTGTTTTTCACACAGCTGCTCTCAAAGCCCAAGTTTTCATCTGTAGAGAAAATCAAGACGATCGGCAGCACCTACATGGCTGCTGTGGGGCTGAAACACTCCCCACAAGGAGAGGAACACAAGGTTTGTGTCTTTAAAGTCTGTTCAAAAACTAAAGAACATCCTAAGTTTCCAAAGCTCTAAAAACAGTCTCCTGATGTTTTTTTTTTTATTTCAAAGTTCCTGGAATAAACTAAAGGTTTATGTTCTGAACTGCTGATGTGACTCCTTGGTGTGAACTCTGGTTCCCCCTACAGAAATTTGACATGTCCTACAGCCATGTGCACTCCATGTTGGAGTTTGCAATTGCAATGATGGGGAAACTGGAGCAAATCAACACACACTCATTTAACACCTTCAAACTCCGGATCGGTAAGTCTATTAGAGATACATCCCTACAGGATGCTGCTGTAATATTATATAAACGCTCCTTTTTCATAGACGGGTTAGTAAAAGTCAGTATTCAGTGATTCTTCTCTGCTGTGTCCCGGCAGGAATAAATCACGGCCCAGTGATTGCAGGAGTTATCGGAGCCCATAAACCTCAGTATGATATCTGGGGGAACACTGTTAATGTTGCCAGTAGGATGGACAGCACGGGGGAGCTGAACAGGATACAGGTCAGAACTGGTGCTGCTGAGATTAGTCACGATTACGTTGACTTTCAAAATCGTTGATGACAAATGTAACGGGGGTTGTCAGTCCCTGCTTCGTTGTGGCTCCTAGTGTGCCGACCCAGAATGAAAATGTGACATCAGTGAGTCTTGGTCATTGATTGGCTAGGGTGTCACTTGAAAAGCTCAAACAAAAGTTTGGGAGCATTTTATGAATATTCAAGAAAAAAAAACGTTTGCAATGCTAAATTTGCTAGTTTAAACCTGCCTTCCATGGCAGTACAGCGGTGATGCACAAGCCTCCTAAAACGGACAAGAAGGAGGGACGGTAAGTGGACTTTCTAGCTAGCCGCTAACACTTATTAGTACCGATAGCTGTGATGTTAAGAGTAGTGATGCCGATTTCATTACCCTTACCGCACCAATGTTGTGTGTTTGCTGTAACGTAACACACGCTAATGTGTATTTTATCGTAGAAAAATCTTTACCAGGCTAACAATATACAGTACAGGTGAAAAGTTTGGACACCTCTTCTCATTCAATGTGTTCTTTATTTTCATAACCATTTACATCAGGAGATTCTGACTGAAGGCATCAAAACTATGAATTACTTAACCAAAAAAGGTGAAATAACTGAATATTCTATTTTCTTCACAATAGCCGCCCTTTGCTCTGATCACTGCTTTGTACACTTGGCTTTCTCTCGATGAGCTTCAAGAGTTAGTCCTTCAAGACTGTTGGAAAACCCATTTCAGGTGACTACCTCTTAAAGCTCAAGCTCATTTCACCTTTTCTGGTTAACTCCACATGTGTTCATTCATAGTTTTAATGCCTTCAGTGAGAATCTCCTGATGTAAATGGTCATGAAAATAAAGACAACACATTGAATGAGAAGAGGTGTCCAAACTTTTGGCCTGTACTACACTTACTGAATGAAGATAAGACTGAGATCCTCATCTGTGCCCCAGACAAGTTGGTTCCCAAAGTCAGAGACTCTCTTGGTCAGCTTGCTTCTCACACCAAACCCTCTGTCAGGAATCTTGGTGTGACCTTTGACCCAGCTCTCACCCTGGATTCTCATGACAGTTCTCTTGTTCGCTCTTCCTTCTTCCATCTCAGGAACGTTGCTAAGCTGAGCCCCATTCTGTCCCGCTCTGAACTTGAGACAGTTCTCCACACCTTCATCTCCTCACACTTAGACTACTGTAACTCTCTTTTCACGTGTCTGAGCAGAACCTCCCTGAACCGTCTACAGGTGGTTCAGAATGCCTGTGCTCGTCTTCTGACCAAGTCCTCCAAACACACCCACATCACCCCGCTTCTCCTCCAGCTTCACTGGCTGCCAGTCAACTTCAGGGTTCATTTCAAGATCCTGGTTCTGGTCTATAGGGCCTTACATGGACAAGCACCATCTTACATTGGTGATCTTCTTAGTCCCTACACCCCCAGCAGGTCCCTGAGGTCCAGTGATCAAAGCCTAATGGTTGTGCAGCACCAGGCTAAAGACCAAAGGTGACAGATCATCTGCTGCTGTGGCCCCCAGACTCTGGAACTCTCTCCCCCTGAGCCTGAGATCAGTGGACTCAGTGGACTCCTTTAAAAAGCAGCTGAAAACTCATTTGTTCAAGCTGGTTTTGGTGTGACCTTCATCCCCCTCTCCTTGTTCTGCTCTCCCCACCTATTCCACCTTCCTCAGGATCCACTGATTTCCCTCTTTCCTATTGACTCACTCTCTTTATTTACATTTTTAATCACAATTGTCTATTTTTTCCCTCATTTTAAATATATTTTAATCATTTTCTATATTATTTTTTATATTTTGACATTTTTTGTTTTTGTGAAGCACCTCGTGATTTTTATCTTGAGAGGCGCTGTAGAAATGATACTTTCTTCTTCTTCTTCTTCTTCTTCGTCTTCTTCTTCTTCTTCTACCTCAGTAAGCAAATGTCCTGACTGGTTATATCAGAGCAGCTGAATGCATGATTCAACTAGTCAGTTAATCGCAAAAATAATTGTTTGTATTTGTTAGTTAATAGTTTCTCAATTTTGAGGCAAATATATTGGATGCATTGGAAGGACCAATACAATGTACAGCTACAGGCTGCAGGCTGAGACCAAGCTATGGTCTCAATAGTCCGCTGATTAAAGCAAGAATGATCTGCACAGAGCTGTTCACTGCTGCTGTTTTGGTTAGTGTTGACTGATCTAAGATGGCGACCGCATTTCCAGCAACCGAGCGGCCAATAGGGGGTCTGTGAATATATGTGTCTGTGCTAAATCCTCTCAGAGTAATTAATTTGTTGTGCCACCCCAAAAATTTTCCCTGGCCTGCCTTTGAAGGTTTTCTGGATGCACCACTGCTCACAGGTCCTATAAAGATCCTCATGTGTAAATGCTAAACTAGCAGCAGACAACCTGTTCCCTTTGTATTTTTTCTGTTTCCTGCAACGATCACAGGTAACAGAGTAAACTGTTGCCATTTTGAAGTTCATCAAGTAAAACCAGCCTTATTCCGAGATGGCTGAAGTTCAATGTGCTCCTTTACATGTCAACACAGTCGCACTGGTTTCTGTGTACGTGCGCTGCAAGCAGCAGTAGGCGAACCAACCACTAGGGAATAGATGAGCTCATTAAGAATGTTCAAAAGCTGTCTTTAGTTTACCTCCGCTCATTTTGAAACCAAATCATCAAACAAGTGGTTAAAAATATTTAGCAGCTTACTTCCTCTCCCATCGAATCACATTCCTTCCAATCATGGTCCACCTTTACTCCAGTAGATTTCCAAGACATTTGCCTCATTCATAAACACATGAAACTAACCTCATGCCCTCTGATTTTATTCCTACAACCTTTTTTGTTAGGATGTTTGACCAAATTGGCCCATGCAGTGTAGATTTTATTAATTTATCTCTAAATCTGTACCATCTGCTTTCAAACATGCAGTGTAGATTTTATTAATTTTTCTCTAAATCTGAACCATCTGCTTTCAAGCATGCAGTTGTTTAACCTATCCTTAAAAAAACAAGTTTGGACTCATCTCAGCCTAAAATAACAGACCCATTTCTAAATTACCCTTTATCGCTAAAATATTAGAAATGTTGTGATAGATCAGCTGATTACTTTTCTGGAACTGCACAACAGTTTTGGCAAATTCCCATGTGGTTTTCGTAAAAAGCGTTCAACAGAAACAACTTTTCCTAAAGTTTCCAGTGACATCATGATGGCTGCAGGCAACGGGCAAATCACAGTGTTTGTATTGTTGGATCGTTCTTCAGCTTTTGACACTGTTGATCGCAGCACCTTAATTAACTGACTTGGTGACTCGGTGGGGATCTCTGGAACTGATTTAGGTCGTACCTTTCTAACAGAAGTTACAGTGTCTGATGTTTTTGACCTACCAATGTCTCTTGAAGGCCACTCAAAAACATTGGTCCAGAACTGTTTTTAATCACTTAAGAAATATCTCCAAACGGTGAAGGTTGGTGTCAAAACATGAACATGAAATGGTTATCCATGCATTTATCTCCTCCCGACTAGATTACTGTAACACACTCTTCACATGTTTTAACAAAAAGCCCTTGAATGCTTCAGTTGGTCCAGATCTCTGCAGCAAGGCTCCTAACTGGAGCAAACAGAAGAGCTCACATCACTCCTATTCTGATGTCTCTGCACTGGTTACCCATTAACTTTAGAACTCTGACTATTCAGGGCTCTACGTGGTCAAGCTCCTCCCTATATTACTGAACTGTTAAAGCTGTATGCTCCAACCCGAGCCCTCAGGTCCACACACCAGAACCTTCTAGAAGTTCCACAGACCAGATATAAAAGTCAAGGTGATTGCTCCTTCCATACTGTTGCACCCCGACTCTGGAATGATCTTCCTTTATCCTTATGTAGCATTGACAGTCTGGACACTTTGTTTTGATCTATGTGAAGCACTTTGTGATTCTATATCTGTGATGAGTGCTATATAAATAAAATTTACTTATTTTACTGTTGACAGGTTACAGAAGAGACGTCTCAAATTGTCCAGAGTGTAGGATACGACGTCACACTCCGTGGAAAGGTCAACGTGAAGGGCAAAGGAGAGCTGACTACCTACTATGTCAACACAGATCAGTCATCTCCTCAGTTCTGATCCGGCTTACTGTATGAAGCTGCAGCGGTCTGTTGGATCCAACAACACACTACAGGACTCGTTCTGGTTTTATACGAAAGACTCTTGCTGAAATGCATCAACACTCATCTGCAAAGTGGCTGCCTTTGTCTTTGGATGGGACACTAAAACAATCCTGCACATGAGACTACAACTGAAGGAGTTTTCAGCTCGTGGACGTATCACAATGCTGACTCTGTACTGTAATATCCTACAAGCATTTACTCCAAAATATGCTTTTTTATGTTTTTTTACAGGATCTTTACTATGGCTGACTCACATGCACATGACAATGTGCATCAATATTATTATATAAATGTGGTTCACTTTTACATAAATAGTCTTTTTCAAACAACAAATGAAACTAATATGAAGGAATTGTTCATAATTGTTTTCATGTGCAAGAAGCCTTAGGTTTAGATATGTCTAAATGCACTAAAACGGTACAGATCATTTTGTGTTTTTAAAGGTTATAAAAAAATCTGGTAAAGAATTGTTTAAATACATAAAATGTTGCATCTTTAAAATTCAATGGGTGGGGAAAAAAAAACTTTAAAATGAAGCTGGAATGACATGAAGATGACCAGTTTGGTCAGCTTTTCCACCTGATTTGGTGAAAGTTCAGGAGTCACTGGTGGCTCTGCTTCACTGAGACCATGTTGCTGGGAAATATGGTTTCATATATGACTCAAACTAACGTTTAATCAACAGGAAGGATCTGTACGTGTTAAACTATGCCATGAAAATCTGCATGATAAACCTAACTGCACTTTTTTAGCATTTTAACAAAAATCTTCATGCTGCATTTATTTGGTTTTCCTCTTCTGTGATGTTTCTGTCAGGGTGAAGAACTGTGAATCTGTGTGTTCACTGTATGGAAATATTTTTCTATTGTATTTATAAAGCAATAAAAAGCTACATGTACTGATCATAGACATATGGTACCGTGTGCGCGTTTCCAAGCTGTGGCATTTCCCGTAGCGGTAACGCCCACACGCGGTCTGATTGGCTCAGCCTCTTCCCGTAATTCTGTCCTGGCTCCCCATTGGTGGGTCAGCCTGTCACTCATTCCGCTTCCTGCTTTAGTTTGTTATTGATCGCAGTTCCTTCAAATGTGAGGGGAAATGTTGACGGTCCGAGCTGAAAAAGTTGGTGAGTTGTTTGTAAGGCCGTCCAGTCGCACTCGGAGCGAGCAGCGTGGCTTTTCGGCTGTTTGTGTCCTAAAGCTGCTGTTAGCCAAACTTCAGTACGAGCTTAAAAGTTTAAATGTCACGTCTGTGTCGTTACCTGACGCACCAGGTGATCGGGAACACCGTGGTCCGGTTTTATCGGGAGCATTCGTGTTTTAAAAAACACTTTATTGCACTTTACAGGCAAAGAGGGGCTTGATTCCAGCTTAAACCAGCTGCGGATTCAGACGCATCAAAGATGTCCGGGGAGCATAGCCGGAAGCGCCGTCCCTTAAAAGCATTTGTGATTCCGACCGAGCTGTGGGTCCAGGATGAGCTGGACGGAAGCGTCTGCCTGCAGCGGGGGTTCATCTGCCAGGAGCAGGACTCGGGCAGGAACCGAGGGGACCACATCTGGGTCAAGGTACCAACGAACTAGTGGAACCGTTTGAGATAGTTGAGCAACAAGGAAACCGCACTTTTATTTGACCTAGACAACTTTTATTGCGTTTTGATAAAGTTGTTTTGACCAGTTAAAGGTCTTTCCTACTAATACTGCCATTACTGATGTAACTTTTAGCTGCTTAGTCTAATTTGCCCTGAGCTGCAAGACCTACCTGTTACTTTATCAGTCTGTTCAGCTGCTTGTTGGACACAGCTAATAAGATGTCAGCACTCAACCATCCATCAATGCATGTACATGTACATTTTATACATATATATAATAATTTCTCTCTTAACCCTTCCACTTTCCTATCAGGTGACCCCGCCGGGACAGGGGGAGGCTAAACAGGATTTAAAGTTTATGCCTTGGCAGGGGTGAAGTGATGTACCCCTTAAAACATATTAAAATAAAAATACACCAGAGGTCCATCTGACCCCATTAACAATGCGGGAGGGCTAAAGGTGGAATATAGTGTGTTCTAATAAACGGCTATGTTTTAAAAAATATGTGCAGAATAAATTTACAATTTCTCTAATAAAGCTATATTGGAAAAAAATAAATAAAGAGTAATTTTGACGGACGACACTGGGTTTATGTTTACATCTACCAGCCAATGGGGTGCTGTTGCGGTAAAAAGTCCAGACTGGGACTGTGATAAATGGCAGACTGGGGGGAGGGATGTGGTGGCGGCGATGATCGGGCCAGTGAAAACTCCGCTGGTGATTGATTCAGCCCCGGGGGTGTAATCCGCGGGAATTGGAGCCGGAGGGGGAGAAACCGCTGGGTCGGGGAAAGGCAGGTGGCGGGGGGCCTTGAGCAGCCTGTACCGTACAAATTCAGAACACATTGATTTTCTGTCAGTTTTTTTGGATGACGAATTCTGGACCCTCATCACAACTAACCGATATGTTCACCAGTATTTAGAGGGAGGAACTGAAATCTAGCTCCAGATATAATGACCGGTACGATGTAACTGTCCCAGAAATGAAAACATTCATTGCCATTCAGTTCTGCATGGGGCTTGTGGAAAAGCCTGAGATTGAGGATTATATATATATATATATATATATATATATATATATATATATATATATATATAAAAAATAAACCAAAGAAGGGATGAGTGAAATGTGTTCATGACACTGAAGCATCAAAAAGTGTTCTTGATTGATACGCAGTAAATGTAACAAAATACCAATAAAGTAATAAATATTATATATATACATACATAGTTGTTTATGTCTACATATGAATATGTATATATGTATCATAAACAATAACATTAAGAAAATCAGACAAAAACATTTTAAAAATAATCAGCAAATGTGACGCAATCTAATATGGCTGCCACCTGATGATGTCATGATATGCAAATTATGTGAGTGAATTTGTTCCTATCACAAAATTTGGCTCATACTGAAGATTTTTCTAATTTACAATATTCCTCTTTCTAACCAGATTTAAGCTACAAGCTCTTTAAATGGTGATATAAAAAATTAATATTTTACTGAAAAAACTATGGCGCCTAAAGGGTTAAAGGCCTGCTGTGTTTCTGTGGTCTCCAGAGAGCCCCGGGAGCTGGGAGCAGCTGGTTGACTGTGGAGTTCTAATATTGAATGTTAAAATACAAGCAGAGCCTCAGACCATGCTCCACTCATCCGCCACAGTCGGAGATCAGTGAGACATTAGCTACATGCTAACCCAAAGCTAATGGAGGTTTTTGGGCGCTTTGGTTTTTTTGTGAAAATGTGGTGGACAGCACCGCTTGTCTCACAAAAACTACGTCATTGAACTGAGAAGAAGAAGAAATGACTTTGAGTTTAGCAAACTTCGCATCCTTCTTCCAGGATGAAAGAAGCATTGAACATGGAGAATACCACTATAGATCTGGCCATGTGCAAAGTAGCAGCTACGCTGTCCATACATCTATACATACATTGTCCATTCGTCCAGGCATGCTTACATACCCATACATCATCCATACAGAGATATATTCATACATACACCCATGCATAGTTTATTCATCCGTACACATCTTCTTAACCACCTCATCGATAAGAGTTGGGGGAGCTGGTGTCTATCTGCAGCAGTCATCGGACGAGAGGTGGGAGACACCCTGGACAGGTCTCAAGTCCTTCAAGTACTGGGACAAACATTGAGACAAACAACTATATACACTTGCACCTAGAGACACTTTATGGTTTCTAATTAACAAAGCACTCAGATTGTGATAAGCCTCTATTCATCCCTCTTGGAAGTTCTGTTTCAGGATTCAACAAGAATACTATGAAAAAGAACTATGATGATGATGATGCAACAGTATAAACAATAACACAAAGAAAGAAAATGAAAAACGCTGCAGTACTAACTCCAGATCTTAACTCATTCACTGCCAGCCGTTTCCTGATTGCTAACGGCCTTCGCTGCCAGCGTTTCTCATAGTTTTTACTGTTTTTTTAAGAGTCACAGAACGTTGTGCACTAGGATGATGTCGATGCCAAAACAAAGCGGAGACTCGCCTCTTACATCAGGAAGAATCCGTCTGTTTCGAGCGTTATCCGTTCTTTCATAATCCGTTGTTGAATTGTGATCGGCAGACGCTTTTCCGGTTCGCGCCTCACTTTTTTTACAGGAACGGCCCAAAACAATCTCCTAATACATGGATGGTCTGCTTCCTGATCATGTGACGTGTGACGTATGCGGATGAAGATCGACTTCAGGGCTGAGATATTTGTTCTCTCAGCGCAGGGGCTCGTTCTGATGCTCAAACAGTAAAAAAATGCAAATGACGACTTTAGTCGTCAATGGCAGTGAATGAGTTAATAATAGTGAATTAGTCACAAATAATAGTGAATAGTGACAAAATGGATGAAATCCCACCATCTCCAACTCAACCTCTCTAAAACTGAACTACTTGTCATCCCAGCAAAACCATCCATACAGCACAATATCTCAATCCAAAATGACTTCCTATCTCTGGCTCCTTCAAAGGCAGTTTGAAATCTGGGTGTTGTGATTGATGAACACCTGACCTTTAAATATCATGTTGCCTCTGTTGCTCGTTCATGCCGCTTTGCGCTGTATAACATACGAAAGATCAGACCATACCTAACACAACATGCCACCCAGCTCCTGGTGCAATCTACTGTCATCTCTCGCCTCGATTACTGCAATGCCCTTCTAACTGGTCTTCCAGCCTGTACTGTGAGACCTCTTCAAATGGTCCAGAACGCAGTGGCGCGTCTGGTCTTCCACCAGCCAAAAAGAGCACACGTCACCCCTCTGTTCATTGAGCTCCACTGGCTACCGCTAGCAGCACGCATCAAATTCAAATTGCTAACATTAGCATACAAAGTCCGAGATGGTACTGCTCCCATCTACCTGAATCCTCTTGCAAAGGCTTACGACCTGGCCCGGCCGCTCCACTCATCACAGGATCGTCGGCTAGCAGTGCCTACACCACGCTCAGGACAATCCAGACTCTTTTCATGTGTCGTTCCACAAATGTGGAATGACCTTCCAAGCACTACCAGAACAGGGGCTTCCATGTCAATTTTCAAGAAACTCCTGAAGACCCTGCTCTTCAGAGAGCATCTTCTAAACTAGCACCCTCCCTGCACCCGTCCCCCCTCTCTACTGTCCACTGTTTGTTCCCTCCTCTCCATGATTGATGTCAAGTTGTTGTTATTGTTCAGGGGTGGACATTAACTTCAAAACCAACCGGCCAGCCGGGCCGGTAACTCTGAATATTTACCGGCCCCACCAAGAATCTACCGGCCCCACTGGTCAGCTGCCAAAACGAGTCAAAATAAAAACGGAACCGTTTTAAATGTAATAAACCTTTATTTTGTACACATTCACAAACATAATAACGTATTCAAGTTTGAATTTGTTTGTTCCCTCAACAAAACACGATTTTGTCGTCGCATACTTCCGGCATACAACGCAGTACATCACCAACTCCGCTTTGCTGTATTCGAGCCATTGACTGTGTTCGAGATGAGCCAGTTCTGCGCAGGTTAGACCAGCGGTGATCGGCGAGCAGTGCATGCCGGTTAGATTTGTGTCCGAATTGACGCCGACTTGCTCTGACGTCATGCATACGTAGGCAACGATATCCTCGTGAGATCAAGGCGGCCGCAGATTTTGGAGCAAGGCGCTGCAGTTGCTCTCCCTCGGCTGCAAAACCTAGAGGATGACGGAAACGCCTGGCTCTCACCTGATCTAAGATCTGATTGGTTCATATTTTGATCCAAACATCCGGTGGTAGAACATGAAATGTTAGTTGGTCACATGTATTCTGTAAATCATGTTACGCTGATAATAACAACAATATAGGCCATAAAGAGAAATGTGTTTTGTTTTCTTTTGTCACGTTTCCTATGAGCACACTGAACCTACAGCTGATAACCTTTACTTATTATTACACTCATGTCTTCATATACAATATATGATATCCACAAGCACGTGAGGATGTGTTTCAGCTGCTAACAGGCACCAGAATTAAAATTGAAAATTGAACAAGTGTGAATGCTAACGCGATATCTTCATCCATCGTCACCCCCGAGCTACACATGTAGGGAAGTCCAAGAGATTCAACTGGCAGAAACAACTGGTTCACACCATAGTCTCTCTCTCTCTCTCTCTCTCTCTCCTCTCCTCTCCCTCTCTCTCCTCTCTCTCTCCTCTCCTCTCCCTCTCCCTCTCTCTCCACTCACTCACTCACTCACACGTAGAGGAAAAGAGCTGAGGAAATTGAGGACACCAGGTAGTTAAAAGAAAATCCACAGCGGAGCCGAGGCGCGCCTCGAATGGGGCGCGTCTGATTTGAACTGAGGAGCGGCGAGCAGCGGCCGGACTTCGTGAGCGATTCGCTTCGGGCGCTTCCGCGGCCGGTGTGTCCCCGGCGAAACGCCGTCTTTCAGCCACTCCCCCTGCTGCTTCCGTCTGCTCTCGTATGTTTTCCAGGTGATGCGCTGCTCAACTCGAACACGGACATTCCCTGCGCCTCTCGTCTTCTTTAAATCGCCAAGAATCATTCCACCTACGCACACGCTTCTCTGCTTCATACCGTTTCGAACTGTCTCGCTTCTCCTCACCAGTTTTAAAGCGTTTTGCCGGAGATTTCATCAAGAAATCCAATCCCTGGTGGCGCGATCTTCCTGCGTGCTTTTGTGTTTCTAGCGTGGTTCCACTTCGTCTTTAATAGTGAACTTATAGTTCACGTGACTATAACTAATCGTGCAGTACGTGCACGAATCGTACAAGTGCAGTACGTGGCTAGAGGCGCGCAGGTTCACGCGCGCGAAACGAAAACGGCAGCTTCCTACAGGGCGGGGCCATGATGTAGGCGAAAGCCGGTGTGTAAATGACAAATAAGGCTTGGGCGCCACCTGGGCGGTAAGTCGTCAAGTATTTACCGCCCGACGAGAAAATTTAGCGCCATTGGCGCTCGGGCGCTTTAACGGTCCACCCCTGTTGTTGTTGTTAGCCTCAAGGGCAACATGCCGATTATTACTTGTAAGTCGCTTTGGACAAAAGCGTCTGCTAAATACATAAACATGAACATAATAGTGCACTGGTTGTTTCACATCATGTGGTCTCTTTAACACTCAATATTTTTGACTGTCCAGTTGTGTTATGTGACTTCTGTCGTTATTTCTGTTGCTCTGAGTACTCCTGTTCATCTCGTATCTTCAAAGTTCGCTTATGGAGGGAAATTCCTACAGAGGAAGCTCTGGGATTTTGCTGATTTTGACCGTGATCTAAACCACATCATGACTGTAGCTGTGGTTTGTGTCTCATGCAATGGCGGTTTTAAACGGGGGCCCACAGGGGCCTGGGCCCCTGTAGAACCGGCCCTGGCCCCTGTTATGGCCCCTGTGCTGAAGAGATCGGATTTTTTTTTCGCGCGCTGCCTCGGAGACGGGAACTAAAAGCGCTGCAGCGTTTCACACGGAGCCTTTAGAGCGCAGCACACTCTGTGGACAGAACTGTTTACCCGGTGGATTTTTGAATAAAAGGTTAAAAATAGTTTAAATGGGACCCGAAGAAGTTCTTGAGGACGCCAAACGGAAAAGACGCTAAGAGACGAAGGTAAGCAATACAGTTTATTTTCCTGACATCAGTGTTTTGTCGTAGTCGCGCGTTTCTGTCATTTACTTTTAAGTTCCTAACTGAGTCTATCCACAGTTAATACTGATTTGTTTTTCCTGTGTAACATTAACTGTAAAATAAAAATGAAGTTGCTGCATTTTAAGCCTTAGACACGTTGAGATTAGATCACAGTATTCATTTATCTATGACTTTCTCGCAGCACTGACTGGAAGCATCAGCGGGACGTTTAGTCCTTTTTTACCGCTGTTAGTAAAGAACAGCGTAGACAGAGAGAGGATGAAAGTCACGAGGGAACTGAGAAGCAGGATGAAAGAGAGAAGGAGGAGTTGGTTGGAGAGGAACCAGACAGGTCAGAGGCTGTCCACCCTGAGAGTGAGGAGGAGGAAGATGTAGGCTGTGAGGGAGAGAGTGAGGAGCAAAAAGAGGGACATCTTCTGTCATGTGCACCGTGTACACTACCGTCAGGTTTGTGGGTGTTGAACAAGCCCTCTGTGTTTGCAGCTCATATTGTGTGTAAAATGCATTTGAGGCATGCTGACTCTGGACCAACATTTCTGTTGTTTATATTTAATAAATAAATAAAATAAGACTCTGAATTAACTAATTATGACTTTTATCCTCATGCTAACATTTATTTTCTTTCAGATATCAGCAAGTGTAAGGATCACCCACCTACTCAGCCTAGTTTGAGGACATTTCCAGTGACATTAATAGGAGACAGAAGATGCAGCTTTCAGCCAAGCTGGTATGAAAGTAATCCTTGGGTTGAATATTCTGTTACTATGGACTCTACTTATTGTCATGCATGCAGACATTTTAGCCCACCCAGTAGCGCAGGAAGTGTGTTTGACTCACCATGTGGATTTAGGAACTGGAAAGAAGCAACTGAGAGAGGAGGGGTTTTCAGTACATGCAAAGTCTGAAAGGCATAAGGACTCAATGATAGCGTGGAGGGACTACCAGAGGGCTGTGAAAGCTAATACAACATTGGCTAATATACTCGACAAGGAACACAGTAAAAAGGTTATAGAAAATCGTGAGTTTATCAAACAATTGGTGAAGTGATTATGCTTACGTGTGTGTGTGTGTGTGTGTGTGTGTGTGTGTGTGTGTTGACTACAAAAAGCAAATTGTATTGTGCACATATTTTATTTGTTTGAATGTTTATTTTTCATATGTACAGTTTATATAATCTTCAAATAAAGTCACAAACTATAATAATAAACTAGAATTATTTTTTACTCAAGTCACATGTTGCGGTGAAGCATTCAGAATTGTTATCTGAGTACCATAAAAACATGCCAGTTTTACTTTCACAAGTAAACCATTACTGCATTTGCCGTAATAGTTTACTTGTTCATTGTCTTTAATTGTGATTTTTTTTTCTTGCGCCCCCATGAAAAAATACTGGCCCCACTGTGGCCCCCCTGGAAAATTTGGTCTAGAACCGCCCCTGGTCTCATGGCCCTTGCACACTAGCATCAGCTCCACTCTGCCTGGATGGGGTCGGGGGTGTTCTCATCTAGGTAGCCTTGGATTTTCACGAGAGCAACCGTACGTCTTTTCAGCCGTCTTCCTGAGGAGGTCTGCCTGGAGCCGAACAGGCACGCTAACTGCTGACTGATTGGCCGGCTCAAAAGCATGCCTACCATTAGGAGGAGCCTCCGATTGGCAGAATCAGCCCGCGTGGGCTTCCCGCATGCTCAATTCATTATGATTCTGGATGCTGTGGAGTTAACAAACCTCTGACTGAAGCCATTTTCTCTGTCCCTCACTGCTGTGAGGAGACACACACACAGTGCTGCCAGACAAAGCAAAGCAGGATGCAATATCAGAGTCAGTCTCCAAAAGCAAGACTGCTCAGGCCACTTTTGTTTAATAAGGGCGACACCGCGGACATCTCTGCACTCTTTTTTTCCCCCGACCACATGCTCGGAGATGTGCTCATGACATCACAGTCCACATTCCTAAGGCAGTGTGGAACGAACGCAGATGGGCTGGGGTGGAGCCGATGCTTGTGTGTAAGTAGTATTAGACTCTATCACAACAGACAGAAGCAGCACAGTCATTGTTGCTGACAAAGCCCAAACCTATCCATCTCTCCATCTTAATGTCACTCATGAACAAGACGCTAATGACATTTTTGACCTCCTGTGAACTTTATTGTCTTGCAGGTGTTGGATAATGGACTCGTGGTAAAACTTGAGAAGAGGCACCTCCATGAAGTTGCAGCTGACCTCATTGTTCTACTGGAGCCTGTGAAAGACCTGGAAGTTCGACTAAACCTTCTGAGTAAGGGATTATTTCTGCCTGAGGGGGTTGTGGTGTAGACCCTGAGAGTAAAGGATATACCAGGGGAGTACAACATTCTACAAGCAGGTTTGCTTCCTGTTTGTTAACCCTCTGAGGTTCAAAATAAGTTTTGATAAAAGGACCAACAACTAAGTCCTTCAGGAGTACTTCTGAGTTAAAAAATGCTCATGAAATACGTATGTGGAGTAACCAGGGAGGAAGGTTTTAACTGTTGCAAATCTGCAACGCCTGCCTCCAGAGGGTTAAAAATGGGAAGTGTACCTTTAACTGTACCAAAGCTTTTTTTTTAGGGGGGGTAAATTTAAGGGATGCACCAATAGTCTGGCATTTCACTGGCTTCCAACAAATCAGACACTCAGAAATTGGGACATTTTTCTACTTTAAGGGTTTTTTTGTATATGGGACAGCAGCTCAGGAGGTAGAGCGGGTTGTCCAGCGATTGGAAGGTTGCAGGTTTGATCCCAGCTCCCACCAGAGAATGCTGCTGTTGCGTCCTTGAGCAAGACACTTAACCCGCCTTTCCTGCTGGTGGTGTTCGGCAGGACTCGCCCCTGTCAGTGCGCCCCAGGGCAGCTGTGGCTACATTGTAGCTCATCATCACTGGTGTGTGAATGGATGAATGACTGATTGTGTTGTGAAGCACCTTGGGGGGGTTGTAGACCCCTAAGAAGGCGCTATACAAATACAGGCCATTTAGCATGTTATCACTGTGTGTTTCAGACCATCCTGAGAACCTGCGACAGCTTGCTTCTCTACCTCTGGATGCTCCACTTTGGGTCCAGATCGGCCCACAGGATGAGCTGGCAGAGGCAGAGCTTAAGTACAAAGGGCCACTGGGCAGAGGGAGTAGCGCTGTGTTCTTTGGGGTTCAGCTGAAGGTGAACTTGAATTTCATATTCATTTAACACAAATACAACACCTAATTCCCATTATTTTTGCCCTGCAGGGTTCAGCGGTGGGCAGAGGAATAAGCAATGGCTCCTATAAGGGTCACCGATACTTTAGCTGCCCTGAAGCTTCTGCCCTCTTCCTTCCCGTCAATTACATCCAGCTTCGTTCTTGGTCCCGCACCAGTGATTCAGAAGCACCTGTGAAAAGTCGCAACCGAGACGGCCGTCGCAGCTACCACCCCCACCCCGTGAACATTTTTCGTAGCAGTAACGACCGTCTAAATCAGCAGCTGCCTCGTCACAATAGTAGCCGTCAGCATAATGCGAATAGCCCACCTCAGCCACTCGCCATACTCTCAAGAACCGCAGACTCAACACCCGTCGTAAATCCCAACCATGTTCGAAGCCCGGCATCACCTGTACCATTCTTCATTGGCCAGAGGGTGTGTTTCCCCCATAAGGATGGTGTCTGTGCAGGAGAGGTGCGCTTCTGTGGCACCCTGGCAAGTCGGTCATCACCAGGGTCATACGTCGGAGTCCTTCTGGTCAGTACAACCTACAGGAACACATTTTCTTAAAGAGCAAGTCACCCCCAAATAAACTTTTTTTGGCTGATAAACTATATAAACAAGTGTCTAATCATGCTGCAGACATGCGTAGTCAATAATTTGGCACTTCAGTGCATTTTAATTAAAATTTAAATATTCTGCCTAAAACTGGCAGTGTTGTGCCGTTGTCAGGTAAAAACTCTGCACTGTATTTTAATTTAAATCTGCCACCGCCATTGGCTAAGAGGTATGCTATGATGTAAACTGGTACATTATGATGTCACAATGCTGTCATGAGCCTGAGTGTGTGTTTGTTAGCAGCTCCGCCTTCTCGGTCTGCCAGGCAACAGCATTTGTTGCATTTTTCAAACATGAAGTGGGAGTGAAGTTAGACTCTGGTAGGGGTTGACTTGCTCTTTAAACACTGTGCAATTTCTCACAAAATCAAAATGATTCTGCTATGAATTCACTTCGATTTTTGACTCCTTTTCTCTGTTAGATGATTGGTGTTTTGATTTTTTATATCACAGGATGCTCCTGTTGGCAACTGGGATGGTCATTACAAGGGTCAGAAGCTCTGCCACATTCCTTCTAATCTGTATGGACACCTCCTACCAGCCCACGAGGTTTCTCCTGGTACAACTAGAGATTTATTGTGTTAAACAGGACTTATGGCATTAAGCTATTGTCAGTTGTTTCAGCTTTCTGATGTCTTTTACAGATTTTCTAAAATCACAGTTTAAGTTTAAGAAAACGTTTTGAAAATGGGATTTCCACCCAAAAGACCGATGACGCTTGCTAATGAGTCGAGCCGTCTCTGCTTTCAGAAACAGGCTCTGGTTACTTGTATGTCTTTTTTTCACTACAAACACAAATTACAAATCATAGTGTAGAGATTTCGGTCTTTAACCGGTATTCCTCTCATTGCTGTAGAACACATATTTCTGGTTCTAGTCTTACAAATTTCTTTTCATTTTTACTTTTCCAAGATGGAGTCAAAGGGTATTTTCATCTGATCATATCACCTATGTGAAACACCGTCGACTTACCGACATTAACATGCGTTATCGCTGATGCCTTCTGTGGCCCACGGTTCTAGATTTGACATGAGTCATGGTTGGTGTTTGTTTGAGGATTATATTTTAACATTTCGGCTAAAGACGGTTCTTCGGTTCAAGTTTAGCTTCTCTGGTGGATTGCAGCCAGATTTATAAAACACTTGGCATTCGCTCACAAATATTTTCAGTCTTTTTACAAAGGTCCGAACTTAATAACAAGCCTTTTTATTCTTGTGTCTCCAGAGGATAAATCCTACAATCAAATCCCTCTTCAGCAGATTCCTAAGCTCACTTTGAAACCAGTGCTGCCTCCTGTAACTAAACCAGTCCCCACATCGCCACCAGCTGCTGCTCCCAAGATTGCTCTGTTGCCCCCAAACAAACAAAACCCTAACCCTCCTCCCCTACCTCCACCAAAACCCATTTATAAAGTCCTACCTATCGCTCCTGTACCACCCCCGAAACCCCAAAGCCCATCGACCACGGCCCCCGTACAGCCAGAGCATACCAATGGCATCCACGGCCCCCCCTCCCCTCTGAGAAGTCCAGAAAATGATGCGAGCACCAGGGTGAACGGAGAGGCAAGACTGAGGAGTGATCTGGAGGTGGGCTCACTGGTAGAGGTGAACGACCCGCCGTTGTTCGGGGTCATCAGGTGGATCGGTCAGTTAAGTGCTGTTCCAGAGCTGGTGGCTGGGATTGAGCTGGTAAGGACCCTTTCAGATTACCTTGCTACTCAGCTAAACAGGGAGTTTTTCTAACTTTAATCAGTTTGAGGTTGACCATTAGAGTTGGGTAAGAAGCCCAAAGTATGAATACTCTGATCTGATTTCTATCGTACTTTGTGTAGTGGACTACTGGAGCACAAAACGATTTTCAGGTTCTTTGTTTCTTTAAGAGTATATTTTTATTCCATCCAACATGGTGGTCTTAAAACTAGAACAGATGGCAAATGTGGTTCATTTTTTTGTTTCTTCAGGACATTTTTTGTTCTTTTGAAAGGTTCTTCCATTCCAAGTAAGGGTTAGGGTTCCATGTGTCCTAGTCAGTGATGGTCCTGATTTGGGTACAACTTTACAGAGTACCTGAAGACAAGAGAGTCTGATTGACAAATGTTTACTGCTGGTCAAAGAATTTTGAAAACCCTCCTTAACAGCCTCACTGCCAAACTGATGACTCACTCTTCTCCTTCTTTACACTTGAACAAACGAGGGCAGAAATGTTGGACAAGTACGGAGGACAGAAGTATTTGTATGTATAGCCATCGTCTCTCGTGAGTTCACCAACAAGGCAGACATGATGAGCTCATGTTTAGTGTGAATAGTTACTAAACCGTCCGGCTTTGCAGGTGAAACACGAGGCCACCTTTTCTGCTTAGAGTAGATGTTTTTAGCCTAGCATAGATCACTATATTTAACCTCCCTCCTCTGTCTTCTCTGTTCAAAGTATGAACATTGTTCTTCTCATAAAGGTGTCCCTTATCCACGGACAGTAGTGTCTAGTGAACCAGGTCATTTGGGTTTGGGTAGGGTTAGGGTTTATCCTCTGAGTATCCTCTTTGAGGGTCCTGTACTTCTTTTCCTGGCTGACCAGATGAAACCGCGGTTAGGTTATCCACCAGTTTGAAGAGTGCTGTTGATGTCTTCCATGTTCTTCCCGTCTGTCCTACTGAGGACATTCACACTCTGCTGACTATATTCCACTGGTTTGAAGGTTTGAACATTCTTCGTTACATCTACAAAAGATATTAGATTTGAATCTCTCACAGTGCACTCTGAAAATGACTGATTGCAGCTCTTATTGTTGTCTCCGCTGAGCTTGATGTAAATAAAAGGAATACCAGGTCTGAAGGGTTGGTGACCAATGGTGAACAGCATTCATGAGGGATGGTCCGAAATGGTTTGGAATATTTGGGAGGGGTTTTGCTCTTTTGTGTGAACATGTTCGATAAATGGCAACCGATTCATCCTAGTGTGCTCCATAGTGGTGCAGGTGGTAGCACTGTTGCAGTGTTGTATGAAGTGTGTACTGTAGACCAACACAGTGTTCTCCTGTTTCAGGACCAGGAGCTGTCTGCTGGAACAGATGGTAGTTACCTTGGTGAGCGTCACTTCCGTTGCCCGCCCAACAAGGGGCTGTTCGTCAAGCTTCGCAACTGCAGACGAGACTCCAGGTTCCCCGCCCCCGAGAAGCCGGTCAATCAAGTGGAGCGATGCAACTCCATAGGTGAGGAGGCGGGGCTACAGTCTTCACATCACCTGTAGGGATGTTACAGTAATGTAATCTAAAGGAGGGTCATTGACTTGGTGTCATCTGGGCAGGAAATACTGGAACCAAGAGAGCATGAAGACGCATTAATATTTAGTCATTCCCTCAACTATCTATTTTAGCACAAAGTTATGATATAAATCTTTTTTCTTTTTCAAAGTTGTTTGCCAGATTATCCACCTTTTTACAGTTTGAAATAAGAAACGATTGGAGTGTTACTCTTCTCCTTGACCTTTAGTGTTGTGGCGGTTGCGGCACAAAGAGGATTTTAGGTACTTTTCAGGTTTTCCAAACGACTGAGACAATTTCCAACCTCAATTATTTTGTCACGCTTTCCCTAGCTTTTGCGGAGTGGGGCAGTAAACGCGTAGAGGAACACACTCCTCCTATGGAAGGAGATGAGGCAAGGCAGCTCTACGTAGGCTCCAAGAGAGGCATCCAGGGTCACCTCAACTCCTGCTACCTGGACGCAACGCTCTTCAGGTGGCCTAAATCAAATCTTGCAGTAAAGATTACAAATAATTCTGATCGTGAGAAAGTCGTGTTAGTTCATCAAAGAAGGACCGAAATTGTAAATGTTTCAGTTCACCAACGCATCATTTTAATTCTTCAGCTTTTAGGGGGGGAAGTGTTGATTTCACTCATCGAAAGATAATTAAATCAAGTCCTGTTGTGTGTCTGTGCAGTCTGTTTTCCTGCTGCAGCTCAGCAGACTGGGTGCTGTTTTGGCCATTTGGTGATGAAACAGAAGGAAGCTCCAAACAAGCTCAGGAACTGCTACGCTGTGAAATCGTCAACCCTCTCAGAAGGTGTGTGTGGGTGCGTGCTTGTCTTTATAGGTTTAGGTGGATGAATCTTAACTTTAACCTGTACTGTGTGGACATTTTTACATAGTGGCGACATTTTGCTGGTCCACACAATGTGAAGCACCCTAAAACTTGGTTTTAGAGGTTTGGTGTGAATTAAGGCAAGGCAGCTTTATTTATACAGCACATTTCAAACACAGGCAATTCAATGTGCTTTACAATTATCAGGACATGATATGAAAACACATAAAAACACAAATTAAAATATACATAGATAAAATTACAGTTTAGCACTAAAGGAGAAGACAAAGTTACAGGGAAGATTACAGTGGAGACGACGCATGATAAGAAACAATTAAATTATGGGCTGATGAGTACATTAGGGTTTTTAGTTTTGTTTTAAACAACACTAGGGTTGGGGCAGATCTGAGGTCATGGGGAAGCTGATTCCATATGTGAGCAGCATAGTAACTAAAATCATCTCTACCATGTTTTGTTCTGACCCATGGTTCTACCAGCTGGTTGTTTCCAAGGGATCAGAGCCCTATTGGGTGTACGTACAGGAACATGTATTTTGGTCCCATGCCATTGAGTGATTTATAAACTAGTAGGAGCACTTTGAAATCTGTTCTGTAGTTTACTGGTAACCAGTGTAGGGATCTAAGAACAGGAGTGATGTGCTCCGTTCTCTTAGGTCTTGTTAAGACTCAAGCAGCAGCATTCTGAACAAGCTGCAGTTGCTTCACAGCTTGTTTTTTCTAGCGTTTCTCCAAGTCTGGTCTGGACATGAGACCTCTGACTCTTGAAATATGATGAAGGTGATAAAACGCTGATTTAGTTAAAGCCTTAAGTTGTCCAGAGAAGCTCAGGTCGAAGTCAATAATAACACCAAGATTTCTAACCTGGGTTTTTGTCTTTATTCCCCTGGAGTCTAGCTGAGCAACAACATCCATTCTATCCCTCTTGTTGCCGAAGACAACAACTTCAGTCTTGTGTTTGTTTAGCTGAAGGAAGTTTGACTGCATCCAGTCGTTTACTCGCTCTAGGCACTGACAGAGTGAGTCCAGTGAATGACAGTCGCTAGGTGATAAGGCTAGGTAGATCTGGGTGTCATTTGCATAGCTATGATAGGCAGCGTTGCTATTGAGTATGACCCAGGGGGAGCAAACAGATCACACTTCTTTGCCGGTCTTTAAGAGTCACGTGAAAACCCACTTTTTTCATTTAGCATTTCCTGAACATGCTTGAATTTGGCTTACTTTTATGTGGTTTTGAGTCTTCGCTTTTAATTCTGTTGTCTCATGTTCAATATTTTAATCTCTTTTATCAGGATTGTATTTTGTTTTTCAGTGCCTTGGCCTCCCGTAATGGGTGAGGAAGGCACTATATGAATAAAGCCTTGATTGACTGATTTAGAAATTAAAGAGTAGTAGTCTTAGAACTGAGCCTTGGGGGACCCCACATGTCATGGCGATCCCCTTTGATTGGTAGTCCCTAATGGAGACAACATGGCCCCTGTCTTTGAGATGAGATTGGAACCAGCCAAGCACTGTGCCTGATAGTCCCACCCAGTTTGTGAGTCTGTCCAGAAGGATGTTACGGTCCAGAGTTAACTTTTAGTTTAGGTTGGGTTAGGAAATTAACCCCATTGGCTAGGGTTAGGGCTGAACTTCCAACACAAACTTCATGACAATCCAAAACAACAGTTCTGGTGTATGAGAAGTATGTAGGATATGTAGAAGAAGAAGAGGAGCAAGATCAAAAGAAATGTTAAAACCGGTGCCAGTGGCTCATTATGGTCACTGGGGCAACCACCAGTAGCTCGTTAAGATCACCAGGGTTACCACCTGCTGCTCATTCAGGTAACGGTGGTAACTACCTGCAGTTTGATAAAGTAACCATGGTAACAGCACAGCTCTGTCTCTCACTTCCTAAAAGCAAAGCTAACAAGATACTAGGCTATGAACACTCCAAGGAGATTTGAGTGAGAACTACAAGTCTGACAGAAGTGAGAGACACCTTTGGTGACAGAAGACAACAATCCCAACATTCCGATGTTTGGATTGGGTTTGCACTTAAAAAGGTTTTGGGAATAAGAGGAGTTTGTTTGAAAAAGATTGAGACATTTCAGGCGGTTCCATAGTACAGTACAAAACATTTAATCCAGGTGTTCACATTCCTGATGCCTAGTTACCGTGATCAACTAAATGCGTGTGTCATTGTGGTTTTTAAGTAATGGCTACGTGTGTGCCAGTAAGACCATGGCTCTGCGACGGCTGCTGGAGGCTGCTAACAGCGACATGGGCTTCACCAATGAGGAGAAAGGTGAGTCCTTGTTTTGGTACCCTTCAGTCGTGAGACCGGAATGTTGACATGCTGCTCTCTTCCTGTTTGTGCAGATCCAGAGGAGTTCCTCAACAAGCTTTTCCAGCTGCTGAAGGTGGAGCCGCTCCTCAAGATCAGGTCGGCTCTCACACTTTTACTCGTTTCTCCAAGTTTCATCTTAACACACCTGTCATTGGCGTTCATGATGTACACACACACACACACACACACATCCTGCTTGTTCAGTTGCTCTTGTTTGTAATGAGCGCCTGTTGCATGGGTTAAAACCTGAGCCTAATCTTGCATCAGCACTGTTCTTCTGCATTCTTCGGAGACACGTTCCCGCCCTCAGTTCCAGTTAGCTCACACGTCTATGGAAGTTTTCACATTGCATGCATGCATGCAGAAAACTCACTTTTTGTTAACATAAGTAGTAAAGTAAGATTCCCAGTTTTTACCCCACTCCTTCCACTGGTTAGTATCCCACATTGTGGCACAGGTGAGGAGGGTCAGGCTGCAGAAGAATGCAGGTTAATAAAATCGTTTTACGGTTTCGTCTTTCAGATCAATGACTCAGGGCGCTCAGGAGTGTCACCTCTATCAGCTCTTCCCACCAACCCTGCCCACATCCCTGTCCTCACCCATTTCTCCCATTAATTCTCCCATCCCCCTAACGTTGTCGTCATCCATGAGGGTCGCCAGCGTTCAGTCGCTGCTCGAGTCGTCCTTCCATCACTCTGGACTCAAGTTTGTAGAGGTAACAAAATGTTAATGTCATCTGAGAAATACAGAACTGAGTTTTTGTGTTCTACACGATACTATGATCATAGTTAGGACATTGCATCTCTAAAATACAACAAGAAAATGATTTTCCCTCTCTGTGTGTCTTTTGCCCCAGATGACCTCCCCGTTTTTATATCTTGCCACCAAAATGCCGTACCTGTGCTTTTTCAGAGTATTACATTTCTTGTGTATTTGTGTTGATAATTAGAAATGATGGTAGCCTTGCCTGACTTGCAGAGCATATCTCCAGGAGGGACTTTAGCAACATAAAACACAGTAAAATGGATCAAATTGTTGTCCTTTAGACGTAGAGAAGATTCTTTCGTTCAAAGAGAAACCAAATAATTGGAAATTAAAAAAATAAAAAAATTCCAGCCTTGATTCACATTTTTGACCTACCGTGACCTTTCAGGTGTTTCATTTGCTGTTTTATTGATTTATTGGGATTAAAACACTTTTTATAAAATTACTAGAATTAGCAGAATCTACCCCCTTGGGGCTGGTAGTCCTGCCCACTCACTCCACACACATTCATGTTGATTTTTTTGCAGCTTCAAACCATTATTTACAGCTAAAATGTATAAGAAACATAAAATGCAGAACTATCAGGGTTTGAGTTGCATTTTTGTGTTTTGTTTTAATCAGACAAATGTTCCATTTAATCACGGGAGGGGGCGGGACTTAACGTTTGTTCTGGAACCATCCACAAGGGGGTGCATGAATTGATTCAGCTTTAATTTAGGGGTTTCGTCCCCTGGGTCTAGTTTATAAATGTCAACCGTTAAAACTTATCTCTCCTGCCAGGCTCCATCCTGTCTGCTGCTGCTCATGCCCCGCTTTGGAAAAGACTTCAAAATGTTTGACGCCATCTTGCCCACCCTCAGCCTGGACATCACTGACCTGCTGGACGACGGTACGAATGGTTTGCCTTAAACGTAAAGATGTCTCCTTTGTGTTGAGGTTGAGTTTCAGTCTTCTCGTCTTCTTTGTTTTTGTAGCTCTCAGACAGTGCAGTATCTGCCAGTCTGTAGCTGAGTGGGAGTGTGTGCAGTGTTACGAAGACTTGGACATCACTCCGGGACATCTTAAACAGTACTGTCAGACCTGCAGCACACAGGTAAGTCCTGCGTCATCAGGGACATTCTGCCAGATTGGTTTCTGTCCTCTAATATGTTAAAGCAACACATAAAAACTTTCCCGCGTCTCCCCCTACTGATCGAAAGCGGAGTTGCAATTGTCGTAAACAAGCCTGCCGCAGCCTGCTAACGCTAAAGCTTGGTTTATGCTTGACGCATTCACTTTCCGCTTGGTGATGCGGCTCGCAGATGGAACGTGCTTCACAACTGGCAGCGTTTATGGTTCGTGCGGCTTGTCTCTGCGGTGACCCAATATTCTCCCAAACTGAACGGGGCAGCATGGAGCTCTACGGCATGCATCCAACACTACACCATAGTAGAAGTAAAAATTACTGTTGTTTACAACATGGCATTCCAGCATTTTTAACAGCGTCCTCATCTTTTCCGACAGTTTGATCTATTTCTCTCCAAGAATTATTAACATGTTGATCACAGTGATCTCTGAGAGCTGAATCATACAAATGTCCGTATTTATGAACCTCTGTCATACTAGTTCTTGCCGGTCCGCCATGTTTTTCCGCATCCGTCCGTCCACGTGGTTAGAAATTTTCCGAGGTGCGCATTGCGGAAATCTTGGGCCGTGCGGAGACGCGGTGGAGGGGTGTGGTTGTTAAAATGACGCAAAATGACGCAACTTCTCCACGCGGAGTCGTGCGGACCTCGCGGACGCGTCAAGCATAAACCAACCTTAACATGGCCCAACTGATGACGACTGTTGCAGAGGAGGTACAGTAAGTGCCTGTCTCATGACCAAAGAGTTGTGGGATCGGGTCTCGCTCGGTCTGTTGCAGTCGTCGTGTCCTTCATCTTCGTAACATATTATTTATGTAGCAGTTTTGACAAAAATAGCAAAATAATACGTCAAAGTGCTGGACAATATACAACTTAAACGCATTATAAATGCAACAAGCAGCAGGTAACAATTATAAAGACCAAATAGTATCGCAATAGAATGATTAGAGTTGTTGTGGCAAATACAGAACAAGCTAGGTCGCGGAACACCCATCCCCCCCATCGGGTATGTTCCCTGAGACGCTTCTGCCAGAACCGGAATATCGCAATGCCAGAGGAAACGAGAGCGCTAAACAGCAGTTGCTGTTTTCTAGGCCCAAACGTCTTTTGTTCTCCGTGACTTCAAATGGTGATTTTCTTTTTGGGACTCTGGATGATCCAACATTTGCTTTTGGTCAAAAATGTTTGAGATTTTTAGACAAATATGAGGGAACCACTTTATTCATTATTTTTCTTCTTTTTTTTCTCTCCACAATATATTTACAACTATAACTATGTTAGAACGTTTTTAAGAGGCATGAAAAAAAGTTATGTTAAGGTCAGCTGTTTTCCAGATTTGCTATTGCAGCTTTAGTTAAGCCAAACTGCTAAGCAGAAAGCACCAGCTGAGTAGGCTGGACTAATATGCAGTCTGCATGAACGCAAGTTTATAGAAATGTGTTTTAAGCCTACTTTCCTTGATTGTAGGGGCCGATCTTACTGGCAGAGGCAACGCGTTTCAGACACAAAAGGCATGGTCCCCTCACGTTTAAGCGTTGGTGGAATGACGAACATTTGTAATGTCAAGGTTCATACACGTGTAACATCTCAAACAAAAACAAGAATCTTAAAGTCAATTCTGTACGTAACTATAATCCAGTGCAGCGCAGCCAAATCCAGAGGGGTGTGCTCTCTCGTCTTTGAACGTGTCAGCAATCTGGCTGCAGAGTTCTCCACCAACTACAGTCCAAGTTGTTTGGCTTGCCTCTACAAGCAGGGAATTACAAGATTCCAAACGTGGTCACAAATGAATGAAAGGCCATCTCTAAGTGGGCCCTTGATAAGATTGATCTGATCTTAGAGATTTGGTGCAGGTCGAAACAACAGGAACTAACGGTCAAGCTAACATGTTTCTCAAATGAGAGCTCATCATCCATTTTTTTTTATCTCTGATATTTAACCTATCAATGGCTGAAGAGAAGTGGATTTCCCATGTCTTAATGGAGTATATTCCTGCCAATTATCTGCATACATGTGAAATTTAACTTTGTTTGTGGACTATCATGCCCATATGGAGCAGGTAAATGGAAAACAGAAGTGGCCCAAGAACAGACCCTTGTGGCATGCCATATTTCAAGACAGTATGTTCTTGGGCAAGAGATTTGACTCACCTTGCCTGCTGGTGGTAGTCAAGAGTGGCACCTGTGTTTGACAGCTGTGGCTACATTGTAGCTCATCGTGTGTGTGTGTGTGTGTGTGTGTGTGTGTGTGTGTGTGTGTGTGTGTGTGTGTGTGTGTGTGTGTGTGTGTGTGTGTGTGTGTGTGTGTGTGTGTGTGTGTGTGTGTGTGTGTGTGTGTGTGTGTGTGTGTGTGTGTGTGTGTGAGAATAAGTGAACTGGCAGTGAATGTTGGAATGTTTAACTTGTGAAGTGCCTTGAGATGGCTCTTGTCGTGATTTGGCGCTTTATGCATAAACTGAATTGAACTGTTTTGTGAAGCGCCTTTTGGGGTTGTAGAACCCTAGAAGGCACTATATGAGAACGAGCCATTTACCATCTAAATAAGCCACAAAGTAAAAAGATCCACACTGTTAGACAAAATATTATTACTTACAGGTCCAATAGCAACAAAGCCAGGTCACCATCGGTCCGTGATTACATCGCCTTCTTTAGCTCCCTCAAATGAGTGTAGGCCGCGCCAATGTTCACTCTGATTTTACCGGTTTGTTTTGTATTCAAAGACATTATCCTCTTACTTTCAGGCTCTGCCATGATGTCAACATAAAAATATATTATTATTCTTGTGATTTTTACTGACGTTCAGCAAATTGATAAACCTATCTGCTAGCCTTTATAAGAGTTACCAGTATGTATGTATATATATATATATATATATATATATATATATATATATATATATATATATATACTGAAATGAAAATGAAAATTGTCTAGGTCATATATATTCCTACCCGAACCACAAAACTGTTAAGTTTCTTGAAGTTTCTGCCTCAATAAAAACTGAAACCTGTTTAAAAGCAATATCTTAGTGTCTTAAAGTCTTTAATGTGTCTTTAACTCTATTGGCAGGTTCATAGTCACAAAAACCGGCTCTCCCACCATCCGGTGAAGCTCAGTGTTCCTGAGGGACAGTGGTCGGGTTCTCTGCCCTACACTCGCCAGAAAATGTCCCTCTTTGCTGTGACGTGCATCGAAACCAGCCACTATGTGAGCTTCGTCAAGCACGGATCCCAAGACTCAGACTGGCTGTTTTTTGACAGCATGGCTGACCGTCAAGGTTAAAAAAAGAAACTCAAATTTAGATATTTTTCCTTTGAAGAGATATCAACACGAGTCTGTTTCTGTGTTTATTTATTTTATCCCAGGTGGTGAGAATGGTTTCAACATCCCACAGGTGAAGGCGTGTCCCGAGGTGGGCCGCTTCCTCAGCCTCTCTGAGGAGGAGCTGAGCCACGTCGATGCCTCCTCTTTGAAAGAGTCAGTCCGCCGGCTGCTCTGTGACTCCTACATGTGTCTGTACCATAGTCCAGAACTCAGTCTATACAAGTGACTCAGACACACACACAGCAGGCTGAAAACACATCTGATCATCTGTTCTGTCTAAACTTCCGGGGCTCTCATTATCCTTAAAGTTAATCCAGAAAGAAGGAAACTGTCTAAAAAACTTGAGCACTGTGTTTAATATGAAGAGATTGTTGTTTTCAACCCTAACCTGATAAATACACAAAACTTGTTCCCGCCTTTTATTATAAACAAAACAAACAAAAGTCCTGAAAGGATTTTCTGACAAATCTCTCGCAGAATATTTAGCAAAATGATCCACAACTAGAAAAAATATCAACAGATGTTGCCGTACTTGTGGAATCAGTTTCCATGTCTTTATTTGCAGATGACAAAATGTTCTATTGTGATAGATGTTCTTTGCAAAGTGGCCGTTCGTCTTGTTTTTACTCATTCATGAGGGTAAAGTAGTCTCAGAGGATTCTAATACTTTTACTAGGGAATTAGTGAGAATTTACTTTTCAGCATTGCATCAAAAATATAAATATAAATACTATAAATATAACTTTGGTTTCTTTATTCATAATGAAGCTGAAAACATTTTGCACTTGACTAAAACAGGACAGTTTTTGGCCAAACTTTCCACACTTGATGTATTTTTTTCAGCTTTTAGAGGTTTTCAAACATCTGATCACGTCTAATCAGCCCAGTATCATTTTATTGGTCATTTCTGACTCAGAGATCATGAGCCGTTAAAACTTAAAGATATAATCCAAGCACAGTCTTCTACAGGCAGTTCAGATGAAATATAAATATATGGCAATAAGCTGAGTTTACACTGTTATGTAGCTTATGAACAAAGAGTAGCAGCCTGAGCTTCATCCATTCAGAACCACGCTGGTTTAGATTCTGAGTGGAAACTGCTTTATAAATCTGCACACACTGGACAGAAGCACTGTGCCTGAGGTATGGACTGTTTTGGGTTTACCACTTGGTTTGCACTGCTCAGTAAGTTTGTATATAGCAGTATTGTCTTAAACTGACAGTCAAGAAGATTGTACACAGATGTTTAAACTTTTACAAAACTCACCAGGTGTTTTCTATTTCACTGCTGCAGGAAGATGTAGATGATGTTTCACATAATAAAAGCTTCTAAGTGAATCTGTCTGTGATGTAGTTTTTTTATTCTTCAACATCGTGTGACATCAGAAACTAGACAGTTGCATGATTATATTCATATGTGATGTGTCAAGTTGTCAAGGTAAAATCAGTCATTCAGTAAGGTTGCATTTAGTGAGGGATTGTTAAAAAGGTGGAAGAAATAATGAATGCAAAGGCAAATAAATGCTTGTGTTTTTATTACATTTTGTTTTAACACTAAAACTGCCCTGACCAGTCATCTGGACTGCTGCATTTAAAGGTCAATAAATTCACCAAACAGAAACGATGAAATTACTAAGAGACAGCCTGGTCGGATGCTGGAGATGCTCTTTGGCTGTAGAGTTTTCCAGTTAAGATATTCTGTCTTTATCTTGCCCTGAGAAATCAGCAAGAACTTCTCTGGCAGTGGAAATGAATGCCTCAGACAAAAATAGGTAAACATTATCACATCTCATCCGTAGTTTACATAATAAACATTAAAATCAGTTTTTAATAGAAATTTGTGCAGCTTTAGGAAAAGTCAGGGGGGCTGCATGTTTTTATTTGATAAAGTAATTCAACATCCAAATTACAACAGAACTAAGGTCTTTCTAGTGTTAAAGTTGAGTTTGAGCTCTAGTTTGGAGAGAATTGCAACCCTAATATTTTTGGTTTATTACAGTCATAAAGAATTTAAAATAAGAAAAATATTTTTGCCTGTATTTAGAATTAAAAATACGTTTTTAGAGATCAAATTATTATTTTTTTAGTAGAAACTTTTTACATAGCAACTTTCACAAAGATTTTTCAAATCACAATTTTTTAATCAAACAGCTGTAAAACAAGGATGAAATTTTAAAATAGAGCAAAAAGAGATTCTATTTTGTTTTATTTTGTAGTAACAACGGAAAAGTTATGACGCAGTTTCCGCTTCGTCAGCGTAGAGAACGTAAGTGCGTCATAATTGCGGGCCCCAGAATCAGAGAAGAGGACAGTAGTGGCCGTGGAACAAGTTGTTCTTTGGCTCTGCCTGCGAGCTAATTTCTCTAATTTCCTGCTAAAAACTCTGTAAACGCTCGCTGCGGCGGTTTGGATGGTTCTATAAGGTAAATTAATCTTTAATGGACGGACGGAGGTTTTATTCACACTCAGCATTCGGTAATTTACAGAATCATCCTGCTTCCCGTCGTCATCCTGTCTTCCTGTTCTAGTAAATATTAGCTGTTTGGGTCAGTTGCTGTTTGTTTATGAACAGCTGGACCCGTCTAATTGCTGGTCCAGACCACTCTACCTGACAGCTAACTGTAAGGGTGTGTATGTGCTTCCTGGATGAATCCAGAACCTTTTCAGCGAATCATCAATGGAAATGATGCCAAGAGAAGCTAGTCTGTGCTAAGTGTTTTTATCTGTAGTTAACTGCTACAACAAAACATTAAATGTCCATTATTAATATAACAAGAGGAGTGAGTAAAGATAGGACAGAGGAGGATGTGCAGTCTTATTCATTTACTAATTACTTTGAGTGAGCCTATTTGGCTTAATTATTTCTTAATTTGCTGCACAAACTGAATAAAAACCCAGCAGAACTCTCACTGCGTTCATCTCACTTTCTGTTCTATTATATTAGTGCTTTTTGTGGTTAAATAACACTTTACACATCGGTTTAAATAGAAGTTACGTAATTAATTTTGTTTTTCCATCCTCTAGGTGTTTTCTGTCTCTTGAGGTCCAGCGGTGAAGCCTGTTGCCATGGCGTCTCCAGGGGGACAAGGAGGAGGGGCTTTGTCCACAAGAGGAGGCGGCGGGGCTCGGAGGATGAAATGGGCTCTGGAGCTGAGCGTAGGAAACACACGGTACTGAGAAGACCAGGCTGGAGCTTCAGAACTCTCCCTCTAGCTAAAGATGAACATTATTATCGGGACGGCGCTAGCACAGGAGTTGAGTGCCTGTCTCATAACTGAAAGGTTGTGGGATCGAGTCCCATTCAGTTTGTCGCTGTTGTATCCTTGGGCAAGAAACTTTCAGTTCTCTTTTGGCCTGCTGGTGGTGGCCAGAGGGACTGTTTGTCTTGCCTCTGTCAGTGTGCCCCAGGACAGCTGTGGCTACTAATGTAGCTCATCATCACCTGTGTGTGTGAGTGGGTGAATGACTACTGTGAAGCATCTTAGAGGGTTGTAGAACCCTATAGGTGCTATACAAATACGAGCCGTTTACCATTATTGGACTAACGTGTAAATATCTGTACAGGATGTGAGGGAAGTTGTAGAAAACAGTTTGGTTTTTATTTTGTTGGAGGCTGCAGCTGGATGGAAAGTGTTTGTTTTGTTCCGATGTTCCCAGAGGCATGAGGCTCAAACTGTTAATAGTCCAGGGTGGGACGGGTCAGCTGGGGGCGTGCAGGTTCTGCAGGCAGGGCAGGTTTCAGCTGATCACCTTCTCAGTGGATCTGATGTTACGCTGGAGCTTCTTTCCATCTGTGACATGATGATAGCACAGAGATGGTGGGGTAGACTCGATGATGTTCGAGTAGAAGTACACTGTGCCTTCAGGCTGAATCTGCCCAGCGGCTGCTGTTTTGTTAAGCTCCCAGGTGAGCGTGTGATAGATGATGGTTCCCAGAAAGTGATGGGTCTCCTAGAGTCTCAGTGATGGAGACAGGAGCAGGTGGACCTGTGATCTTCCTGAAGTGACTGTGTGGTGTTGGTCTGACATCTGCTGGCTCTCCGGTATCTCCTCTGGATCGAGCCCAGTGTGGGTTTGCTGTTTGAAGTGCTGGCTACTGATGAAATAGTGTGTGGTTAATCTAATCTGTAATCCACATATTCTGTATTCACTTGTTGCATCAAAATGATTCTTATTGTCCAAAAAAGCTTTATAATACCGTTAAGTGTTAAGTTGGGTCAGTACAAAGTTTGCACTCGGCCTTGCTTCTGTCATCTTGACAGATTATAAAGTACGTCCTCACGGCTGACGTGCTGTTTAACCTAGCTACAGCACCTGAACCCACACTGTCACACTTTAGTGGTCAATGTAGAAAACTACAGCAGAAATGAAAAGTCACAGTGACGCCACTTTCAGGCAACTGCAGTGGTATCGGTTAACTTAACAAGTACTAGTACATGGGATCGTATCGGTGAATCCCTGTTCTAAACTAGCATCAGAAAACGGCACCATCCTACGGTAGACAGAAGAAATCTGTTTTTCCGCTCGTAGCTGATCTGTTTCTGTTGCTTTTTGTGTCGTAGAAGCCGCAGCGATCGGCAGGGCGGTCAGGGAGACGTCGTCTACCCCATCGGTTACTCTGAAAAGCCTGTTCCTGACACCAGCATCCAGGAGACGGACAAGAACCTGGTGGAGAAGGTGAGGAACCGTTCTACTCGGCTCTAGTTAGATTTTTGTTTTACCTGTTTGTACCATTTTAAAGTTAAACCTCAGTAAATGCAGCCTTAAGTATAAAAACCCAGGAGAAACTAAGACGTTCTTCACTTCATACATCCCGTGATGTCACAGATCAGCCGATTGGTCTAAACATCTGTCTCCTTGTCCCTGTCCCACAGCGCTGCTGGGACGTGGCCCTCGGGCCCCTGAAGCAGATTCCCATGAACCTGTTCATCATGTACATGTCGGGCAACACCATCTCCATCTTCCCCATCATGATGGTCTGCATGATGGCCTGGAGGCCCATCCAGGCTCTGATGTCCATGTCTGCCAGTGAGTATCCACCAGTCTGGTGTTTGTCTTCGTCTCTAGGTTTTAGTCCTCACTGGTGTCCTCTTGTGTCCTCAGCCTTCAAGCTGCTGGAGAGCTCCAGCCAGCAGTGGCTACAGGGACTGGTCTACCTGATCGGGAACCTTCTGGGAGCAGCGTTGGCCATCTACAAGTGTCAGTCCATGGGACTGCTCCCCACACACTCGTCTGATTGGTTAGCGTTCATCGAGCCGCCTCAGGTGAATAAACGCACCGCTGTCGCAGACGACATCATTCAGTTCACTGTTCAGTTAAAATGTGATATGTTTGCTTTCCGTGTGAGTCGGCTTTCAGAGTTTTGGATTTCATCCGGTTTCCTCAGAAGTGTTCGGATCTTCTGCTAACCTGTTGTACTGCTAGTGTTAGCCCAGCAGAGGGCAGCGTGTGGTCAATCTGTGGTTTAGATTTAGATCAGGAGGTTCAGACTCCCAGCCATGTTGGATAAATAAATAAATGTTTCTGACACAAAGGAGTGAGTGTCGCTTATAAAACTCGGAGTTCTAACAAAGGCGGATGTGAATCCAGTCTTCAGACTTGGTTGGTTTCACTTCTTTCACATCTGGTTGTTAAAATCTCTCAACTCTCTTTCTAAGATGTATTTGAAACACAAAAATATGTTTATTTATTTAAATAATGAAATCAAAATATTACGAGAAAAATCCAATGAAAGATGTGTGGAAGTAAAATAAATACAAGAGTAAAAAAATAGTTTCAGTTAACAGTTAAAACTTGGACTTTATTTTAGATCTTTTATGTGAAATAAAATATTTATTTTGCTTCCTATACAGCCTTTCACCAATAACCCCACACATCTAATAATATTCTAAACTTGCTCATTCTTGAACAAACTCGGGTAAATTTTCTCTAATCTATGACAATAAAAACAGGAAATATTAGAAATTTAGTCCTAAACACGTCGTCTTTATTTTAAATCATCATTTTAAAGCAGTTTGAGGCATTTATGGAGATCTATGCAACAATAGCTCACAATTCTTTATATTTTCAGCTGTTTAATTGAAGTCTGATCCAACAATCTGCTTTTATCTTTAGATGAAGTGTTTTGGTTTTGAAAGTGTATATTTATTTATTTATTCTGCGATAGACTGGCTCTCTGTCCAGGGTGTACCCCACCTGATTGCCCATTGACCGCTGGAGATAGGCACCAGCCCCCCCGCGAACCTACGTGGACAAAGCGGGTTCAGACAATGGATGGATGGATATTTATTTAGTTATTTATTTATTTGTTGTAGTTTTTGGACCACATCAGTGTGGAATTACACTCCTGATCCATAAATCTCCTTGGTGACGAGCCCAGATGTCGGGACCAGGGTACCAGGATGATGTTCACCAGTGGAGGCAGACCTAGACACACTTGAGGGAAACTGGGCCGACAGCATGTAGCTTTAGTCCTGCTGGCACGTTCGTAGTTGAATTTCTGTGATTCATCAGCAGAGCACAGGTTAAAGCTCCTCCACCTGCCCAGAACGCGTTTGTCCTGTCTTTGGTATGCGAGTCCAGCTTGTTTATCTACAACTCTGCTGTTTGTGTTCCCGAGGCTCCGGTTGTTTATGGCCCAGCGATGTGCCCTAGTTAGAAAGGTCACGAGTGTCTCAAATTGATGCTCAGATGGTTAAAAATAAACGTGCTTAATTCCAGAAAAGGCTGGTTTTGTTCTAAGATGAGCTTCTGATGGGAAACCAGCAGCTCATCTGACTCAGATGCTGATTAAAGGAATCTGTCATCAACATAAATCTATATATAATCTATACATCTTAATGCTAATGTCAACCACGTCCTGCCAGGCTCCTCCCAGGTCTTGGCTGCTGTTAGACTAGCCGTTGGCTCATCAGTCCTGTTGGACTTAAAAAGCCATACACAACAAGGCAGATGGTAATTATAATTATAAATGACTTGAGCTCCAAAGCACAGAATAGTGATAAAACCCTTTTAATCATCGGTTGGTTCCAGGCAGGTGTGTCGGAGCAGAGAGACGTCTAAAACATGCAGGACGGTGGCCCTTGAGGATCAGAATTACACGACTCTGATTTAAGGAAAAGATGTTTTTATCCTGGCGAGTTAATTTCCACCTTCTTCCATGTGTTTGTTCTCAACAGAGGATGGAGATCATGGGCGGAGGGATGGTGCTGTGACGTAGCCCCGACTCACAGAGGTTACATACTGTACAAGCCCCGCCTCCATCACAGCGGAGAGGAAACTAAAGGCTGTTATTTCATAACATCCACGTCTGATCCACTCATTAGTTACATCAGGAGCAGGTTGAAGTTTTATCCACTATTAAGGACTTATTTTGGCCTATTTTTTGCATAAATATAATTTTGGCTTGCCTTTGCTGTCATTAAAATTACATTTTATTGTTCATTTAGACCCTGTGAGGATGAGTCAGCAAACCACGATGTTCAGTTGTTTATAGCTTTCGGTTCAGAGCCAGACCAGCCTGTAACATCACTGATATATATATCTGTTCAGAAAATAACTAAATATTAAAATGTTTGATCATCCAGCAGATTTTCTATGAAGTTTAAATAAAGTCTGTTGTTTCTCAGTCTGTGGCGTCACCGGGACTTCAGCATGCTAGCCAGCAACGATGGTCCAGTTTTAAATGAGGTCTGGTTAATTTATGCTGATTTGTTGTATGGAAATGATCTATTAAATAAATTCTTATTGCTTGAACTGGATTGTTTTAACGTGTCAGTAAATTCACTGGATCATCCTTCTGGAAATGGGGTGAAATGACGACATGAAACGCTGAATTCGATTCAGTCCAATTTTGTTTTGATTCATCCAGTTTTAAAAAGGGGCCCTAACTCAGTCAGCTTCTCGCGTGTTTGGTTACAATCGGGTTTTTTAGTAGCGGAGGGTCAACAAAAACGTATTCCTGGTGCTATCAGATCATGCATCGTACTGTAATATTATATTAGTTATAAATGTTGCCAAAGTGGCTATATCTACTTCACGTCTCACCATTTAATAACGCCTTTAAAAAAAGTCTTCGCAGTCCCGTCAGAAGAAAACAAAGAAGCATCGAGAATAAAAGCTGCCAGGTGAGAAGGATGAAAACGAGAAACTGGAAATGCGAGACAAGCCTGTATGGAGTTCATTCATGCCAGGGAAGATCTGCAGATGAAAACTTAGATGTATTCTTATTTATGAAGCTATTCATGGTTGTCTCATTATCTACAACTCCTTAATAAAAAATGAGTTTCTGCTTCCAGTACTGGTTTCTTTTGACTATAGCAAGATTGTTTAATGTGTCTGAGTGAAATTACTTTAAAGTATGTTATTAAATTTAAATAAAATATAGTGGAAAACGTTTGTTTTTACAGTTAAGTGTTTACAGAATACACAGTATTTGTTAAATGACATAAAAAAATCTAAATAGCGTTTACACAAATTCTAAATTGCAAGGTTCCATGTAGAGTGAGGTAAAAATAAAAATAGTTTTTTCGATTATTTTAAAGTTATTAGTTTCGATTCAAAAGGGTGATGATGATATAATTTTGCGGTTTTCAAATATTTTAAATTGCAAAAACATGGGTAAATTGTGATAAGCGAAGTTTAATTTTCATCCTGGGTAAATATTTGGTTAAATATTTTAATCTTTTGATAACATTTTTAAAAGATATTAATTGTAAGAATGTTATAATAATGAATACTTAGTTTTTCATTATAACAGGACTAGTTATTTGAAAATACAAACTAGACACAAATTTCCTTTTTTACCTTAAGTCTCAAGAATCCTTGTAAAATATAGGAAATTTTGCCATTTCAATATACACTCACCTAAAGGATTATTAGGAACACCTGTTCAACTTCTCCTTAATGCAATTATCTAATCAATCACATGGAAGTTGCTTCAGTGCATTTAGGGGTGTGGTCCTGGTCAAGACAATCTCCTGAACTCCAAAGTGAATGTCAGAATGGGAAAGAAAAATGATATTTTGAGCGTGGCATGGTTGTTGGTGCCAGACGGGCCGGTCTGAGTATTTCACAATCTGCTCAGTCACTGGGATTTTCACCCACAACCATTTCTAGGGTTTACATAGAATGGTGTGAAAAGGGAAAAACATCCAGTATGCGGCAGTCCTGTGGGCAAAAATGCCTTTTTGATGCTAGAGGTCAGAGGAGAATGGGCCGGCTGATTCAAGCTGATAGAAGAGCAACTTTGACTGAAACTCGACTAGTTACCACCGACGAATGCAGCAAAGCATTTGTGAAGCCACAACACACACAACCTTGAGGTGGATGGGCTACAACAGCAGAAGACCCTACTGGGTACCACTCATCTCCACTACAAATAGGAAAAAGAGGCTACAGTTTACACAAGCTCACCAAAATTGGACAGTTGAAGACAGGAAAAATGTTGCTTGGTCTGATGAATCTTGATTTCTGTTGAGACAATCAAATGGTAGAGTCAGAATTTGGTGTAAACAGAATGAGAACATGGATTCATCGTGCCTTTTTACCACTCTGCAGGTTGGTGGTGATGGTGTAATGGTGTGGGGGATCTTAATGCCAATTGGGCATCGTTTAAATGTCATGGGCTACCTGAGCCTTGTTTCTGACCATGTCCATCCCTTCATAACCACCATGTACCCATCCTCTGATGGCAACTTCCAGCAGGATAATGCACCATGTCATAAAGCTCCATTCATTTCAAATTGGTTTCTTGAACATGACAATGAGTTGACGATACTAAAATGGCCCCACAGTCACCAGATCTCAACCCGATAGAGCATCTTTGGGATGTGGTGGAACGGGAGCTTCGTGCCCTGGATGTGTATCCCACAAATCTCCACCAACTGCAAGATGCTATCCTATCAATATGGGCCAACATTTCTAAAGAATGCTTTCAGCACCTTGTTGAATCAATACCATGTAGAATTGAGGCAGTTCTGAAGGCGAAAGGGGGTCAAACACATATTAGTATGGTATTCCTAATAATCCTTTGGGTGAGTATAGATGTTTTAAATAGCAAAGATCCTGGTGGAACAAATAAGCTATAAACTAATTATCTTTAATTAAGGTTTATAATTGATTAGAGAAAATCTTGATTGAAATTTTTAAAGAATTCAAAACAATCTTTTTTTTCAACAAAATCAAAAAATATTAACTACGCTAAAAAATTACTTTTAGAAAATAGATAAAAAGTTATAAGACCTCTTGTTAAACACAGAAAAAATATACATTTTGTTTGCTTTGATTCTATTTTTATTTTTTTTTAGTATCTATATCTTTGTTATAAGTGTTGGTCTAGGGGTGGTGGCACATACATATGTGTAGGTAAAACCAACACGGTGGCATCAATGACGTTACTCACCTGCCTTTGGGGGGACCGGTCGGACTCGCCTGGCTGACCCAGACCAGAGTGACTGTGGAGGGGGCGGAACAGGTGAGGAGGAGAGGCTACAAGAAAGAACGACAGAAGAAAAAGAGGGAGAGACCGACTCACAGTGTTTCACCACGTGTGGACAGAAAACGATAAACAGTTTTTATCTTCTACTCTTCGTCATGCGGCGGTGGGAATATTTTAGCTAACATTTTAGAAGGAGGCGCGAGACACTAGCTTAAAGCAGGAGCAGCTGTACACACCTGTTTGTTTTCTGAAAGAAGGAGCACTGCTCTCCTGTCGCTACAATTTTACCTTTATTTTAAATCTTTGTGAAACTTGAGTGTTAGCCATGGAGAGAGACGACTATCCTAACCCGTTTATCACCGAGGTGAAGCTAACAAGAGTTCGTCGAATCAGGGTAACTTTTGTTTGTTTGTTTGTTTTTGTCACTAAAAGGGACAGACTAGTTATATTTTACCCAAGAGAAAGCCACAAAAACTCTGTTTATAGACTGAAAGTGGAGACATTTTTGTCAGCCTCAGATTTCAACCACCTGAGACTAATTAATGTAGAGCAGACACGAGGGATTGTTGTTCTGCTTAGACTCATTATAAATGAATAAGATATCCAAAAGTATCAAATAAGTTCCTAAATGGTTAATTGTTTGTAATATTTCATGTTATTGTGGCTCTTGGGTGAAAATTAAATGTATTTTAAAAAGTTTTTCCTCTCATGCTTACAGTTTTTTATGAAAGTTGCAGGTAATGTTTGGGTTTTTGTACTTTTACCCGAGTGTTTGCAAGGCTCCGCCTGCACTACATTGAACAACATGTGTTTATATGGTTTATCAGACTCTTCAGTGGAAGACAAAGTTCAGTGTGAGGCGTGTCTGGCTCTGAGCATACCTGTGTTGCATAACCATACCTGTTGGGTGAGGCACATGAATCAGGTTGTTAAAGACCCATGTGGAAAAATATGTAAAATTTAAATCTGTTTTTATTTTTTTTATTTTATTCTTTTAAGATCAGTAAACAAATGTAAACATGAGTAAAAATGCAGCTTTCTGAGTGAAAAGGTATCCGAACCAACGTGGTCTCATGTGGAAAAGTAATTGACCCCTAAACTTACTTTGGCCACATTAGAAGGTTTTTCCATGTGAAAGGGTGTGTTTAAGGTCAAAGGTCAGACATTCTCCCTACTGGGTGTCCAGGTCCAGCCCATCACACTGCCACCACCATGCTTGATTGTTGGTGTGATGTTTTTCTTGTTTTAACGTTGGATGTAACAGAAGACACGCCTCCTATTGTTGAATCCTGACCTCTTAAGCAGGCGAGGTCTGCAGAGTTTGAAATGGTTTGAATTCTTTAGTCCTTTCGTTTTCATTTTTTCAGTTTCAAAAGTAACTAGTCATTCCCAAGTTGTTTTAGATTTATACTTTGCCATTATTTCAAATAAGCTGAAAGCTTTATAAAAATGTGATGTAAAAGATGGAGTGACTTCTAAAATGTGAAAACTTCTCTGGTTTTAACAGATTTTAACTTTTCGTGTCTCCAGTGTTTCATTTTTAGATGTAATTATTTTATTTTAAAACAAATTTACACTAAGTTGAATATATTCAGTTAGGTGAGGACTTGACAGATTAGTACACATTTATTTTAACCCTGAATAAACACATTTGAGTGAAACCAAAAAGGCTCAGACATTAGAAATGGTCTCAGAAATGTAAACATCTCAGGTTTATAGATGTAATACATTAGTGATGTTTTTGTTCCCATAGGGAATAATCCTGGGTTGTATCCTCGTTCCTCTCCGCATCACGCTGGCAGCCATCTTCTTCCTCATCATGTGGCCCATTGCTCGGCTGAGACTAGCCGGTTTGTCCCAAGAGGAGCGCTCTCGACCCGTCACAGGCTGGCGCCGCTGGTTCTTCCACCCCATCGTCTGGTCCCTGAGCCGAGCGGTGTTCTTCTCTCTGGGGTTCCTGTGGGTTAGGGTCAAAGGTCGCAGAGCCAACCTGAAAGAGGCGCCGGTTCTGGTGGTGGCGCCTCACAGCAGTTTCTTGGACATGCTGGTTTTGTGTCCCACCCAGCTGGCCACAGTCGTGTCTCGTTCAGAGAACACCAGCTTACCCGTCATCGGAGGTAAGGAGCCGAGTCGGAGAGACTTTAGCGGTTTGCTGTCTCATCAGGATGAAAGTGGCTGCTGTTTGGGATCAAGTTGGGTTTTTTTTTTCTTTTCTGTGGCTGAGGATGTGCTTTCTTTTCCTCTCACTTTTAAAAGTTGAGTCAGTGTTGTAGGAATAAGATGTTCAAGCTACATTAAAAAACTAAGAGTCGCAGAAAATGTTACAGATGCCACATATACTGTTAAATCACCATAAAACCTAATGTTATCTAACCTTTTTGACACATTGTTGACACCTTTTCAGCCACTATTCCTAGTGATCCATGATATGAAATCTTTGAGCCGATATTCATATCACTGTTGTGGCCGACAACCGGTATTTGCCGATACCGATAAACTGACATTAATTCTTCTAAAATCAGCTGATTTTGTATAAAATGCAAATAATTAAAGCTGAATTTATGTTATTTACACACACCACACATATTTACTCTTCTGGGACGATTACAACCACTGTCACATGACTAACCCCCCCCCCCCCCCTACACACACACACACACACCCTCCCTCCCTCTGAAACAGATAAACAAATGGAAACACGATGGGAAAAAAATATTAGTTAATATCGGCCCAGTTTTTTTTTTATCGGACCGATGTGTTAAAAAATGACTAGCATCGGCCGATAACGATATTGATGCCGATATATTGTGAATCCCTAATTATTCCTAACAAAACACAGCTACATAACTGTATATGAATTTAGTATGCTAGCTAATTTAGCTAGCCCGATTCTGGGCTCACTTCCTGTTCAGCTGCTCTAATCCAATCATTAAGAACGGGACGTTCACACTGATTGGATGAGGTTTTTCTTGGATTGTACGTTTCAGACTCAATTAAATTTATTCATTTTTGACAAAACGTTTAATTTAATGGTTTCCATCAAAATGTGAAAAGCCTTTCAAGCAATATGGAAAGAACTGCTCCAGAAAAACACCTCAGACTCCACCTTAACTAACTATAAAGCCTGAAGTGTTAACTAATCAAAGCCAGATGTTCATGCTGGGTTGAGCCCGTGCTGCAGCTTTTACCAGAACCCTGTGGGAGTGAGGGCATCCAGATCTCAGCAGATAATAAATAAATAAAGATTTATTGTATATATAAATAAATATATATATATATATATGTAAATCATTCTCACTGCCACACAGCCACAATCATAGATGTGTTTCATAAGTAATCAGGGGATTTTATGAATGAGAGCAGCTTTATTGGGAGTTTTGTCACTTTGAAAGGAGAGAAACAAACAGATATAAAAACCTGACAGAAAGCAACAATACAGGATAAATACAGCAGAAATGCTAATTAATGACAAAATTGTCATTAAAGAAAAGAGAGAAGCTCGTGTAATGGATGCAGATTTAATTCCTCCGCTGGTGGAAGACTTTACCTGTGGGGAAAAGTTGGATTAGCTTTAAACTCCATGTGAGTCTTATGGATCTTTGAACTGATGCTCCGAAGCTTCTAAAACCATATTTGACTGGTTATAAAGAACCACCGGTACAGAAAATACCTAAAAACAACAAGATTTGTCTGTCTGCTGTTTTTTATTTTTACACAATTTCAGAAATCTCACAGTAATAATTAGCGAAATGTTTCTAATCCTATTTATCTCATCTCTTGGAGGGGCAGGTTTGGGTCATTCGCTACTTCCTGTATGACCCAACGCTCCTCTGCCTAAACAGTAGTCACGGTACTATGGGAACTAAGAGCTTCATGTGAACAAGAACAGTGTTTGGAATAAAGGAGCAACAGGCGAGCAGAAATATGCGAGGAAGCCCAAAAATAAACAAGCAACTCGTTCCTTTGGCGTCTAATCTGCTCTTCTACTTCCTGCCTCTGCGTTTTTGGGTTGCCCTATCTGACTCTCACCCCTTGGTGACTGTTCACACTAAGTTGTTTTTCTATTTTTGCTTCAGCTCTTCTGGAGTTCAACCAGTCTGTGCTGGTGAGCCGGAAGGATCCGGAGTCGAGGAAGAAGGCTGTGGCGGAGCTCATCGAGAGGCTGACCTCTAAGGGCTACTGGCCTCAGGTATCCATGGAAATGAGGGTTGAGGTTTAGAGGTTGTCTGTGGGACAGTATCTTATCTAACGAAAAGTAAAAGAGGCTCGTTAGTTACACCTACATGACCAAATAGTCCAGCTCAGATATTGACCGCTGATGGCTCTTGTCCAGATGCTGATGTTTCCAGAAGGAACCACCACCAATGGCCGCTCTCTGATTAAATTTAAACCAGGTGAGCATCTGTCTGGTCCTACTTGATAGCCGAGAGCCTGCCGCCTGTTTCTACTCCTGTAGGAATGAATGAAAAGTTGAACCTGATGGTTTTGCTTCTTGATGGCTGACTCGCCCTAACAAAGGTGTGTATTCCTCACGTTCTTTTTGTCGTCACCAGGTGCCTTCCTTGCTGGAGTCCCAGTCCAACCAGTTCTGTTGCGTTACCCAAATAAAGTGGTGAGTAGAAGCAATGGATTTGCTGGTTTAGCCACTTAATAATAATAATAATAATAATAATACATTTTATTTAAAAAGCGTCTTTCTGGTCACTCAAGGACACTACAGAATAAAAACACAACTCATTCAGTAAGTAAACATACGTAAACATCAACAAAACAAGGCACTCTAAAATTCAAAGCTGATATGTGGTTCTGAAGAGGTGAGTTTTGAGTTGTTTTTTGAATTCTGTGAATGAGTTAATGTTCTTGATGAGAGGGGGAGGGAGTTCCAGAGTTTGGGAGCGGTGCAGCTGAAGGCTCTACTCCCCATGGTGCTGAGATGGAAGGAGGGCAAAGAGAGATGAATGGAAGAGGAGGACCTGAGGGAACGGGACGATGTGAACGAGATCTGTGAGGTAGTGAGGGGCGAGGTTATGGATGGCCTTGAAGGTGAGAAGGAGAATCTTGTAGTTAATCCTGGTGTGCACTGGTGGCCAATGGAGTTGTTTGAGGATGGGGGTGATGTGATGAGAGATGGGAGTTTTAGTAATGATGCGTGCTGATGCATTCTGAACCAACTGGAGCTTACAGAGGGTTTTCTGAGGGAGGCCTGAGAGAAGAGAGTTGCAATAATCGATACGTGATGTAACCAGACTATGGACAAGAAAAGAAGTAGAGTGGACATCAAGGGAGGGCCGAAGACGATTAATGTTACGAAGATGGAAATAAGCTGACCGTGTATGCTATTGATATGAGATTGGAAGGATAGTGTGCTGTTGAGGATGGCACCCAGACTCTTGACCTGGGGAGAGGGAGAAACTGAAGTATTATCAACAGTGAGAGAGAAACTGTCAGATTTTGAGAGGGTGTTCTTGGTACCAACCAAAAGAAGTTCTGTTATGTCTGTATTTAATTTCAGGAAGTTAGAACTGAACCAGGATTTTATTTCTTGAAGGCAGGTGATGAGGGAGGAGGGAGGAAGTGCAGATGTGAGATTCTGGGCTTCTCCTCAGACGGCTCCTGGATACGTCGACACATTGGAGACAGGAACAAGCGCTATTTAGCCAATGTTTCATGATCAGGGAACATTTTCTAAATGACAAGTCTCTCTGAAAGACCGGGCTTGGAAAACGCTCGCTTCAGTCAGAGGAATCTTCCCGCATGCGCTCTGGTTCTGCAACGCACTCCAAGCCCCTTTCCACATCTTCAGCTCACTGTGCACCTTACGTACGCGCTGAGCAGTGTCCAGCTCAGATGTTCAGATGGGAATCATTTCTTGAGTGATTTAGCTACATCTTCGTTGTGCGTGACGAACTGTCCGGTCAACACAAGCCCTGCTTTTGACTGTTCTGTTTTCTTGTGAAAATTGTTGCAAAGAGATATAATTTAACTGGATTAACACCAGAGCCAGGAGCACCGCGCCGTTATTTCCGTCATTGTAAATGAGGGGAAAACAAATTGATCGGATCCTTTTCTGACCTTCCCCACCTACAAAGTTTAATTACAACAATCAAACGTGACGGAGCCTGGATTTGTATTCTGAACAGTATAAACATGTTTTAAAAAGAAACGTATGACAAAAGTGGCACCTGCTCAGTAAAACCACCAACAGGGTGAAAAATATCAAAATATTGTAGGCAGAGACGGGCTACAGCTTCTGGATCCATGTTATATAAATCATTTTATTGATTATCGTCTTATGAAAGATAACTTTGACGTACACGAGCGACCAGTACTGGCTGCTGTCACCTGTTGTGATTGGTTAAAGCAGCTCTCTGCTGTCTGAGGGTAGGCCCCGCCCACAACGCCGCGGCTCCCAGTGTTTTCTTTACTGTGGGAAACGGGTTATAATGGCTCTTTGATGGGAACAGGTTGCCGACCCCTGGTCTAGGGGAAACACTGAAGTGCTATAAGTTATTTATCCAGTATCAAAACACGAAATATTGCGATATTTCAGTGCATCAGTATTTTTGTGCATCACTAGAAACTTATGAAGGCAACTGCTTCTCTGAGTTGGAATGACTTTACATAAAGGTACAACACGTCCAGAAGCTTTAGCTTTACAACTAGCCAGGAAAACCTAAACAGAGTCAGAAAACTAAGTGAAAGTCTAACAAACCAAAGACCTGTTGCACAGCAGAGCATTTGTCTCGCTATAGTTGGAAAAGCCCAGGATTATTGACCACGTACTCATGTTTGTTTACCATCTCGTCTCCGAAAAGCTGTTTGTAGCTCAGCAGAGGTAACCAAGGAACACAATCAATCTGCTTCTCCGTTGCTCTAGAAAAAACAGGTCAGGTGTGTCAGGAAAAGTCAAGTTAATAATCTGCTCTGGTGGGGATCGTTGGACATTATGTCTTCTAGAAACGGTCAAAAATAAAGTAACTTAAGGATTTCCGTTTATAATTTGGGGAGGATGGTTATAGAAAATGACAGCAGTACCTGTGCTGTGGGGATCTGATAACATTTAATGGGTTTAGAGAAACAGTGAAGCAGCATGGCTTTGGCCTGCGTTTGCATGCTGCATCTGTACCAGGGCCATGTGAAAGGCCGTGTACGGGCTGTGTTCTGATAAAACCTGCTCTGCCACCCTTATATGGTGTCCCCTGTTTGATCAGTGCTTTATGACTCGTCCCCAGGACACCGTTCGATGGGCGTACAACGGAACAACCTGGTGAGTCCCTTAAAGCTTCAGACACATCTAGGTCGTTTTAGTGACAGGAGTGTGTCGGTGTAATGCCGCAACGTTGGAAGGTTTCACGTGTTCTGTATATAATGTCAATACCATTGAATAGAAGAGCGGTCTGTTTTTTAGATGATGGGTGACTCTTCCTGCTGTTTGGTAGGATGTTCTCAGGAGCGATAACTCTGTTTACATGGTGTAATAATCAAACATCTAAAAGTGGTTTTAGAACGTTCTGATCCTAAAAACCACACACACACACACACACACACACACATTAAATCTGATCGTTCTAACCTCTGGACCTATGGTTCTGTGATGCACCTTTTGCAGACATTTCATGAGACGTTTTATGTAAAGTTACCCCTCACCTGCATAAAGCCCACGCATCTGTAGAGCATTAAGTACATCTGACACAATCTTATCTTTGTCTTATTTACACTTTATTTACTTATTTACACTTTATTTACTCATCTATGGAGAATCCATGCAGAATAAGGGTGTAGCGGTACACCCACAAACCCGGGTGGTGCCAGCCTACTGTGGCTTTCATGTCAGTTCGGCTCTTCTTCGGCACGGCCAGAGAACAAAGTGAACAACAACAAAGGTCTTCTTTAGTGTAAAAGGCTACGGCTATGATGACATTTAACTGTTTAGTAAATTCTACAAAATATTCTCACGTACATTAAATATGTATGAGGAAATGATACTAAGTAGTTTCTGTTTAGGAAAATAACATCAATACTTTATATTTCTCTGTTAAAAATGACACACGATCCTCTGTTTATAGGAAATTAACCGTCTGTATTTCCATAAGTGCACCATGGACTGTTCCACCGGTAGCCCTGTTCAGACTCACCCTTCATGATTTTCATAGAAAGAGCATAGAACATTGATTTTGTCCTCACTGTCCACTGAAAGGACAGATCAGGCCATTCTAGTATCTCTGGTCTCTCTGTGGACACTGGTGGCTTAGTTCAGTTTAAACTTCTGTTAACACAGTTGTGGTTGCTAAGCAACAAGCTAGATCATCCCAATTTTACAGTCCCTCACAGTCATTTCTGGTCTTCCTGGTCAACTAAGGACCCGTGTCTGGTACCAACACCAGCTTAGGCGTCTAAAGTCCTAATCTGAATACATGTACCATAGTACTCCTAGTATATTCCTGATGTGGGAATGTTTTCTGTTTTAGTTTTCTGGAAACGAATCATTTGAGCCAATCAGAAACTGTCGCTCCACCAAACTCCTTTTAATTATTTTATTGTTTTAACAAGTCATAATAAAACAATCTGATTCCATCAACCCGTAAATAAATGTTTTTGTGATCCTTTAGAAAGTTTGTGCCCATGATGTAAAGTTTTCTACCAGCTTTAGTAGAGCAGTGGTGCTGTCCTAGAGGGCTTTACAGATGTTCCCAACATCTGGTGGAAGGGTTAGCTTTCAGCAGAATAATGAGCGTATAAAGGTGTGTTTGTGACGCTCTGCATTCATGATTTCTCCAACAGGAAAGAGGTGGTGTGGCACACGACCTCACAGCTTTACACAAACATGACTGTTGAGGTGAGGCTGGTCTCATTATTGACCACAGAGATTTTCACCATGCTGCAGCAGGCATAGGAGCCCTGACTTTTATTATTGTTGCACTGAATAATCATGTCTACATAAAACACCAGTTCTGTCTTCTACTGCAGTTCCTGCCCGTTTACAACCCCTCTGAGGAGGAGAAGAAGGACCCCGGCTTGTACGCGGACAACGTCCAGAAACTCATGGCCAAGTAAGCAGGAACCAGAGTGTTACTGATCTTCTGGAGGTTGGTCATTGATAACACGATGAGGCTTCCAGCACCAGCGGTTTCTGTGAGGGCTAAACAGGAAGTTGTAACCGATTTAGTAGGAATGCATCGTTCCTCTTGGTTACGAGTCTCCCGCCAGCATCCTGGCCTTGTGACAGGTCCAGTTGTTGCAGATGGCTGCCACTAGGTGGCAGAACTGAGCTGTATTTCACCCACATCTTCATCTGTTTTTGTTTTTCAGAATACGTTCGTCTCTTACTTTAACTTCTGGTCACTTTTAAAGAGCATTTCAGTCATCAATAGGAGCAGATTAATGATCCCAATCACACATGGCGAGTCTTGTGTAACGAGACTGTTTTCTGTCTTTCAGAGCTTTAGGAGTCCCGGCTACAGACTATGTGATGGAGGGCCGGCTTCCCGTCAGCCTGCAGGGCGGTTTGTCTCTACCGGTTTACTCTCCTGGCAGGAAAGCGTTGTCCCTGCTACGTAAAAACGGGTCAGACACCCCCGCCATGTTTCTGGGATGAATCGGTGATGTGACGACAGACACTTTAATGAAAACTTAACCTCCTGTTTCAGTCTGGGAGCAGAAGAGGTGAAAGTGGCTCTCAACAGAATGTTGGACCGATGTGGGCCAGGAGGTCAGGGGTCAAAGGCCAGTGCAGACGAGCTCGCCTCCATACTTTCACTGGCTGATAAACAACCAGCCGTGGACATCTGTGGCTTTTATTCTAAGGTACAGTCGCGTTCCCGTACACAGCTGAAGTTTACTCGGATAGTATAAAGTAATAAACAGCTACAGGAGCAGTAAACTCGTTTTTGAGACGGTCATGCATGCAGCCTCCGAGTCACGAGCGAACACGCTGCAGGGTTCTTCCTAAACCAACCCACTGATGTGTGCTGCTGGTTCATGGCCGACGTCTAGAGAGGTCCACCTCATTTGTCAGCTAAAATGTCACTGGTAACCATAGCAGCTTAAAATCCTTAAAGTTTGATTGAGTAGTTTTATACTGAAATGGATATTTGAGACTTAGAAGTTAAATGGTAATCTGGAGCCTGTGTGGTGGCGCTCGTGTGTGTGTAGCTCGTCCCGGTGCTGGAAAATCTTCACAAACTCGCCTTGAAAGCTACTGAGGCTCACATGTAGCCGAGTTGAGATGAGTTTAGTAAAGGTGTTGTGTGGATTAAGGGTGGGTTTAGATGAAGTGACCAGATGTGTCTGTTCCAGGATGAAACGGTGGACCTGAGCCAGGTTTACTTCAGTGTTTCGGCTGTTTCAGGGCTCACCAGCTTCAGCGCCCTGCTCCACTCCGCCTTCACCGTACGTCTGAAACTAAAGCCTTACAGATCTCGCCTTGTAGGAGTGCGTTTACCATCCTTCTCTTCCAGATGTTTGACCGTGACGGCAAAGGCAGCCTGAGTGCAGAGGAGCTCTCTGATCTCATGGGGGCGCTGCTCGGCCATCCTCAGCACGGCGTTGCTGCCCTCTACGCCGAGGCTTCCCGTCAGGGCCGGCTAACGGAAGGTGAGCATCTGCTGCGATAGTTTTAGTAAAAGCCTCTGATTTCTGGTGAAAATGGGACAAAAACTCCCGATTCATCAACAGGAAGTCTGCTGAAAGTGCTGACGACCCATCCCACCTACCAGAGGGTGGTGAATGAATACCTGCATCCAGAGGGGGTGGAGTCTGGGCTGCCGTTCACCACTCTGACCAATGGGAAGGCGGAGAACAACAATGGACTCTCGCTCAACGGATCTCTCCATCACAAGGAGGAATGAGTGTTTCTGAACCGAGCTGTTTGACAGTTGATGTTTCTAACCAGGAACGCTGGGTTGTTTTTAAACGCAGCGTCACCTGCACAGATGCTGATGTCATCATGAAGGTGGCAGAAGTGTGTGACGCTGCTGAAGGATGAACGCTTGCTCGTGTCACTTTTTATACATGGATGTGCTGTTTCAGGTGTTTTTAAGGATGTTATTTATAAAGGTGTGTGTGTGTGTGTGTGTGTGTTTGATAAAGTATTATTTTTTTTTTTGGTGTATCTTGTTTATTTTGACAATAAACTGAACATTTTAAACACATTTAAACATGCGAGTCTAAATCTTTGGGGTGTTTTTTGGGCGGTCTTGCTGCTCTGGGCTGGACGCAAGCCTTCTCAGTCTCCTTTGAGCCTTGTTTCTGTTTAGGAGCTCCACGTGTGTTTTTGGGGTTTCTTGGCTGGCTCCACGAGCCGGAATGGTCCCTCCACGTCCTCTGCTCAGAACCTGCTTCAGCTTTAGTCTGGTCTTTGACTTCAGCCCTTATTATTATTTTCATCTCCCCGGTATTTTCCACACTCCATCGGGAAGTCTCTGGAGCCGCTTTAGGAGTTGTCTTGGGTCTTTTTGGTGGAGTCTTTGCCGTGCCTCTCTTCGTTAGAGGTTTCTTTGAGATGTCTTTTTTAACTAACTCTTTTCGGGGAGCCTGTCGTCTGGCCTTTGCCTCTTTTGGCCCCTCATCCTGATCTTGGGTCCTTCTCTTTTTCACCGGACTGGAAACGAGTTGTTGGGTTTCTCTTCTCGGCTTTCTCTTTCCTGCCCTCTGTGTGATCGGTGTCTTGGTTTGTTCTTCTGCTGCCTCGGCAGCTGTGCCTTTAGCATTTGTCCTCGCGACTCCAGATGTTTTACTCCTCGCAGATGGTGCCAGTTTTTGTAAAAAATACATTGGTTTCCCGGTTTTCACTCTTCCTGGCCCATCCTTGTTGCTGCCTTCTGCTGATGCCTGGTTCGGATGTATGTCTTCTGTCTTGGTCTCTTTGATTACCTGAGTTTTTATCTGTCCGTTCTCACCTAGGTTCCTCTTGTATTCCATTACTTTCCTCTCCAGCAGCCTCCGACTCTGTCTGACTTGTGTTATTTTTTCTGCCAAAGGGCTTTTCTGCTCACTGCGTCCTTTTTTAAGCCGTTCCTGGTTTATATCACATCTTCCTCTGATTTTAGTTGCTTTTGTCCTGATGTTCAGACTAGATCCCCCAGAGGGACTGGCCTCCATCCTCTGCACCGCTGGTGTCCATTTGCGTTGCAGTGAGTCTGGGTCACTCTTCGTTACGGTCGTGTCGTCTGGGAGGGTGAACGTGTTGTCCAGGATGAAGCAGCAGTACGGACAAGCGGTGCTGCGGGTTTTAACCGGGATCTTGTTCTCTTCGTGTGATGGATGCATGTTGTCAAGGAGACGGTCAGCTTCCTCCTCCAGGAGCGGTGACTCCACCAGGGGGCGACACAGATTTTCTTGTGATTTCTCGTGGGAATCTTGTCTGTTCAGGTGTGGGTTTGGTTCTGACTTGATGCTGAGAGGATCGGAGTTTAGGTGGGAAGAGGTCAAATCAGGAGGAGACTGTGGAGATGTTGTCACGGTGACGGGAGGTGGATCTGAAATTGACTTCATGTTCAAGAGCACAAAAAACAAGAAAATGTGCACAATTAAAACAAAAAGACCTGATTTAAGATTAAAGATATATTCTCTATCTCTTTTAGTTTGAAACCAACCCAGGTAATCTGCTGAGTTAGACATTTCTGTCAAATGTAAATAAAAACATGAGATGAGTTCTACTTTACAATAAAGCTCCATTAGAAATGGCTAATAAGGAGCTGATTGTCTTTTCTTACCAATAAATAACGCTTAAACATTTATTAAGTGTTAAATGTGTATTATATCTATAAGCCATTCATAAGGGCAGCCCTACTCTAACATGGTCCTGTGAGATTTTGTCTAAAGCTTCTGTTACCTCCTGCTGCTGCTCCAGGGCTGAAGACAGGATGGAGTTCAGGAAGTCAGGATCCAGGCTCCACTCCAGCTGAAGAAAACACACCAACAGTTGTAAAAATAAGCAGCCTTTTACAAATGAAGGCAACCTATCCTGTTGAGGACTGATGTCATATTGAGATAAGGAATTAAACCCACAGTTTGGACTAAGTCCTCGTGATGACCTAAGTCATCCAGGTACTGCAGACACAAGGTGTTTTCTGCTGTTTCAGTCTCGTGTCTCTGGTCTTCTCCCGTGTCTTCTGTGGCCTGAGGTTTACACGACAAATACTTATTAAAAGGGGATCACACATGTTTACAGATTACTACGTGTTATCTAGAGGAATTAGGGATGTAAGAAAATATCGATACTCTGAAATATCGCGATATCTCGTGTTATGACACGGAATCGATAATTAGAAGAAACATGTCGATTTTTTTGTTGAGAATTTTTACTCAAACGTTTACTTTTTGTGTTTTAGTTAGTGCAATTCAAACTCCAACTGCTAGGTGGCAGCAGATTTTACAACCTTCAGTCTAAAAACTACGAATATTGTTTGACTTTTAGGATCACACAATATATACATATACATATACATGAACACACACACACACACACACACACACACACACACACACACACATGTACATACACTTGAAAACAAAAGCATTTTCAACCTCAGAACAGAGGGACTTCAGGGCAACCATGCAGTCCTCACAGGGTTCAAACTCGAGGTTTTTCTCCCAAGAGGACGAAGGTCCTGGAGGAACTTTGAGGTACTTTTTGAGGTTTTGTAGTTCTTCATTCTTGTTAGGCGCTTTCTGCTGTTCATCTGTGAGGGGAAGGACGCACGGCCACAACTTGACCATAAAACCTTATTATTGTAATTATTTATACTTTTCTACATAAATTACTGACGGCTGACCTTGAGTTCCAACCAGACTCTTGTCCAACACTGATGGCGGCGTCACCGTTTTATCCAGCAGTCTGTTTTGAATCCTGGAGTCATAAATGTTCAGTTAGACTCTGATTTTACAGTTGGGTGCAAGATGATGCCTCTAGACTCACAGAGCTGAGTTGTGGGTCTGCTGGACAGGAACCTGGGTTAGGCACCAGCTCATAGGTTGGATGAAAGCAGGGAGGAGACCAATGCCACTCCAACAGAACCCCTGTGGGCTGCTGGAGGGAACCAGCATACACAGAGGAGGTCTAAAGGGAGGTGCGTGGGAGATGAAGCTCCTAGTGGGCCTTTGGGAGGGCTGAGGAGCAAAGGGACTGCAAGTGATCAGTGTAGAGTTATTCTGGACCCAAGAACAAGGTGGTAACACCATCAGGTTCAGTGGAGACACCAAACAGCTGGGGATCAGGCTTGGATCTGGGTTCCTACAACTGGCTGAACGATGCAGTTGATCAGGTACACCCATCCATCTGTGCAGCTCTGCTGCAGTCAGAGACTGGGAGCTTTCACGACTTGTTTGTGGAACAGGGTCTGCCGGCCTTGTGGGTCTCGGCTCGTTCAGTGAAGAACTTCCTCCAGAATCATCTGAGATGAAATCAGGGAGGGAACACTCCTCGAGATTCATTGTGGAGATGCTGAAACTGTTGGACAAAAGATGGAAGTTACCTCAGACAACTTCTCAGCATGTAAATGACTCCCAACATAAAGTTAGAGTCTGCTGTGAGGTTTTCTGTTCCTATCTGTGTTTTCAGGGGACATTTTAAAAGGAAACACATGTGAAGGAAGGTTTTGGCATGAAAACCTGTGCAGAACCAATCCTCTCTCAGACTTAGGAGGCTGCTTTTAAGTACCAGAAAAAAATAAACAAAGACAACAAGACTGAAGCAACAAGTACTTTGTAACACCGCACACTCGGCTAAGGTTGCAAATATCTCCTCTGACTTGGTTCTTTAATTGGTTCTTATATTAATTTAAAACAGCAATTTGAACATATTTGTTTCACTAGATAGGCTTAATGAAGAAAAATAAGTGTTCTCAGGGGAAAAAGATGTACCGGTAATAATTTAATGAATGAATTTTCATGGACTTACCTTTCTCGTTTGACATGAGTAGTTTATGGTGAATGCTGCAAAAACAGATTCCAACTTTATGTCTGTTTGAAAGTAAACATCATTATTGTTTAATTTTGAATGTGAGCTTTTGGATTTCATAATTCTGGAAGAATTGGATTTAAAGAGCAAGTCAACCCGTACCAGATTCTAACTCCACTCCCACTTCATGTTTGAAAAATGCAACAAATGCTGTTGCCTGGCAGACCGAGAGGGCGGAGCTGCTAACAAATACACAAACACACAGGCATTGTGACATCATAACGTACCAGTTTACATCATAGCATACCTCTTAGCCAATAGCGGTGGCAGATTTAAATTAGAATACAGTGCAGAATTTTTACCTGACAACGGCACAACACTGACAGTTTTAGGCAGAATATCTAAATTTTAACTAAGATGCACTGAAGTGCCAAATTATTGACGGCACATGTCTGCAGCACGATTAGACACTCGTTTATTTAGTTTATCAGCAAAAAAAGTTTATTTGGGGGTGACTTGCTCTTTAAATAGTTTTTATATTTTATTTGTTTTATAGCACAGCAGAATTTTCATGCAGATGTTCAAGAATGTGTTTGGTTGTTTTGGTTAAAAACACATTGTGTTTTGTTTTGAAATTGGACCAGTAAAAGTTACTCTGTTACTGATTCAGCTAAGGGCCAAAATACTTTATTTGTTCTCGGAAGAAAATTAAATGTTGTAAATCGATATTCAGAAACAATAATTATAACAATCTAATAAATATTGTTATAATAATAATCATCTCATATAATTCAAGATTCTTCAAAGAGTTGTTATAGATGCTGGTGGGTCTGTAAAACGTTGAGAGGTGGTTAGAATAAAGCATAAAAGTTCTGAAAATGCACTTTTATTAGTGTGTGATATTCAAAAGAGCCTAATTTGCGAGTAAACTCAGTTCCCCATGATTCCAAGCGGCCTGATCATTAAACCGGATATCCGACTAGAAAGTTCGTTGCACGTGGATCCACGTTTTCTAGCTTCCTAAAATAAAGTTGGATTTTTTAAAACTTATAAAGCTTCATATCAAGACTTTTCGTCATGTTTTTGCAGTTTTATCTTAACGAGTCTGGAGACAGAGTATATACTCTGAAGGTAATTTGTGTGTGTTGTTCGTAACATGTCTTCTCTCCTATCAGTTTCACGTTTTAGCTCATTACATTTAAATTTATTTTGTTGGAAAACGAAAAGTAACATCACGTGGCTTCTATTAAAACATAAAGGAGCAAGTCAAACCAAAAATAAAATCTCAAGATGTGTTATTCGTGTTGTTTTCACGTTAGCCTCACATGTAGCTAACATTGATAGCAACTAGTAGCTAACATGGATAGCAGCTGAGCTAACAAAGCATGGCAATGCCGCTTTATTTATAAAGGCTACTTCATACCAGGCAATTCAAAGTGCTTTCCATGTGCAGCCAGCAAAATAGCGGCGAACATGGACAGTTGCAATTAGTGGCTAACGTGGAAAGCTTGTAGCGAACCAGTATAAACACAAATAGTTATATCCCAGATCGCCTTTGTGTGTTTTTGGACAAACACATTTGATTTTAGCTTCTGATTTATACCATATAAAAATCCTTTGCTTTTAATACGTCAATAACCGAAACGTAACAGTTTAAATTAATACGTCAATAACCGAAACGTAACATAGTTAAGTGAAAAATGCGTAAAATTTAGTTTTTACGCATGAAATAAAAAACTCTTTACATGTTTTAAAAGCTGATTGTACTTGCAACTGAATAGGTTATTACTGTAAATCAGAATAGTGTTACAAGAAAATGAATCAAACATATGTTAGTGAGGGTTTATTTTATTGTATACCATAATAGCCATCATATTCTAAAAGGTGAATTTAGGTGTTACACTTAATTTCATCCACGTATCTTATTTCGTTGGTGAAATGTTAAAAAAAAGCTGACATATGCTTTTATTTTTCAAATCAGTGTTCTTCCCTAATGCACACATATTTCCCTTCATCTTTGCCTCCAACAGAAGGCATCTCCTGATGGGCAGCCCACCAGCTCTGCCCATCCGGCTCGTTTCTCTCCGGATGACAAGTTTTCCAGACACCGAGTGCAGCTGAAGAAACGCTTTGGCATTCTGCTCACCCAGCAGCCCAGGCCAGTCCTGTGAGGGAGCTGGAAAGAGTGGAGTGAGGAGGCATGGATGGATGAAGAGCTGAAGATGGCAACATGGATTTTGAAAGGACACTTGGTGTGTTGGACCTGCTGGTTTGGATCGATTACATGAGGTCTTTAGATTTTAGTAGAGGTTATTGTCATTTTTTATGCTTAAAAATGTTTAATGAATTTTCTTGGAATACTGTTTGAATTCAGGATTTGATGGCTAATTCTCCTTTATTGCATAAATTTAAACAAGTGAGGTGTACTTGACATTGTCTGCAGTAAAATAATACTATGTTAGCTCTTATAACCTCTATTTGTATGCCAGTTTTATTTTGGGGGGGGGGGAACATATAAGAAAATTTGAGTACAAATAACGTTTATTGTGAATATAAACTAGAATGTGAAATATAAGGTGTTTACTATTCAGTCATGGTGTGTAATTTATGAGCTGCAGACAGTTTCCCAGAGGTATTTTTGTTTGTGCTAAATGAATCTTGACTATTCACAAAACACTGAGTCAGTGACTGTTGAATGTCATGTTTTGGTTTCAGTAACATCTTGGACTAACTGAAAAGACAAAATGAACAGTAAAATAATTAACACCCTCAAAGCATACTTGTTATTTTGATCCATGTACTCAAAATACCCAGTGAGTGTTAAAATTTTATGTTTTTAATGAAAAATTGCATCATTTTTTTCAACCTTTATTTTTACCAGATAAAGTGTTTGATAACATTCTCATTTACAAACATCACCTGTCCGAGGTGTTTTTGAGGTGCAGTGGAAAAACATTAGCTCATTTCAGCTATGTTGCTTTTTCTTAATATTGTTTAATTCGAACTTTATGAGCTAATATTTGCTAATTTATCAATTTGAACATTTTAATGTGAAAATCTATTTCCGCGTGTTTTATGTTCAATATGAACTCATCCTTCTTGATGCAAACTGGTTTTGTGCTAAACTCAGGAAACTTTTGCTAAATTTTTGGAATAAGATAACGTAAACAACTTGTTTACGTAAAGACTACATCTCCCCTTACTACTGTCACTGAGTAAAACGACGCATGCGCAAACTTGCAACGGCAAGGGAACTGGGACCTGACGGGCTCACTTGCGTGAGTGTTTTTGGTGGGTTGCTTGGACGAAAAAGTGCAGAGAAAAAGCAGCACAGATGTCAACGGGAACTGCCGTACCCGGTAATGTTGTCTGAGGGAAACGTGAATCAGGTATGAGTTTGACCGTGGTGATGTGTGACATTTTTCACCGGGTGAAATTGTCGTTGCTGCTTGAGTGCTAGCTGGAAGCTCCGGATGAGTTGACTGTTTATTATTGGCAGCGTGGCTAACCACCGGCTAATGCTAGCTGGAGCGCCTGAGACGGAGCTCCTGTGCCAATACCACACCTGTGTGTACCTGCTTCTGCCCGCACCGCACGGCGTTTAAACCTCTCATAATCTAGCATTAAGAACGGAAGATAAAACAAGTTTGTCCTAAAATGGGCTAATTTTTTTTACCTCGCGCGCGCCTGATTTAAGCCGGTTTGAATGTAATAAAAAAAACTCCCATATCTGCAGAAGGGGATAAAACACTGTTATCGCCATTATTTTCCACTAAAATCATTTTAAAGCTGGTTTATTTCTGTTTTGTTTCCAGCTCAAGTGTGTGTCATAACGTTCCACTGACCGGTTCGAGCCAGAAATATTATGGCCACTTTAATTGGCTTAGGATGGCAGCTGAGTAGCGGTTTGCATCATATCTGATTTGGACTTTCCTTATATTCCCATCAGGACTAACGACACTATTTCTGTCGTAATTATTACAGATAAGTGTACAGATGTGTTTTTTCCCCATCTGCATCGTGTAATCATCGATTTTAATTTAAGTACATTTACGGCTGTTTGACAACATCTGATTTAATCTTGGATTCAGTCAGGTGTTTAGTGTTGTTTTTAGTTTGGAGGTTTTTGGAGGCTCTGTTTAAAAACAACAGGCCTGGTATGATTTTACACATTGGTGATGCTGCAGGAGAACTGCATATGAAAAAACAAGGATTATGTAAAATATGCTGAGAGATAATCTGACGTGAACACCGTTTCCTGTAGAAATCGCACAGTCTCCTGTATCATCCTGCCAATTGGTTGTTTATTTGTTGTTATGACAGTATTTTAGCCGAAATCCTGTTAATTACCTGTCTGGAATAATTTAGTCTCTGTGGGGCAGAAAGTGGAGCAACTTCCTAACCAGTCACACTGGCTTTCCTCAGTCGGTAACTAGCTGTTTATGATGATTCATATGTGTGTGTGTGTGTGTGTGTGTGTGTGTGTGTGTGTGTGTGTGTGTGTGTGTGTGTGTGTGTGTGTGTGTGTGTGTGTGTGTGTGTCAGGGACACACAAGTCAGTGTAGAAATCCCAGAATGCTCTCGAGTGGTCAACAAGACTAGAGCAGCGTTTAAAAACTACACTAATCACTTATTTTTCCACTTGCCTGAAGCAAACTAACCAGGAGTTTGTGCCAAATGTTGCTGGAAGTTTAATAATCACCCGCTCGTTCTTGGCAGGGTGATATTTTAATGTCTGAGCTAAAAAAATGGGCAGATTGCTGTAGAAATATTTGCCTCATGTTGAGATTTCTTTTAAAAAATTTTGTTATTTACAAGTTGCAGGTCAGCAAATGCATTCAAAATCAGAGATAACTGAGTCAATGTTAAATGCAGTTTAATAATGATGATTTTATTTATTAGAACAAAATATATTTAATCCAGCATGTGAAAAAGTAAATGCCCCATGTTAAATGGTGAATTAACTGTCATTAATCACATGATTTGGAGTCCAGAGCCGCACTCAGACTTCATTACTACAAGATTAGAGATCACTTCATTAGAACCTTCTTGGGGTCACAGTAGGTCAGGAGATAGAGTGGTTGTCTAGTAATCAGAGGGTTGTGGGAGCAATCCCCGCTCCTGGCAGAGAATGCTGTTGTGTCCTTGGGCAAGACACTTAACACACCTAGCCTGCTGGTGATGGTCGGAGGGACCAGTGGCGCCTGTGCCGGGCAGCCTCACCTCTGTCAGTGCGCCCCAGAGCAGCTGTGGCTATGATGTAGCTCATCACCATCAGTGTGTGTGTGTGTGTGTGTGTGAATGAATGATACACTGTAGTGTAAAGCACTTTGGAGTCCTCTGACTCTGAAAGGCACTGTACAAGTGGGGGTCATTTATCATTTGGCTACATGAAGGAGGCTAAACGGTCTCTAACAGAAATACGCCATGGCGTGTTCTATAGAAGCAAGTCATTTCTGAATACACACCTGAGTTCAGGTACTCGTTAGGTCCCTGTAAGGTCCCAGGATCTGGTCCTTTGAGCTGGTCCGAGGAAATGGAGACACATGCCGTAAAGGTCCAGTAAAATGACCTGGAAGTTCTGATGGTGGAAATGGCCCAAACCTCGTCTGTGGCGTTGTGAGAGACTCATTACCGGTTATAACATGTGCTCGATTACGCCTGCCTCCAAAAGTGTTTTTAGGTTAAGGGGTCAGTTACTATTTCACATGTAGCCAGGCTGGTGTGGATCACCTGTTTGATTAATAAAGTTATTATTCAAAATCTGCATTTTATATTTATTTAATCAGATCATCTCTGTCTGGTTTTGCATCTTCTTCTCTGGTCTGGAACAGAACATGATGCAGCAGAAACAGTAGAAATCAAGTCCTTTTTGTTTTCTACCTCCTGCTTTCATTCTGAGCAGCGCGCTGGTCCCCAGCAGAACCTGAAGCAGCATCCAGCCCTGCCTCTGCACGCAGAGCCAGAGCTGGATCTCTCTGGCACAACCGGTTGGAACCGCTCTCCTTTAATTATTAAATTATTGTCCAAGGCTGAGGAAAAAGAGGGAAAAGAGTAAAGCAGCCGTCTGGCTGTTGTTCTGCCGGGATTCAGGTGTTAGGTGACTCTAGTGGGACATCTGGGACATGAGCTACGCTGCTGCTTCACACACCTCCGTCATTTATGACCCATTCACTAAAAGATGGAAATGAACCTGAAGCTTCTGAGATCATTGATCGAACGGTAACAAACAGAGAGACTTCTGCTTTAACGGTGGATGGATGTTTGTTTTATGATGCAACAGAAGAGGGTCTGTTGATCTTTTAAATAGATTTTTTTTCCCAGAAAAGCTCATGACACACTTCTTGTTGTGCCTGCCTGATTTGACGAGAAACTCGGGATCACAGACGCTTTAATACTGAAAAGTTTTTATTTCGCATTCATGGAACTAGTTTCTAATGCTGAGTCATCTCTTTGTGTTTTCCTCTTCCTGTCTCTTTGCTTTTGCTGCACCCGTGTCTTTCCCTCCCATGGTTTTTACACCACTCTTGTGACGATTGATGATGCGTGACGAAGGTCACTTTTCAAAGCAAGGTGCATGTCAGACACATTTAGATACGTCTAAAGGAGAAAATGTAAAGAGAAGGACAGTTATCAGCTTTCTGTCACCAGAAACCGGCCCAGTCAGCTTCTCACAGTTACTTTACTCTTTCTTAACTGCTAGAAATAGTTTTGACACATTTCTGAAGAAAGCCGATCATCTGCCGGCTTCACTACCATCACACACACTAAGAGTGTGTCGTCACAAATAGAACTTTTCCCAAACCTTCAGTCAGAACCCAACCCGCTCGCTCCCATGGAGTATTTTAGCATACAAAAGAGAGCTAGTCGAGGTAACTGTTACCTCAGCATCAGCTGGGAGATAGCCTAGCTTAGTGCCGCTAATCTGGTCCACAACCCCCCACACACACACACACACCCACCCCCCCTCTTCTGCTTTATCCCATCTGGCACACACCTGCCCCCCCCTTTCTCTATTAACTTCTCCAAGCAAGCTGCCATGGCATCAGTCCGCTTCACTGTGACGCCCACCAAGGCCGAGGACCTCCCGGGACTGTCCGACACGTCGCCTGACCTCAGCTCTCGTCCGTCCAACCGAGTTCACTTTGGCTCCAGGGAGAGTGTCGATCCAAGCGATGGGCTCAGTGAGGCAGGTGTGGCGAACACCGCGTCGGGAGGAGGAGGAACCGGCACACCGGATCACTGCAGCATAGAGCAAGGTGAACGTCACACTTACTAACACAGACGGGGTATGAACCAGATGTTCTCCAGTGGAGCGTCTCACACTGGTGCACAGTTGTGTTTGCGACTGTAGCAGCGTGTGTGGTTGTGGAGGAGATTTATAAGGCTGTATTTTGAGTGTGGCAGAGTCATGATTACCTCCATGAGTCTGGCTTGTTTTTATGTACGTCCTCTCTACATTGTTGAGCTTTCAGTTGTGGATATCGACGAGAATCTGGTGATACGATGTTTATCACACGAGAAACAATGCCATACATCACAGTACTGAAAGCCAAATAATAAATGTCATTTTAAATTGAAAGACCAGGGTCAGACGCCTCCAAAACACTCCGTGTTCTCACGAGACCTCGTTGTTCCGTCAGAATGAAGGCGATTGAAATCTGCTGCCACCTAGCAGTCAGAGTTTGAATTACAGCACAAAAAAAGCTTGCATGGAAATTCTCCCACAAAAAATCAAATGTTTTAAAACGTTGATTCATTTCGTAAACCAAATATTGCAATATTTCAGTGCATCCATATATTTTACATCCCTGTTTTATGTGTTTGTTAATCAGAGTCCATGTGTAAATGAACCAAATCTTTCAGAGTTTTCTGCTCACTTGTCTGTGATCTTATTTGGCCGTGTGATGACAGGTGTTGGGACTGACCCCGGCTTTCCACAGCAGCCGTCAGCAGCACGTTACTGCAGCAGCACGTCATAGCTGCTGATAGGAACCGCTGTGGTCAACAGAACCTTTTCCACTGGAGCCGTCAGCAGCGCGAGTCGGCCGCGTCTCAGGAGCAGCATGTCGCGGCCTTTACGCGCCGGTTCTATTTTCCACGCGCGACGCCTCTGAAACGGGTCAAGTTCGACATCTTTGGGGAAGGAAAGACAGGAAATCGGACGCGGAAATGGAGAGAAGCTTCCGAAATTGTCAGAATAAAGAAACGTACTGCCTTCCGGTTTCTTTACTTTTAAAAAAGTTACTAAATGTGCGGACCCGTGAGAAGTTATCACCTAGCTAGCGGTCTCCTTTGTTTTTCAGGTCCGTATTGGCGATTATAAAACGGACAGAACATAAAACACAAACCATGTTGTAATTTTCTCCTGCTTGTTGTTGTGTTTACTGACGAAGTCACTCGTGTGACTTCGTGCTCGGTCGGTGACAGCTGCTCCCCTGCTGCTTTGCGTCTCGTGGGAAGGGCCAAGCAGCAGCTTACGCGAGCAAGACGTGCTGCTGCAGTAACGTGCTGCTGACGGCTCCTGTGGAAACCCGGGGTGAGACATGAATGGTTTGGGCTGGAAAGAAGAAGTGTGTTCTACTTCTGTCACACCTGACTCAGATCAGAGCAGACATCCCTCCTCAGTCACAACTGTCAGAATGCAGAAGTTTGTCTAGTGGCAGAGTCCTGAGAAGTGCTTCATGGTGACCCCTCACTCATGTCAGTGAGCCAGTATGTTCCACCATACACATGACACAGGTACAAGTCAGTGGTCCGGCTCAGGGCTGCTAACGAGTTAACTGTTCTCATAGGTTTTTAGCCTCTAAACAGAAAACTATTTCATTTATTTGAATGTAAGAGTGATTGGGTTTCTGATTGGTTGAGGGCTTCATGGAGTCCAACAGAAAAATGAGCTATAATTAAAGTTTAGCGATGTTGTTCAGGTTCCACTTCCACCTACAGCACAGAGGCAGTAGAAAACATCTTCTAGTCGTGTCAACAGGTGAGAGGGATGACCTGCACATTCACCTGATTCAGAGGAGAGAAGTTGTATGTAGTTTATTTTTGGATGTGTGCAATAACAGAATTTCTAAAGGCGTGAGAGTGGCTGTGCTGATTGACTGGCTGTAAGCCTGAGCAGATGTGTTGTCTCCACTGATCCACTTAAGCACTTGGGTAGTAGTGAGGATGCCCCACGTTGGTTGTTTAATAAGCTTCCATAAATAGAAATGGAGACAGCTAATCCGAATGTGTTTTGATCAGGTTGCTATACGCTGCGGTTGTTGTTAAGAGTCTGTTCATATTTCTGCTTTGGTTGCTGGAAAAGAGAAAAAAGAGAAACGGTAGATCAGCAGAATCCGCTGAAATAGAAAACCCTCTTGCTGATGTTACTGAGGTCAAGGTCCTGAGATGTTCTCACAGGGGAGGAAGTCAGGGCAGCTGGTGGTTGAAATAAGTGACGTTACTGAAGCTGATGGACGCAGAGAGGCTACATCTGGCTGCACGTGTGCGTCAGTTCACCAAAAAGAAGAAACAGCCGGGTGTTGCAGCTTTGGGTGGGGACTTGTGAGGAAACCACGCCCAAACAGCAGTCGTGTTCCTGTGTGTTAGCCTGGGTGTGAGTGGTACAGTTTAGGGACAAACCACACAACTTTCAGTCTTTACTGATTTTCAGAAGACTAGCAGTACAAGCTAACCGACTGGTTCCAGCTGATTTTTGCATGACGAGTAAAGAATAAGGATCACATATGTAACAACTCTTATAGCCCCGGGAACCTCTGGGGATTTTAGAGTATTTTCCTTCATGGTATCATGTCTCCATTTCATCGGGCCAGCCCAAATGTTAGCCAAGAAATCTAGAGAGACTGTAGCTGAAGCTAAATAATTCTGCTCTGCAGGTCGGTCTAGCCGCGCTCCACGGGAGCCCCAGCAGGTCCACCATTGGCCATAGCGGAATGGTGTTATGCCAATCACAGCGCTCTCAGTTTGGTGGGTGCAAATGAGTGGAAACAAAGATGGCGCCAGCTCGTTTGAAACACCTTTGGCATCAACTTTGGAGTATTTAGACTTGGCTTTTCTTTGAGTCAAGAGCAGAAAGAGGTACTTAAGTCATTTATTTAGACAAAGGAGGTATTTGTGTCTTCATCAGTTTATGGTGGACTGAAATCCATAGCGGTGAATATGTCACGTTTGTTGTCCACTAGCATGTGGAGACTAGGGCTGAACGATTCTGGAAAGTAATCCAATTGCGATTTTTTTTCTTCCATATTGCGATTTAATTCATGATTATTTTCTCAAAGGGGCTTTTCTCATATTTTTCAACTAATAGATGCAAAAAAATCTATGCAACTTGCACTGAATATAAACAAGTTTATGTATCTACATATCATATGACAACGTTTATTTGTCTACATATAAATAAACACTCACAAGTAAAGACGGCATTTGGTATTTGAAGGTGCAATGCTCTGCAGTCAGGAGCACATCCTTTGAAGGAGCATAGGTATTAGCTAGCCTGGCCTGCCAGACTCATCCTCTGTTTAATTCTGCACAGAGAAAGAGTCTGATAACTCAGGCAGAGAGGCACTTGAGGGGCGGGACTAGCTTTTAGCACTTCTGCTTGTTGTGGTTTTAAAGACATTCAAGTCATTTAGACCAGAGGAAAGAGCCACAGTGAACTCCGTTGCTGTCTTCGTTGTTTATGAGCAACTGAGCGTTGCTGTGTGTGACGTCTGCAACGCTGTAGCTTTTTAGCTGTAGTCAAAAATGGCGTCTGGCGACAGCGCACACATCTTTATTCAGAAGAAAGGCTTTTAGCATTTCTACGTGTTGTTGTTTTAAAGATGTGTCCAAATCATTTAGACCAGAGGAAAGAGCCGCAGCGAACTCCGCTTCAGTCGCCATGTTTATGAGAAACTCGGCGTTGTGGTGTGTGACGTACGCTACTCCTCGCTGATTGGCTCGTTAAGAATTCTCACGGGGTGGGGTTATTTGAATAGGAGAGTTCCCAGACTTTCTCTGTGCAGAATTAAACAGAGGAGGAGTCTAGCAGGCCAGGCTAGGTATTAGCATCAACTGTGAACATTTATTTGCAGGAAAGAAGTGTGTCCCATTTATTGAAGTATTTTGTGTTTAGAGTTTTTGACGTCTTCTTGTCTATGCAGGGCTTCTGTAGTTCAGTTACGTTCATAGCTGCTAGCCAAAACTCAGTGGGGTTAAAGTCTCTTACGGTTTTCTAGCTTTACTAAAATATATGTCAGTACTTATTTGATTGATGGCAGTTTTTACTTTTTATTAGACTAAATGTAATCATTTGGCACGTTCGTAATTTGTAATTTCTAAGAATGTAATCGGCGATATTAGCATTAGCATCCCTATGGGTTTTTCCATGTGTATTAGCATCGTGCTAACCACTTGCTGCCAGTCAAATCGCAGCCTTTGCAATTAGAAAATGTCCTTTTGTCACATCGCTTTTTAATTGCATATGCAATTAATCGTTCAGCCCTAGTGGAGACAGCTTGAAAGACAACCATAGATCCCGCCCAACGACTGAGCTCTGTCTACGGGGTTGTGGAGTGGGCTATAATCACATGTTTAGGATGGTTTTCCAGACTACCCAGACGGACCACTTCCTGGGCCTTTTCAGTAGCACTAATCAGTGTGACTTGGGTGGGTTTGGTTCAGTAACAGCTTTTTCCAACATCGTGGTTCTACCTGTACCTGCTTTGTAGTGGTTGCTAGTGTGCTGACCCGGTCTGAAAACAGTACATGGTCGACCGTCGGTCACTGATCAGCTAGAGGGTGGAGTCACTGGCTGTTCCAGAGCTTTCTGCCTGCTGCCTGCAGTTGATGACAGAAAAGCTCTACGGCCCGCCGGCTTCTGAATTTCAAACATCAGATTCAAGATGTAGCTCTGAGTTAAACGCCGTGCCTGCTTTGGTAACGGCATCACAAAACACACAAAAGCTCTCCTCCTAGCAGGATGTTGCTCATATTTGTGGTTTAGGTCGGACAATAAGAGCTTCTTGACAAATGCAGGCTCCCATTGTGTTGCCCTTTCTAACCTCTTGTCAAACAATGAATAAGGAACATTTTGCACAAATATTAACAGAAGAAACACATTTTCCCCTTTGGGACTCACTTAAAACATGATTATTGTTTCACTTTCAGATTTCCTACCAACTCTTCTCACTTATCTCTCTGTGTGACATTTAAAGTGTCATGAAACCGTGAGATGAGTCATCATTTTGGTACGTCTTTTCTTTGTGTCATCAAAACTTATATAACCCCCAGCAGCTCTCTGGCCCTTGATAAAGAGCTGATGAGACGATGAATCAGAGGAATTGTGTGGCTGAGCTCTCAGGAGAACAAGAACTCGTTCAACGGGTCGGCTCTCGTCATGCCAATGACAGGGAGTACATGTATGAGTCTCGTCATGCATGACCTGACGTGTATTTCTCCTCAACCTAAACCGCTCTTTATTGTTTGCATTAGCAGCTGTAATATTATTGTGTGTGTGCGTGTGTGTGTAGAAGGTTTCCCGCTATCTTTAGCCAGAACAGGATGGGAGGTCACATCCACCAGCCTCGTGCTGTCTCTCTATAACTCAGCATAAAAATGTGAGACTAGTGTCATTTAGAAATGTTCCTGTTAAGCCAGCATCTCACTGAGCTACAACTGTTGGTGATTCACAGTGGTGAGAAAAAATGTGACACTCGTAACATCTTTGGTGTGTTCTTGCTGTGTTTAGTTTCAAATTCCATCGTTCAGTTCTTTTTAAAACACAGAAAAGGTTTATTTACCTGCAACGTTTCGTTTGCGGCTGCAAACATCATCAGGCTGACGCTGATGGTGGCGTCACTTCCTTCGTTTATCCGCGGGCAGCAGAGGACGTTGTCGCCCTCTTCTGCCCGCTCTCCCCTCTTGTAAACTTTACTATAACTGAAACCGAATAAATCCCATTCCTGTGGCTGCTATGTAGATGTTCTGTTTATAATTAAAATGGGGTAGAAGATGTTTTTCTGGAGCAGATTTAACCATATTGCTTGAAATCCTCTTCACATAACCAATAAATTCAATGTTTTGTCAAAAAATGAATAATTTTAATCACCTCTGTAACCTACAGTCCTGTAAAACCTCATCCATCTGTGTGAGTATCCCATTCTTAAAAATATGATGATGATCCCTCCATCAAACAACCCTCTTGACTGTCTTTCCCCCCTCTGCATACACTACAGATTATACGTTCTTGTCTTGGAGCAGCTGAACAGGGAGCGAAGCCAGAGCCGGGCTGACTAGTGTACAGGACAGAATGTTCTGTTGCAGTTAAAGCTGCAACGGCAAATCTCCACAACTAGCTAGATTTTAAACACAAACACAGTCATGGATGTCTCACCCCTCCCATCAGCACGTCCCCCTGAAATCAGAACCCAGTTCCCACTGTAAACGGGATCATACTAAACACCAGTCACCGTTTTCTAGGTCTAAACGTCTTCTGTTGTCCGTGACTTCTAATGTTTTTCTTTTTGGGTCTCTGGTAGTTCGTCCTAAGGTTGAAGTGGTAGCAGCCGGCTGTTTCTCTGTCTGATATTATTGGGCGGAGATCCTCTCACACCAGTGGTGTTCTGCTGCTAAATACGTGAGTGTGTGATGAGTGGAGGACCCAGGGAAGTGACTGATGACCGGACGGTCCAGTTGTTGGTTTCAGTTTGAAACTTGTTGTTAGTGGAGGGTTTTAGACAAATGTGAGAAAACCATTTTATATATATGTATTTTTGTTTTTTTTGTCTTTTTCCAAGAACACATACCGTAGTTTTAGGCCACAGCAGCGTCTCTTAATGTGTTTGTATTTATCTAAATTTAATTTGAGATGTAATTGCTGCTGTCGGATTCTCTTATCTCCAGGCGGTTGCATATCAGCTTCGTTTGCCAGCTCCTCTTAAAGTTATCTCACACTTATCTTACTTTGCGATTCGCAGAAACGAAGCCAGTTTGTCACTGGGCTATAACCACTGGCAACAAACTGCAAAATCGAAAAAAAAAAAAGACAAATTATTTTAATCTAGAGCCCATCTTGAGCTCATTTTCTCAGTTTAGTCAGAAACATGAAACATGTGATGACTTTGGGAGGTGTTAGTCACCCAATAGCAATGGAAATGAGGGGAGGTTGTGAACAGACTGAGACACAATCACCCTAATGTTTTCACGTGTATGTGAAATGTTTGTCACCTGGCTGTTTATTAACCCTGCAGCAACATTACGGTTCAAACAAAAGATTTACTATAGTATCCAACTCGTCTCCAGTAGTAACCCAGTGAGCTACTGGCTTCACTGATTCAGGGAAAAGGAGTGATGTGGCGGACACCCAAGGATGAAAATAAGACACTGTTTAGTATTCCATCTGATCCACTGAATGTTTGGTTTTTTCTTTATTTGCTTGTGAGACGTTCCTGTGTTAGTCTAGAGTTGTTTGGGGTAGGGATGCAACGATACCACTTTTTTCCAAACCGATACGATACCGATACTTGGATCTGAGTACTCGCCGATACCGATTACCGATACCGATACTTCCACCACACAAAAAAATGCAATGATTTGGAATACAGATTTTATTTTCTTCTCTGCTTTCAACAGGAAAAGACTGTGAGATAGATAAAAAGTAAAATATATGAATGGAAATCATCACAAAACTAAAATATTAGGTGAACAGAAATGACAAGTTACAGTGAAGCAATTTTCAAGCAGCTGCTTTGGTATTGGTTCCTGGTATCCGTTAACTTTTACCGATGCTGATACTGGTGTTGGTATCGGTATCGCACCGATACCAGTATCGGTGCATCCCTAGTTTGGGGTGCCCTTATGTGACGCCTGCTGACATTAGTGTGCCAAAGCAAAGTGGGAAGTGATGTCGCTGACTCAGGCGCTGCTGATGCAGCGGCGTGTGCTGAGTGAGCTGGAACACAGTAGCTCAAGAGGAACAGATACAAGAATCTGTTCTTGTACAAAAGGACTCTGATGGTTGTCTCTGCTCTGACATGCTAAAGATGATTGATCACTGCTCCTTATGCATGACTCGTTTCAGGAGATGGGAATTCTAAAATCTCCAACGTGTACATCAACAACAGTCATGGGGTGGACGACGACGACTTCTACGACAGAAACTTGGCCTTATTTGAGGTGTGAAACACAACCGTCCTCATCTGTGTGTCTTGTTTAGATTAGTGGAAACAACTCTGTGTTTCCTCCACCTCTTTATTTAGTAGCTCCAGTAGGAGTAGAAAAGGATCACCACTTTGAAAGACTCGAGTCTTTGTGCTGTACAGCCCAGCTTTACCCATCAGTGTTACAGTTCACCCCCCAGCCACATTCTGCTTTAAAGGTAGTGGCCAGACTCAGCATTAAAATAGTAGAAATGCAGGATAACTACACTTTACCATCTATATAGATGTGAACTGGGTTCAGTTTTTCATTTGAGGAATTTAGTCATAAATCATTACAGAAAATTAAAATTCTCTCCTCCAGGCAGTGAAGAACTGTTTTGCATACGTCACTGACACGCGTCATACTAGGTAGCTGCTGGTGCTAGCACGGTAAATCACTGTATTTTGTTTACTATCGTGTTCCTAATTAAAACAGAAAATTGCATTTACAGCTGCAGCTAAAGGTCTGAGTCACAAGTCCGTGCCCTACACATATTTTTAACTAATTTGATCTAAAATAATAACCTGCATCTATAAATCCATTTAGAACTGCACCGGTACTTCTTGCCTCCAGCAGGCGAGTCCCGTTAGCATGACTGCCACAGCACTAACCGTGTTAGCTCCGGTAAAGAATAAACAAGTAATTTGTGAAAGCTGTGACACACGCACGCACGCACACACACACACACACACACACACACACACACACACACACACACACACACACACACACACACACACACACACACACACACACACGACAAAGAAGAAGAAAAAAATATCATTTCTATAGCGCCTCTCAAGATAAAAATCACGAGGCGCTTCACAAAAACAAAAAAATGTAAAAATATAAAAAAGAATATGGAAAATGGTTAAACATTTATTTAAAATGAGCAAAAAATAGACAATTGTGATAAAGAAATGTTAAGAAAGAGAGAGAGTGAATAGGAAAGAGGGAAATCAGTGGATCCTGAGGAAGGTAGGGTGGGGAGAGCAGAATAAAGACACACACACACACATACAGATATAATAACAACAGATATAACATATAATAACAACAATAATAGTAACAATAGATCATCCTATAGGACCGGTAGAACCTCTGTGACATCCTGGATTAGAAAACAACGATCCGAGCTAGCGAGTTAGCATCAGGAAGATTTATTCTGATAAGCAATCGGTTAAATATTTTCCGATGTTCTATCAATAAGTAAACACAGCGGTAAAGCTGGCAACACGTTATTTTACTCATCTGTAGATTACTGAATTATATTGGGACAATATGATGGAGCTAATCAGCTGAGAATTTAACTGAAAGCTACTGGTGGGGCACAGACTGTTTTCTGAGTGAAACGGTCCAAAGCCTGTCTCCACCTCCAGATCTGATATCCAGCTGCAGGGCACGGAGTTCAGTTGAACTTCTCCGGTAATCCAATATCCGTTCTCGTCGCCGTATCCCAGAGAGAAAAAAACAAATCTGACCGACTAGCAGAGGCTTCAGAAGCTACATCTGACTGATGATGCATTGTTCTCTGCTATAACGCTAACGCTGAAACACCAGAGTCGGGGGTTGTTTACTATCACTGTTTTAGCAGATCTCCTTGTGAAACGTCACCAGCTGCCCAGGGCGTAGACCGAAAGTTAGTTTCTGTTTTTCCCGCGCCGGTAAAAAACGTCAGATTTTCTTTAAATTCCAGCCATGAAAATCCAAAAACCTTTTTCATCTGAGGTTTTAATACTTCTTTACACATGCCATTCAAAGGAATTTTGCCTCTGGCCAATATCTTTAATAGCAGCAGTTTCTTCTCTATACACGTCCAGGTTGAGCCATATTCGCTCACTCTTCTTTACAGAGCTGTTCAGGTTGGGTCAGATTGGATGGTAAGTGTTGGTGACTGTAATCTTCAGATCTCTCCACAGATATTCGGTGGGATTCGGGTCTGGGCTCTGACTGGGACACGTGGGGACCTTCACTTTTGTCTCCTCCAACCACTGAGTGGTCTGTTTAGCTGTGTTCTTTGGAAGGAGGGTCCTAGTATTAAACAACGACACTTGTTTATTCTAGACTTTACTGAGCTCCTTGGTATTGGTAGAGCCTTTGAGATGCTTTTGTATCTGTTTCCTGCCTCGTGTCTGTCCACAACCCTGTCCCTGAGACCTTGTGATAGTGGTCTGCCACAGGAACAGCTGTTTCTGTGCTACAACTGATCCCAGGCCAGTAACCCGTAGCTAAGGAAATGGTGGTTACATTCTCTGAGTGAGTGAAATGTGTTGTTAGGGTGGCTGATCCTTTATTCATCTCAGCATTTCTTGTTTTTTAAACTCTTCTTTCCTGTATTTACCTGTAATCTTATTTTCTTCTTCCTTTTCTTTAAGTGTATGTGCTGCTGTAGCAAGTACATTTCCCTAAAGTGGGATTTATAAAGATTATTCTATTCCAAACTGTAACAGATATTCTTCAATGAATGCTGTTGGGTGCATTAAGTAAGTAACGTTGGTAAAATGTGTTTTTGTTTGTTTCCTTTTTAGGTTGTAAAGCAAAAAAATTAAAGTCTTGGGGTGATCCTTTTCTATACCTCTGTGTTTGTTGGCTCAGGTTCCTGCTTCTTCACCTTTTCTCTTTCACACCCTCCTTCCCTCGGGTCTCCTCTCCTTTCCTTTTTACCCTCTCTTCATCTGCTGTTCCCTTCTTTCTCGATGCCAAGGCCACCGTCTTTACCATTGCCTCCCCTGCTTGTTTCTGACCAATAGGAGGAGATGGACACGCGGCCCAAAGTGTCGTCTCTTCTCAGCCGCCTGGTTAACTACACCAACCTGATGCAGGGGGCCAAGGAGCACGAGGAGGCTGAGAGCATCGGTGACAAGAAGAAAACCTTCAAGGTGTGCAGACGTATTAGCAGTATTTGTCTTTAAGCTAACATTATTGGAACATTATCACTCTGACAGGAAGTCCCTGATTGAAGGTGACTCCTCCTGCTACAAGCAAACCTTTCCTAGTCTCCATTACAAACACAAGTCCTCATGTCTGTCCAGGTCAAATGCTTAAACAATAAAACAAAACCTAAACTTGACTGGTTTCTCCCAGATAGATAATTATTGACTTAATTGAGCGTCCCACGTGTACTTTGTTCTACAACTACCGTAAAGGTCAGACCTTCTGAGAAAGCTGGAATGAAGTTTGATGAGATTTCATAAACGACCACAAAAATACATTTTGACAAAATAATTTCATCAACTAACAACACAGGAACTCCCAGCATTTACTGAAAGACACGTTAACGTGTGTCCTGGCTGTGGAAAATGTGTTTAGACGACCTGTTTTTGTTTATTTTTAATAACAATGAAGAAGCTGACCTTGCACTGGCAGCTCATAGTGGAGGAATCTCCTTTTGTGAGGGACCACACCAGTCGATGAGTTCCTGTCCAGAATCATATCTAAGACTCAAAGTGCGTTGGGATTTGAACCTGATCTGCACTGATGTGCTCCCTGATAAAAGGCCTTCAGCCACGATAAGTTTGTTTTGGTGCTTCACAAGAATTCCTCGTGTTCACTCGGCTCTGACTCTGAAGCAGGAGAAATGTTGAACCAACACATCTTTAACCCTGCCTTCTGGTTCTACAGTGTTCAGTGTAAGCGTCGGCATCATGGGAGGATTTTCCAGTAAGATTTAAACAAATGTTCACAGATGTTGTCAGGGTTTGTGCTTTGGCTCCTTGTGAAACAAATCATCTTGAGTAACCCAGGTTTGTGCAGAAAAGCGTCTTATCAAATGTCAACCAAAAGACTTTAGTGGACATTACTGAGAGACTCGCAGCCGAAACCGTGACTCTTGGGTTTGGGTTTACACTTTAACATGTAGCAGTTAGCTAAACAGTGTGGGGCCCTGCTGTTAGAGTTTGCATAACTAACTAGTCCTATTGGTGTGTCCCAGTCTCCACAGATGGGGACGTTCATGGGCGTCTACCTGCCTTGCCTGCAGAACATCTTTGGAGTCATCTTGTTCCTGCGTCTAACATGGGTAGTTGGAACCGCCGGGGTGCTGCAGGCTCTTTGTATCGTCTTCATGTGCTGCTGTTGTGTGAGTTTCTGTGTCCTTCGACTGAAAACAGACAAGATCAACCCTCCCTTTGTGTGTTTAAGTGACTGTTTGTCTTCTTTAGACGATGCTGACCGCTATTTCAATGAGTGCAATCGCCACTAACGGAGTCGTGCCAGGTATTGCTTCACCTTTACATATTTACATTGTCTCTTGGTGCTCGTGACTCACCTTTGGTCTGGTCTCAGGTTCAGCAAAAAGCCATTCAGAGGACACCCACATAGCCAGTTTATTCTCATAAAATGTCCCGTTAACTTACTATAGCCACTGTAGTCATGTAACATCTGCCTGTCCTGTCCCTCCCTCTGCTCGTGTCTCTGTCCCTGTCCCTTGTCTGTCCATACATTACAAACCTAGAGTATTTATCTGCCATTGACCTTAACTTTCACTGAAATGCATCTAGAAGGATGCAGCGAATACCAAAGTAGTGTGTTTTTATTCACTTCTTTCTCCTTCAGCATCTTGACGTAGAAAATCCAACATCTAACATGTCCTGTTTGGACCTTCATCTCCATGCTTTCCGTTTGTCACATGACCAGCCTGTGTTTTTCATGCTTTCTCGACATTTCATTTTAAGGTGGTACTTACTGTTTGTGTGCGGATTTAACATCGATGATACTACCTATATGTAGTGTGGCCATCAACATATAAATACTGGACAATTAATTTCCATAGGCTCCAGTAACACGTTTTTGAGGCTAAATGGGAGGTGGCCACCACCTCCATTTTGACCGTGTCACAGGTTCCGTTAAGCCCAGACAATTCCACAAAAGGGAAGAGAGGTGGAGCTGAGGGTGGGGGGCTGTAAGGCTGGGATCAACTGACGACACCCGGTTGAACTAGCTACATGCTAACCTGAAGTTAACCCAAAGCTAATGCAGAGGTGGGAGCTAAGCTAACGGAGGTAGCAACCTAGCTACAACCGGAGTTAACTGTGCACAACACCAGAGCTTCTGAGTCAGAGATACGCCGGGCTGACCGCTGGGTAAAACCGGGTGGAACACAGAGGTCTCTGAGACCTCCACAAGCTGGCAGCCCGCGCAGCAGACAAGCGCCGCTGCGATCTGAGTTGCGCAGAGCTGCCGCTGGGGAGAACCGGATGGAAAGGTTTCCATCCCAGAGCTCCACAAGTCGGCAGCCCGCGCATCAATCAGAAGCCGCGATCAGACAGAGATGCGCCGAGCTGCAGGGAGGGGAGAACGGGTGGAAAACAGAGGTCTCCCGAGAGCTCCACAAGCCGATAGTCGGAACCCAGCTCCACCAACATGTTATATTTCAACCCATTTTCTAAAGTGCAGCATTATGTTAAATGCACTGGGTTTTACCCTATTACATTTAAATTTCAGTACATGTTAAAATCTAAGCTCAGCTCGGCAGTGACCTAAAATACATAAATATAATTTTACTTACCGAAAAAAATGAAGCGGAGACTCCTTGGACGCTCTATTAGTGCAATTAATGCCACAGCAAGTCATTTTGTCCAACAATTGCACAAAAAAAAAATCCAAAAAATAATGCAAAAACGCTACAACTAATGGTCTAAGTTGAGAGACTGAAAATGGCGGAACAATTTTCAGACTGAGGCCTTTCCCCGGAGCTAGCTCTGCGGTCACGTGGGTCTGAGGCTCATTAATTATACAGAATTTTAGGCTTTTAATACACTTAAACAGAAGAGTGAGAAAAAAATGCATCCCCCTCAGAGTTGTCATGAGTGTAAACTAGATCATTTAAACCTAAAACATGTTTTGGTACCAGGCTGTAAACATGTTTATTTCTGCTGTGAAATTGGTATTTTTAACATGGGAGTCAATGAGGATTTGCTCGCTTCTGACACCAGCCCCCAGCGGATGAGGGTGGAACTGCAATTTTTAGTACTTCCGGGTTGGGCTCAGTTTTTGAGCCGCATTGTGGGGGCTTGAGTGTGGCTAGACCGACCTGCAGAGCCAGACCTTTTGATAACGCCATGGTTTGTTTAGATTTCTAGGCTAGGAAACTAGTGTTCTTCTGAAATGTAGTTTAAACATAAACTTTATAACTTTTTTATATCTTAAAATAATTTTCTAAAGCCGGTATGTGCTAAAACAACCCTTTACAGGGGTAATGAAAAGCCACCCAGCCCCTATTGCCCCTGTGGCCGGAATATTCCACTTGCAAGCAACTTCAGCCTGGCAGACCATTCAGTTGGGACTTGGAGAAAATGGAGCAATAATACCTGATGCTGTAGTTGGGGCAGCAGTAGCTCAACAGGTTGAGCGGGTTGTCCAGCGGGTCCTCCTCATGTTGTCCAGTAATCGGAAGGTTTCAGGTTTGATCCCGGCTCGGGACAGAGAATTCTGCTGTTGTGTTCTTGGGCAAGACACTTAACCCCCCTTGCCTGCTGGTGGTGGCCGGAGGGTCCGGTGGCGCCTGTGCTCAGCAGCCTCACCTCCGTCAGTGCGCCCCAGGGCAGCTGTGGCTACATCGTAACTCATCCCCACCAGTGTGTGAATGTGTGTGAATGGATGAATGATACATTGTAGTGTAAAGCGCTTTGGAGTCCTTACTCTGAGAGGCGCTATACAAGTGCGGGTCATTTATCATTTAGTCAGTTTCCTGCGTGTTTTAGATCATTAACACAGCTGATTGTTTAATTTAGTGATGAATCACTCCTGTAGACACTAATGAAGGCTGGGGAGACATTTGACCAGTTCGATAAAGGTGTTAAAAAGATGAACGCGCACAGCAATGAGAGAGGATTTGCTTTCGGCTCTTCAAACAAACACTAGGGGGTGCTAAAGCAAGCCAACACTGCCTAGTCACTTTTGAATGCTGAAAATTATTCATCAGTTGCGGGTAGAAGAAATGTAAAAAATTTGCTCAATCTTTTTTTTTCTTAAAGTTTTCATATCTCATTGTAGTTCCTCTCAAACCACTTCTGTACTTCTTGTTGGTTTCACATTCGCCTCTTCTGCCAAGTCATCCAAAAATCTCTGCAAGTGGTGGAAAAAAAGTTAGAGGAACAAGTACTCCACCCTGAGGAACTCCTGTGTTGCTGTCCATACAGTTTTGCTGTCTAAGGTGGATGTACTCTCCTTTTTGGGCACTGTGAGTAACTGAGGTTTTTCAGAGCTCAGACACTTAGCAGGTGCAGCTTTTGGCCATCTGATTCGGGATTTTAGGGTTCATCTGGTTCTTTGATGCAGCTTTTTCAGTTCCTTTCTGACCCAGTGACTTAGCTGGCTGACTCGTGGAGTTAGATCAGATCTGAGGTCAGGTTTGGCTAAAGCGGCTGTTTAGGCCATAAACTCGTTGGTCCAGGTTATTCTGCTGCTGTCATTTTCTGTCCAAGTCCACTGGTTGGTTTAATTTCATAGTCTTTTTTATTTTGTTTTGCACTGAGGTCTGCATTAAGTTCAAAAGATAGTTTGTTTTGGCTTTAATTCGGGGTTTGTTGTTGTTTGTAGACATCCCAGACCTATGAGAGAACGTCTTTATTAGAAGTGCCAACGCAAAGAAGAACTGCTGTGATTTTTGTTTTCTCACACCCTCAATGTAAGTTATACATCAGATGGATCCGTTCAATGGGGAGTATTGCTCTGTAACTTGGTTGTGGTATATTGAGCACATTTCAGACAACAACAGAGACATGTCCTGTAGACAACCATGGGGTTCTGGAGAAACCAGTGAGAAAACCCCTCCCAGTTTGGAGCTCTGCAGCTCAGGCAGAAACATCAGGCAAAGTTTAAACAGGTCTCAGCAAGTGGGACTTTACATGTTTTAGAATTTGAGGTATTTTATTGGCTTATTCCAACAATCCCAGTAGGTTCTTGTTATTGTTGGAAATGTTTTTAATGCTCAACTGTAACAAACACTTTTCAAATTCAAATTTTATTTGTCACATACACATTCATACACAGTACGAAGGGTTGTTCGTAGGGTTCGAAGGGTTGTTGAGAGGGTGGAGTTAGTGCCAACTAGAAGAAGTTCAGTTTTATTGCCGTTGAGTTTGAGGAAATTAGAGGTGAACCATGATTTGATTTCAGAGAGGCAGAGTGTAAGGGAGGTTGGTGGAAGAGATGAGTTGGGCTGACTGGAAATGTAGAGCTGGGTGTCATCAGCAAAGCAGTGAAAATGGATATTGAATTTGCGGAAGATTTTGCCGATAAGGAGGAGGTATACTATGAAGAGGAGGGGCCCCAGGACAGAGCCCTGGGGCACACCTGACTTGACTGGGGAGGGTCAGGTGGGTTCCTTCTAGTGTCCAATTGAGTGAGTGATGTGTGGAGGAGATGACAGACGGCATCGTCTGTAGAACGATTTGGACGGTAAGCGAACTGTAGTGGGTCCAGTGTGTCTGGTAGTGAAGAAATGATGAAGTCTCTGACCAGGCGTTCGAAGCACTTCATCACTACTGAGGTGAGGGCTACGGGGCGATAGTCATTGAGAGAAGGAGGGTGGGGTTTCTTCGGGACAGGAACAATGATGGACTCCTTGAAGCATGTGGGGATCACCAACTGAGATAAAGAGATGTTGAATATCTCAGTGAACACAGGAGCTAGCTGGTATGCGCAGTCTCTGAGGATACGACCTGGGATGCCGTCTGGTCCTGCTGCTTTCCTGGTGTTCACTCTCTTGAAGGCTCTCCTCACGTCATGCTCGTAGATGACGAGCATGTTTCCAGTGATGGCAGTATCTTCCTGTCTGCAGCCGTTAGCGCCGCTAGCGTCGTTGGAGTCCTTAGCTGCAGCCTCGAAGCGAGCATAGAAAGTGTTCAGCTAGTCTTTCCCTCTGTGTGTTTTCCTATTGTGGGATTTATGGTTTTCTCTCAAATCCTCAGTGTGCAGAGAGCTATGTTAGCTCCACGTGTCATCCTCCAAACTGGATGTGAAGAGTATTTACAGTATAGTTAGTCGTATTTCACACATAAAACAGCGTAGAAATTAAAAAATCTCGCGACTGATCAGTAAAGACTTCAGGGTGTTTTCACACAGCAGCGGCGTTTCTCAGGCTGACTTTTTAGTTGGCTCCTCATCAGGCTTGTTGTCAAGGAGTGAGAGACAGCTGTGTGGTTACCATGGTGATCCACTAGCAGCAGCTTTAGCGTTTTTACTGATCAAAGTTTTCTTTATACTTCTGTCAACAGTTTATGTTTTCAAACATTTGAGCGAAGCCCTGATGATTACAGAACTGATGCAGCTGCGTCTGCACCTTTTAGAGATTCTCTGGTTTTGGATGTCAGTCTGCTAAGATGTGAACCCACATGTGTAGTTGAGTTGCTGCTCTGTAGGTGGGATAGATCAGAGGAATGGGACTATATGTGCTGGGGTTGTACCATAATGATGACATCACACGCTGCCTCCTCACCTGGAGATGGAGGGTAATGAACTCCAAGACCTTCTTCACCAGGAAGTTATGAGCCACCACATTCTAACCCACCAGACGTCTTTGTTTGTCTCCTTCAGTGTTTGTTAGATGATCTGGTTTTTCCTCCCTGACTTACTTTCATTTTAGTGATTCACCAGAAAGACCACCTCATTCTCTCCTATAAGAACATGTCGGTAGGTTTTTTAATAGGAATCATACACTGACATTTGATCTTTCAGCAGGTTAAATCTTAGATGTGATCCTCTGTTTTCTTCCAGGTTAAAGCTGGGTTAGCTCACTGGGACAGCTGATTGTGTGAGCTAACACATGGTAACCAGGCTGAAGCACATTTAGGTTAAATCTGAGCTCACCTTTGAGACACAAGCAGCCATGTCTCATTTACAGACAGTTGGTTCTTCTTCCTCCAGCATTTCCTGTAGAGAGACAGTGTGTGACTTCTCTCATCAACTCTCTTCTTCACCTCCCAATATCATCATAATACTAACCACCCACCCACTTTCTCTCTTTGTCCCATCACATGTTCTTTGTTCCTCTCTTCCCTCCTCTTCTCCCCCCCTCCCATTCCTCTCCAGCTGGAGGCTCCTACTTCATGATCAGTCGCTCTCTGGGTCCAGAGTTCGGAGGGGCGGTGGGGCTGTGCTTCTACCTGGGCACCACCTTTGCCGGAGCCATGTACATCCTGGGAGCCATCGAGATCCTTCTGGTGGGTCTGAGCGTTTTGTCTGGTGTGTTCAGGTCCTCTGAGGTTTTTACGTTTTGGATGAATGACCTCATGTCTGCTGGTTTCTCCTCCAGATGTACATTGTACCCGACGCTGCCATTTTTAAAGGCGATGGGGCGGCCATGTTGAATAACATGCGGATCTACGGCAGCATCTTCCTCCTCCTGATGTCCCTGCTGGTCTTTGTGGGGGTTAAATATGTCAACAAGCTGGCCTCCATCTTCTTGGCGTGTGTCATCATCTCCATCATTTCCATCTACGCCGGAGCGCTGGTGTCCACCTTCAAAGAGCCTGATTTCCCGTGAGCGCGTGTTTCTATAGCTACGATGAGGATCGGTGCTTCAGTTCTTTGTTCTGACTTGATGATTGGTTCTGATCCACAGCGTGTGCATGCTGGGAAATCGAACCATCAATGGCCACGACGTTGTGGACAACCAGTGTAGGAAAACCGTCCTGCAGGTCAGTGACGCAGCTGAGAGCATCTACAGCAACGCCACGGCCTCCTACGGTGGGTTCCTGGTTATAATCAGGAATCGTGATGTCTGTTCGTCCTTCCTAACGAGCGCTGTTCCTCTCCTTAGAGAACAGCACAGCCCCCCCTACCCACAGCCCCACGGTGGTGGAGAAGACCACGTTTCTGTGGGGACATTTCTGCCAGAGCCCAGAACTCAACGCCTCCTGCGACGAGTATTTCACCTCCAACAATTTATCGGTGATAAACGGGATCCCCGGTCTGGCCAGCGGGATCATCACAGGTACGGAGCTCACCTTTAAGTCGGCGCTGCGCAGGAACGTGGGTCTGACGGAGCTTTGTTCCGACAGAGAACCTGTGGAGCTCCTACCTCAGTAAAGGCGACGTGATCGAGAAGAGCTCCCTGCAGTCCTCCCATGAGGCTCATCCCGCGTCCACCAAGCATCCATATGTGTTCGCTGACATCACGACCTCCTTCACCATGCTGGTTGGCATCTTCTTCCCGTCAGTCACAGGTTCAGGATGGTTATGAGCTCTAATCCTCTTCACTCACTCACATGTAGTCATAAAAACATCTGTGGTTTTATGAACTGACGTGCTGTCTCTGTCAGGAATCATGGCTGGGTCTAATCGCTCTGGGGATTTAAAAGATGCTCAGCGCTCCATCCCCATCGGGACCATCCTGGCTATCCTCACCACCTCCATCGTCTGTATCCTACAAGTCCGGATTTAACACAGTAAAACTTTAAATGAGCTGATTTCACCTCTCTAGTCCGTGTTTGTCTGTGCGTGTTTCCTGAGCTCCGTCCTTCCAGACCTGAGCAGCGTGGTCCTGTTTGGAGCCTGCATCGACGGGGTTGTCCTCAGAGACAAGTCAGTGCATCCGTGTGTCCGTGTGTGTCCTGTTTTAGACAGAAGGCTGCGGTTTAGTGGAAACGTCTAAAGCCTCTGATTCTTGCAGGTTTGGAGACTCGGTGAAAGGCAACCTGGTGGTGGGGACGCTGGCATGGCCGTCCCCGTGGGTCATTGTGATCGGCTCCTTCTTCTCCACGTGTGGTGCAGGTCTGCAGTCACTGACTGGTGCACCGCGGCTCCTTCAGGCCATCGCAAAGGACAACATCATCCCTTTCCTCAGGGTTAGCTAGTTTGGGCTTCATTTAGTTAAAGATGTGTTCTTCACTAAGTTTTAAGCTTCTTTCTCATCTTATAAATCGTCTACACCTGACCTTTGGGGCATTTCTGTTGATGACTGGGAGAAGAAGCCCTGTAGCTAAGAACCTGAGACTGTAGGCAGTGAACAGACCAGCAGCATTCTGCCAAAGAAGCAGTAGTTCCTAAATGCTCATTAACCTTCAGCATAAATCATGAGAGTCTGTCTTCTCTGTGTGTTTCTGTCAGGTGTTTGGTCACGGGAAAGCTAACGGGGAGCCCACCTGGGCTCTGCTGCTAACGGCACTGATAGCTGAGCTCGGGATCCTAATCGCCTCTCTGGACATGGTTGCTCCCATCCTGACGATGTGAGCTGCAGCTCCTGAAGTCTGAAAGTGTCTGCTGAGCCTCAGCTCTGATGGTTTCTCCTGTCCTTTTCAGGTTTTTTTTAATGTGCTACCTGTTTGTGAACCTGGCCTGTGCCCTGCAGACCCTCCTCAGAACGCCCAACTGGAGGCCTCGTTTCTCCTACTACCACTGGTGCAAACGCATCACACACGCAAAAGCACACACACACACACACACGCGCGCCCATGTAAACCTGTGGCTCTCATCTTTCCAGGGCGCTGTCGTTTTTGGGGATGACAATCTGCTTGGCTCTCATGTTTATCTCTTCCTGGTACTACGCCATCTTTGCCATGGTGATCGCTGGAATGATCTACAAATACATCGAGTATAACGGGTGTGTTGCCATGGAGATTTGTCACAGCTGTAGAGTGTTCAGTGTGTGTGAGTTTAAAGCAGGTTTTAATGTGTGCGTTTACGTGGATCAGGGCCGAGAAGGAGTGGGGGGATGGGATTCGTGGTCTGTCGCTCAGCGCTGCTCGTTACGCCCTCCTGAGATTAGAGGAAGGACCACCACACACTAAGAACTGGAGGTAAGAAAGCTTCCGCGTTTTCCGTTTTCTCAGCAGTGTGTGTGTCTCGTCCTCCTCGGTTTCATGTCCCTCTTTATCCTTGAGGCCCCAAGTGCTGGTGTTACTAAAACTGGATGAAGACGCCCACGTCAAGTCTCCTCGCCTGCTGACGTTCGCCAGCCAGCTGAAGGCAGGAAAGGGCTTGACCATCGTTGGCACGGTTGTGCCGGGCAACTTCCTGCAGAGCTACGGGGAGGCCCTCGCCGCTGAGCAGGTTCCTCATTAGACATCTTCAGATGTTCGTCAGGACGCTGTGATGCTCTTATTGTAACTCATGTTTGTCCCGTCCCAGACTCTGAAGCACCTGATGGATAAGGAGCGGGTGAAGGGCTTCGTTCAGTGCATCGTGGCTCAGAAACCACGAGAGGGAATCAGTCACATGATCCAGTCCAGCGGTCTGGGAGGGATGAAGCCCAACACAGTGGTGATGGGCTGGCCTCACGCCTGGAGGCAGAGCGAGGACCCGCAGGCCTGGAAGACCTTCATCAGTGAGTCCTGATCAGTCTGTGCTACTTGCTGACAAAAGTAACTAGTTACAGGTACTAGTTACCCTATTCAAAAAGTAACTCGGTTTCTTTGATTAGTTATGCTGACAAGTAATAAATTACTGGTAAAAATAGTTACTTTTCAAAAGAACTTTCTTAGCGATGTAACTTCCTTCATCAGTGTCGTGCTAGAGTGACATTAATCATCACGTTAATGAAAGTCTGATTTAGTTCCATTACTATAAATATCAGATGGGAGAGAGGGACCCAGACAACACCAACTTAATACATATTATTGATGCTTTTATAGTTTTGTTGTTTAGCAGCAGACCACAAACGGAGTCAATAACATATTCGATTAATCGATGGAGGATTGGATAGAAATTCCAATACTAAAATATTCAATAACTGCAGCCCTAAATATATAATATAAACTCTAACACTGTTTTATTCAAGCCTGAATAATTAAATGGCAGGATCGTAGCTGTCCAGCTTGCTGCCTGGACACGAAAGGAGACAGACTGGTGGAAACACGATGGCAGCAGCTTGTGGTTTACCAGCGCCTTGCAAAATTTACTCGGCAGGTTTGAAGGTTTTGAAATCAAAACCCACCGTTGGCACAGGCGGCTAGGAAAGTTCTCTAGAGTAACAATAACTCAAGTTACCTTATATAAAAATACTAGTTACTGGTAAAAGTAACAGTGGTGAAAACCTTTTCAGATCCTTTTTGTAACGATGTAGCAGGTAACTCCGCCCCTCTGCCCTCTCCAGACACGGTACGGGTGACGACAGCGGCCCACCTGGCCTTGCTGGTGCCCAAAAACATCTCCCTGTTCCCCAGTAACAGCGAGCCTTGCACAGAAGGCTACATCGACGTGTGGTGGATCGTCCACGATGGCGGGATGCTGATGCTCCTGCCGTTCCTACTTCGCCAGCACAAGGTAGAGGACTTGTGTGTTCTATCGGAGCGTGAACGGTCCGTCAGAGTTCAGAGATCCATTTTGTCTCCGTCCTCGTTTCTCAGGTGTGGCGTAAGTGTGGAATGAGGATCTTCACTGTGGCCCAATTGGAGGATAATTCTATTCAGATGAAAAAGGATCTGGCAACCTTCTTGTATCACCTACGCATCGAGGCCGAGGTGGAAGTGGTGGAGATGGTACGCTGCGTCACACTTAAACTCATCTGACTTTCACGTGATTATAAACAAGACTTTACTTTAATCTGATGAGGGGAATCTCTGCTAGGATTAAATTAAATTAAATTAAATTAGCCAGCAGATGATTGTGGATTTATAGCTGAATTATTGAACAGTAAGGATGTAATCTGGGACCATGTGTCCTCTGCAGCATAACAGTGACATCAGCGCCTACACCTATGAGAGGACTCTTATGATGGAGCAGCGATCCCAGATGCTCCGACAGATGAGGCTGTCCAAGTCTGATCGGGAAAAAGAGGTGGGTTTATGTCCAGAAGCAACACCGATGTTATGACACGGGATTGTTTTGTCTGTAGACATCTGTATTAAACAGCGGGGATGAGCATCATCTTCCTGGAGCCTAGTGTTAACTAGATCTGATGGTAGACGTGAGTTGGTAAGAGGTCGTGACGCTTTGATAACCACAGACGACGTAAACCTTTGTCTCATCTCTTTTTGCGGCCGTTCTCCTCAGAGGGTTCGCTGGAGTTTTGATGATGTAAGTCACATGACTCAGTTTAGTAAAGCAGCAGCTGTTCGTAGAGCTGACTAGATGTTGCTGAGAGGAGAGGTGGAGGAAACCATCTTTACCCGGCTTAGTTGAGGCAGAAAGCGTGACACGCCCACTGGTTTCTGCTGGGTCGTTCTGAGGAAGGTCAAAGTCTATAAAACGTCTGATTCAATTAAAGTGATTCTGGAGAGTGTTTCTGTTTAAAACCATAAATAATTACTATCTGAACGCAGTAGGGGGTATTCCTGAAAGCAACATTTTCCCAAAACCTGGTTTTCTTTTGAGAATCCCGGTGTAACCGCCCCTAAATCAGTTCTACAAACGTGGCTTGCCTGAAACCCTTCTCACTTTGTCAAGCAGGGATTTATCAGGAGATCTCTGATAAACTCGCTTTCTGGAATGCCCCCCTGTCCACATCCTACAGGACTGATGAGCTAACAGCTAGTTTCTCTTGTTTCTTATCCCACTACTCAGCATTTAAATTAGGGATGGACAATATAGCGGCATCTATATCGGCATCGGCCGACGTGAGTCATTTTTTAACATATCGGTATCTGTTCGATAAATAAAACCGGGTCGATATTAACAACCGATATTTTTTCCATCTCGTCTCCATTTGTTTGCCTGATTCAGAGGGTGAGGGGGGTGGTGTGTAATCGTTTAGTCATGTGACAGTGAATGAAATCATCTCAGAACCGTAAATGTGTGTGTTGTGTGTACATAATAATGTAAATTCAGCTTTAATAATTTTCATTCTATATAAAATCTTCTGATTTTAGAAGCATTAATGTCCGTATATCAGTATCTGCAAATATCGGTTATCGGTCCAAAAATATCATATCGCAAATTTAAATTGTTTTCTCCTTTTTTTGTAAATAAATGAAGCTAGCCTACTTAATCAGACATAACAATCAGAATAAAATGCTTTAAAGTCCCGTTAGTCATCACACACTGGAGAAATTCATCTCTACATTTGACCCATCCCCGTGGGGGGCGGTGAGCTGCAGCATGGTCTCTGGAACTATCTGGTTATTTAACCCCTCAACCCCTTAAGCTGAATGTCAAACAGGGAGGCACTGGGTCCCATTTCTAGAGTCTTTGGTATGATCCAACTGGAATTTGAACTTCGGTCTCCCCATCCTAGCGCGGACACTCCACCACTAGGCCACTGTTACATTCCCCCCCAGTCTAGGGTGTGGGGGAAGCAACATGACAGTCACAATAATGGAGGAGGCCGTTCTGCTTAAGAGCAAAAAGTTTATTTGCTGAAGATAATAAAAAAGAAATGTGGGGGAAAAGAAGGGACCTGTGGGTTGACCAAATAAATGAAATAAATAAAACAAAACACACCCTAACTGAACTCTTAACCTTGCGAGAAAAAAAAGAGAAAGAAAAACCTAACTTACTTATCTACAAAAATGGCGTTCTAAAACCAGTACAAGGGAGGTACTACCCACGCTTACCTAGTGTTTTTAGACATCCAGATACTACGTGTGCAGATGTACAGGGTACCCCATCTTACCTGGTCCACAACCTTCCCACCACATACCTGGCAACCAGCTTTAAAAGGACTTCAGCTTCAACTTCACAACTAAAGAGCAGGGACAAAAAAGCTCTGGGCTCAAAGGCAGGATCAGAACAAAATGGCCACCGTGTCCACTAGGTGTAGGCTATTTAAAGGCAGGCTCCACAGCTGATTGGGCAACCAGGTACACAGCAGCCAATCACCGACAAAAAGGGAAGTTTCACCTCAGTGTATCAGGCAACTTGAACCTGGAAAAGAAAACAGCTATAGAAACTGCCAGCAAAAGCGTTTTGCACGTAACAGCCACTGAGAAGGTAGGATGGAAATGGCTGTCAAATGTTCTTGACCTAGACTGTGTCCCATTCATTAAAGGATAAAACTAAGTAAACTAAATATAACTATCTTAATAAAATGTCATTTTGTGAAACAGCCGAATTATAGAATGATGTCAAATTTATTCTCTGCACATTAGCAAAAGCAGCAAATTCAAACGACATTCATTATTATAAAAAAATCCTCAAATAAGAGAGAAAAGCAAAACGTGTCGTTGAATGTTTGAGCTAATTAGCTGATTATTTTTACACGACTACCAGTTTAAACCAACGCTAATTTTCAGTGTGAGGCTCGTTTTTGTGTCGCTATATGAACTGCTTCTTAAGTGATTCATTCTGAACTTTCCTCTTTTGTTTGGATTTTAAATCAAAGATGAACTTCCTGTCACTGTTCCACGCCCATTTATTTAATATAAGCCATGCAGCAGTTGTAGTTTCCTGTAAATGAGGCTTAATTTTGTCTCGAGGGTTTATTAAGCAGTTTATAAAATGGTGTGAACCATTGGAGTTGTTTTAAGCTGTGCTTGGACTAGCTGTTAGCTCATCAGTCCTGTAGGATGCCTCCAATTTCTGTGTTCAGGAAGCATCTCATTGGGTATGACGTTAATTATTATTTATCATTTTTACACAGAAACATGCTTAAAATGGCCAGACTATCCCTTTACTCGTGGGTCGTAGGCCTGAGAGCTGGTGTAATCTTTGGATGAATTAATCAGAGTCAGACGGGCTGTTTTCTTACTGTTCTCTGAGTTCCTGGCTTTAGAGAACAGCTGCAGTGTGGGCTACAGAAATAATCTCTAGTGTTCTTGCTCATCCAGCTGAAGCTCCGAGGCTTTCTGTTAGATTATTTTAGGATTTCCAGCTCTTAGCTGTGTTTCTGCTCCACAGTCGATGCAGCGTTTAGTTGTGTTTTCAGTAGCGTAGGTGAGTGTGTGTCGTCTTTAGGTGTATCCCTCCCCCAGGTTCAGGAGTATCGGAGTCCTCCCATCAAACAGCATCAAAGGAGACAGACAGGTACAAGTAGACTGACCGATGAGAGTAAGAGTCAGGAGGTTGTACTAAAGGAGCGAGCCATGGAGCAGAGTCGGAACCAAAAGCAGGTAGAAGTGGAGGTGAAATGAGAGGAAGCCTGTCTGTGTCTGATCCAGGCCCAGTTGGTGAAGGACCGCAACTCCATGCTGCGTCTGACCAGCATCGGGTCAGACGACGAAGACGACACGGACGGAGGAGAGCGAGACCGAGCGGCGAGCGGCAGCAGCTCGGAGCACCAGCGGCGTGTACAGATGACCTGGACCAAAGAGAAGACCGCTCACCACAGAAGCACACAGTCGGGCTGCTCCACACCTGAAGGCTTCAGAGACATGCTGAGCATCAGACCGTGAGCCCCCCTCCCCATCACACCCTCTCTTTGTTGTTTCTGAAGGACATTTAAGGATTTGTCTCGTCTTCCTGCAGGGACCAGTCCAACGTCAGGAGGATGCACACAGCCGTCAAACTCAATGAAGTCATCGTTGCTAAGTCCCACGAAGCCCGGCTCGTCCTGCTCAACATGCCTGGACCCCCAAAGAACACCGAAGGAGACGAGAACTGTATCCTTATGACCCGTCCTCACTATCACAACACACGTTCAGAAAAGTTTGGATGGGACTCCAAACTTTTAGCTAGGTCACAATTAGAGCGCATGTTGGCGAGCAAATAAATTACAATTAAAATGGTGATATCTGGGGTTTAATCATGAGAAACGATATACACTCTTGACCACTCAGTTCGAACACTTGCAGCCTGGTGAGATGGTTATGCTATTTACCTCCCAGCTAAAGCAGTTAGCTGTGTACCTTTCCTCACTGCTGTTTGTATATTTTTACGTTTGTGTTCAAGCTAACTAGAGAAAAGTCCCTAAGGACGGAAGTTAGCATCATAAATTGCACCAAACGACAGAAGACTCTTCGTTAACCCACAAACCAGACATGGAGTTCCTGGAGGTTCTGACTGAAGGCCTGGAGCGCGTCCTGCTGGTCAGAGGGGGAGGAAGTGAAGTCATCACCATCTACTCCTGATTGCATCAAACACAGGAAGCCCAGTGTTACACGAGCATCCAGTCAGGGAGAAGTGAGTGAAGGGAGGCGGTTCAGGGGTGCGTGCCCACTAAGAGAGCCCGTCATTGGCTGCAGAATCAGTCGCCACGCCCAACAGCCCACTTGAACCTCTTTTTCTTTCATCTTTACTGGTTTCTCATAAAAATCTATTCATTCCATGTTTACCTGAAGATATGCCAACGCAATTCCACCATTCAGCAGCAAATTACCATGGCAACCAGCTGTGTGTGAGAGTGTTTAAATGTTTGTGTGAGAGTCAGACATCTGACGGTCTTTGATGATGGGACCAGCATTGTGTCTGGAGCAGGTGCGTCTGAGCAGTGAGACAGTCCATTTATTTTTAAAAAAGGTGATTCGAAGCATCCCAGATCAGTGCAGTCATGCCAGTGACGCGACTCAGGGTGGACTTTTCTACTGAATGTATTTAGGAGGAAAACGGGAGAGAGGCCTGAATGTTTGGAATAAACAAAGTGTTTGTTTGTTATTTATAAAGTTTGTTCCACTACGACCAACAGGAAAAGCGGCTTCATTTCAAAGGAAGAAAGGCTTCTAATGAGCAACACTATGTCCCATAATGTTGCTTTATTAGTCCGTCCATCATTTAACATTTTATTTTGCGTGCCCTAAAATAGCCGCACCAACCTACACATGTTCATAATTCACAGTGGAGGAAATGAAGTCGTTTTCCTCATGTGTCGGCCTAAGTCATCAAAAAATTACATCTGCATTTTAAGAGTGCACATTGTACTTATTCATGCAAAATATTCAGTTAAGTAAAAAAAATGATTAATTTGTTTAAAAGCTTAAGTAAACAGATGTAATGGTAGAAATTCAGAAATGATGTAAAATTAAATTTTTTGTTTCTTTACCCGAGTGAAATTGAAAAATTGGAAAGCTGAATTAATTCTTGGTGATTCCAAAATGTTCAAATAAGTGAAGACAGGAGAAAATTCTGTTTTATGTCTAATTTTTATTTTATCTTTGTTTCTGCAGAAACAGGCTCCAGTTCTCCAGTCAGATATTAAACCACTCACTCACAGGCACATGTCTATGTCGGTGCAACTGTATTGTGTTCCGAATCCGAGTTGTGTCTGTTATGTGATAGAAAGCAAGGAAAGGGCTGCGATTTTGCACCAGGTTTGTTGATATAAGTCAGTTCCTGAATGACCAAACTAAAACCAGTGCAATGAAAGTGATCAGAGGCCGTGAAGCTGAGAACTAGCCCTGTGATGGACTGCATGTGACTAGAAATATTCAGCGTGGAGAACTTTTATAAAAGTGACGTCAGAATTGTTGGTGGTACTTGTGAAGGCCTCAGATAGAGAAGCAATTGGGAATAAATTATTGTGGAGATACTGGACCATTAGTGGTGTTGGCCACGTGCACTGCATGTGTGTAAATGTATGAATGTAATGTATTCATTTGGCATTCCTCCTTAAGATCTACTGGCAGTGTTGCATAAAATGAGCTTGTGCCCTAAAACTTGGGTCTCACTGCACACCTTAAAAAAACCTGCTGACATCCTGCTTCAGTTATACACAAATGTTCATTAGCTTGTTTTTAAAATTAGGGTCTTTTACGTAAGTCATTTGATTCCGTCCTTGTTTTATTTGTTTGTTTTTTACAGTGTTGTGCAGGAATAATTTTATGTCGTTGTTTCTTAAGCATTGTTTTTTGATTGTACATGAATACAAAAACATGCTGAACTTTACTTTTTTTAATTACATTATTATAAAAATCATGAAAAATGCTTTAAAATTTGTAATAAAGCAGTTTTAAAGACAGTTGACTTTTTTTCTGCTGTTGTGTTCGTAGTTCTACAGAAACGTAGCATGCAAACTTGAATCAACACAAACTTGACAAATGTGTGTTCTTATGGTTCTTCTCAGAGCAGTGCCACATAAAATAACTGATGAAAATAATGTTGCCAAAAAAAAAGCACACTGGGAATGTAGTGTTTCAGTGTAATAAATTAAAATTCCCATTCAACATGGTAGTTAAAACATTTGTAAAATGAAACATGAATAAAGAGATTACACAAACTAAATAAAATCTACATGTGCGATAGTTGTTGCACTTGTTACTTTTGTTTGTACAACCTTTATTTTGAAGAGGCGGTTTGTGCGTAACGAGGTCACTTCCTGAAACGCGTACAGTCTGGGAGCCGGTGCCATGTTGATTGAGGAAATAGTGAGCGCAGTGCACAAGAAAAAGTGGGATTTTAGAAAACAAACCGTGAATCTCATATTGGGGTTGAGCATGGAGGTAAGAGTAGTTGGTACTAGAAATGTTTGATAAAGTGAAATAATCATTCTTTTGAACAACAACTACTGTTGCGACAAACACAACAGAGGCGTCTTTTTGAGCGGATGTAGAACTAATTTTTTTAGTTCCTTAATTTTATTAATCGGTTGAAGTTGACTTCGACTTACAACTTTCATACTTGAAAACTCCCTACAAGCCATAGTAGCTTGCTTCCGGTGTTTTGTAGTCCTTAAAGCTTAAATCTGGTCACTAGTTAGCACCGGTACTGATTAACAAGAGGATTGCTTTGAACGGCACACCAGGATGAGCTTTACTTTTGTTTTATTTATTTAAATTTTCTGCTCAACTTTTTTGATTAATTTTTAATAAGCATGCGTGATGTCATTATGTCTCGTCATTCTCTCAATATTTAACCCATAGTGAGATTTTAACAAATTTAATTCCGTGTTTAGAGTGACCTAAAACCCAGTTTCCTGTCTCAGCTTTCAAAGTAAAAGAATCACAAATCTTGAGCAGCAATCTACACAGGATGAATAAATAAATAAATAGCTTCAAAACCAGGTGAATGTAATTCACATAGTAAATTTATGGGTCAATGCAGTAATAATTTATCTTGCATAACCTTTGAGTGTCAGCTTCTATGTGTCCTACATTTACTGGTCAAATATTAAGTTGGCAGTACTATTAGCTTTTAGCTGTCTTAAAGTGTCAGATTTCTAAGAACCCAGAAAGTGTTCAAAGTCCTACTGTTGTTTTTGTTTGTTTCAGTTGCTTGAGATTGATTGCTGCCTAATTTGAGCCACTAGAGTATTTTTTTCAGCAAGCCTTTCAGTTTCATTCTCAGAATTCTGTAAAGTACCCAGTGTTAGTCATAACATATAAATTGATTTGACTTGAGTGAGTCTATTTCCATCCAGATTGCTGAAGTTCTGGATTTACTATGTAATTTATTGCCACTTTAAGCCTCTGTGAGGCGTGGTTAGGTCTAGGAATAATCATTTTTCACTAGAACAGAAGCCAACAACCTGTGTAGCTTTTCACTCAGACGAAGTGTTTTAGATGTGGAGATAAACTTAAGGGACCAATATTAAATATTCTACAAAGCTTTCCTTGTTTCATTTTGTTAATTTCATTTTCTTGTGATGTGCTGGTGTTAGGGTCTTTACAACCATCAGCAGCAGGTAAATAGCACTTCTAGGTCACACAGGGCACAGGTTTGGTGGAAAATAAAAATGTATGGAAAAAGGATGGTGGTTTTGAAGTTAAAAAATAACCACTGTTATTTTTTTTGCCTGTTAAAATGGCCCACATGGACACATTTCTTAATTGGATAATTTTTGAAGGATGATCATGCGGTATTTGTTTGGGAAAGTGACTTGGTGTGTTTACATGCACATCAGAAACTGAACTACTGCCTTAAATAGAATGACAATTTGTTAAAAAATGCATGTAAACGAGTTAGTCTGGCTGAGGACAAAGTCGTTAACCATGCTGAGGTGGTAAATTCCTCAAAGGATGCGGCTGCTGAAGCGGTCTTCTGATAATATCGTTGACACAAATTAACATGTGTAACACTATCAAACAGTGCAGTATCCACCAAGTAAGCAGTGCTGCAGCGTTGTTGTTGTTGGTTCCTTTGGTCATTGTGCATATCCTGTTTCAGTTACGACTGCTTCACTCCTGCCAGCGCTTGTTTACGGTCGTCAGAACCCCCTCTGCATGTTTTCCATGTTGCCCTTTTAACACCAGTGTTGAGTTAAACTAGGAGTTTGCTCATCAGTCTTGTCAGGACTGAAACAGTATTTTTCCAAACAGAGGACATTCAGGATCAGGAACCCATCAAAAACAAGATAATGATTAGATTGGAATAGTCCTTTGTTGTCATTATACCCAGAGGATCAACCAAAAAAAGAGAACACACTCACCAAGCCACCTTGCATCGCAAGATAAAATTTGTCATTTTAAAGATCTTCCTCACTGAGACAGATACAATACTTTTTCTTTTGAAAATTTGATCAGTCACGCAGAGTTTCAAATCAAATCAAATCAAATCAACTTTATTTATATAGCACTTTTCATACAAAAAATGCAACTCAAAGTGCTTTACAGATTAAAATGGCCCCATAGATCCCACATTCCCATCCCAGCCCCCCTCCCCAAGTATAAAACAATTAAAAATTACAGTTCCCCTCCCGCACCCAACTTCCAAAGTGGACATACAATCACCCGCACACACACACACACACACACACGCACACACACACACACACACTCGTGAACACCAGAGGAAACAATAGGCTGAGTTCAGATGGGTCAGGTAATGAACGACACATCATCAGCGGAGCCATCTGCCTTGGCAGCAACAGATCCACGGCAGCAGCCAAGACACCGGCCCATGACGCCCAGAGGCGTAGGGCAGAAACCCCCACCAGTGCCCGGGCACTACCTGGGGAGCGCCCCGGCCGCCGCCGCCCCTGACCACCGGCCCCAAGGCAGAGGGCTCCGCAGAGGAAACACTGGAGGATTTAAGATATATAACATATAAAATAATAAAAGCTAATAATGATAAAAAGTAACTGATAAAAAGTGATTATAAAGATAGTAAAAGAAAACATAATCATATAAAAACACTAAGATGTATATAAAATGATAAAAATAATAAGAGAGATAAATATGTATTTATAGATAAATAGTAATCAGTTAAAAGCTAAGCTAAAAAGGTGGGTCTTGAGCCTATTCTTAAAAGCCTGGATGTTCCCTTCGGACCTGAGGTCCTCCGGCAGCCCGTTCCAAAGGCGAGGGCCGTAGTACTTGAAGGACGCCTCGCCGTGGGTGTGAGTCTTAACTTTAGGGATAACTAGGAGACGGCTGCCAGAGGAGCGCAGAGACCGCGAGGGTTTATACAGTAAAAGCAGTTCTGAAAGATAAGAAGGCCCAAGACCATTAAGACACTTAAAAACCATTAAAAGAACCTTAAAATCAATCCTGAAACATACGGGGAGCCAGTGCAGTGATTTTAAAACCGGAGTGATGTGCTCCCGCTTCCTGGTCTTCATCAGGACACGTGCTGCTGAGTTTTGTAAGAGTTGTAAACCTGAGATGCTCTTTTTGGGAAGACCAGAAAGCAGGGCATTGCAGTAATCAATTCTACTGGTTACAAAAGCATGCACTAGCGTCTCCGTATTGGCCCGAGAGAGAATGGGGCGGACTCTGGCGATATTCTTAAGATGGTAAAAACCTATTTTTGTGATGTTTTTAATATGGGGGATAAAAGTCAGCTCAGAGTCGAAAATAACACCCAGATTCTTCACTTGTAGTGATGGATAAAAAGACATTGATTGTAGTTTAGGTAAAAGTTTCTCTCTCTGGGCCTCAGGACCGATGACTAAAACTTCAGTTTTGCCTTGGTTGAGCTGGAGAAAGTTTTCAGTCATCCATGATTTAATATCTAAAATGCAATTAAAAAGTGTTTCCATTGGCTGAGAGTCATCAGGAGACACGGAGATGTACAACTGTGTATCATCAGCGTAACTGTGGAAATTCACCCCATGTCTCCTGATGACGCTGCCCAGAGGGAGCATATAGAGGTTAAAAAGTACTGGGCCTAGAATTGATCCCTGAGGCACCCCGCATGTGATGCTGTGGACCCCAGAGGAACAGGTATCCAGACTCACCATAAAAGTCCTGTCTGTGAGGTAGGAAGTAAACCAACTGTGAACAGCACCAGAGAGGCCGATCTGTTTTAAACGGGTTAAAAGAATAGTGTGGTCTACTGTATCAAAGGCAGCACTTAGATCCAGCAGAACCAACACTGTTGCCCTCCGAGCATCATAATTTGTTCTAAAATCATTTAAAATCTTCAGAAGGGCTGTCTCAGTGCTGTGGTTCACCCTAAAACCAGACTGAAATTTCTCTAGGACATGTTGGTGGTTGATAAAATCATTAAGTTGTATTAAAACAAGCTTCTCTAAAATTTTGCTTAAAAATGGTAAGTTGGATACCGGTCGGAAATTGTTAAAGTCATTAAAATCTAAATTGCTCTTCTTCAACAGGGGTCTGACCACCGCCCGTTTAAAAGCAGCAGGAAAGACCCCCGTCTGAAGGGAACAGTTCATCAAAGTTAAAATCTCATCTCTAAATGAGTCATAAAATTGTTTAAAAAACCTTGTGGGGATAGGGTCCAGAACACATGTGGTAGGCCTCACTGAGGAGAAAACTTTATCAATAGTCTCAACTTCAACCAAGACAAAACTGTCCAGTGTTTCCTCAGGTAGACACACACTCTCAGATTGATCGGGAGCAGCATGACATTGGGTGGAAAAAATGTTACGTCTGATGGTGTCTACCTTCCCTCTGAAGTGGGCTGCAAACTCCTCACAGTCATGCTGAAAGTGAAATTAGTCTGCATTAGCCACTGAAAGAAAATTAACAGGGAAACACTTGCGTCAGCAAACAACCACACAGATTTACATCACACTATGAAATTAGCATTCATGGACTCACCCACCTCGGCTTGTAACTGCGAAAGGCTGTGTTGATGTCAGTGATGTGAGGAGAGAGCAGAGTGCATCTTGGCTAATAGAAGCTAAGAGCAATACAACTCCACAACTTGGCAGAATTGGTTAAAGCTTGAGTTATTTGTGAAGATTAAACCTCAGTGTGGAATTTTACCTACCCAATGAATAAGAGTGAACAGAGGTGTTGCTGTCAACCAATCAGTGGCGAGATGTTCACATATCGTGAATACTGACTCCAACCCCCCCCCCCCCCCCCCCCACACACACACACACACACACACACTCCTCCAACTAACTTTTACTTCTTGAAACTGTATGTTTATGTTTATTTATTTATGCTCATTTATTTGGTAGACACTTTTATCCAAAGTGACATACAATAGTTAACCTATAGGGTATGTTGTGGTTGCACAGGAGCTTTTTTGCCACAGAAAACGACTAACAAGTTATTCATCCATACTAGAGCCCACAGCAGATTTATTTTAGTAATGAATGTTTGACTCCTTTAAAGAAAGGAAAAAAAAACAACACAAAGTAGGCAAAACTTGGTAAAACATAATAAAAATACAAATCGCATGAAAAATGTGTCTGTAATATGTGTGCAGTATGTTTGTGAATATTTTTACTCAGAAGAATTTGAAAATGGTACAAAAAGGAAAATGTAACTTTTTATTTTGAAACACACAATGCTCCATATCCGGTTAGGTCCATGTTCAACTTCACCACTCCTCCATTGAGTCCTTCCACGATCCGTTTCTCGGGATCTGTTGAGCATCCTAGCCCGGGCCAACACGTCGAAGCGACGGGGATTCGCGCTGTTCTTCTCCGCCTGTCGGACACCTTGAACGGGTTTCCACCTTTCCTACGTTTTATCCGGTTAGCCTCGAGCGTCCGGTGTGTGACCGCCGGTTTTTCGGAAGGGGTTGGGGGTCAGTCAGACAAACGGGCGCCAGGCTGGTGGCGGCGTGAGCGCCGCAGCTTTGCGTCAAAAGCCCAGCTAACGCTAAATCCTGGAGGGACAAGTCGTCCAGAAAGACGGTTGCCAGCCACGTTACAGACAGCGGACAGGGTGCGGGTGAACACATGCTCGGGGTTTCCGCACCAAACTGTCGTAACTGACGGTTTCTAAATCAAAAATACATAAATATATATTTCATTTGTTAGAATAGGGGGCTAGCACCCCAAATAATGGCTTCCTGATACATTTTAATAAATCAAGCTAAGCAAAGGAATTACCGGTGAGAGCCTCGCTGCTAATACATGAGGCCCAGCTGAAAAGATGGACCTGAATTTTTACTCGGATTTAACGGACGGAACCGGGCAGCACGACGGTGATCCGGAGTTCCTCGATCCGCATTCCTTCAATGGATTTGACACCGACAACAAGGTGAATGTTGGAGCTGCATAGGAGCACCAGTACTCCCAGTTTAATGTCTGAGGGGTGAAACAATAGATGTAATTTTTAAATTCGTGTCTGAGGCTCATCATTGAGTCTCGATGACTTACTTTTTAATTAAGTCAGATTTACAACCAGAAATCCCCCAAATGCACCACCAGATATTTAAAATGTTTCGGTGCGATAGGAAATGTGACATTTTTATTAATTTGTGAACAGATTCTACGTTTCTTATTAAATGTAGTGTCCTGGTTTCCGACAAGGGGTCTAAACTAAGCCAGTAAACTGGTAAATGTTTACATAAACACCTGTTTGTGTTGGTCAACATTAGGCATCTAGAGTGTAGACTGGTTAAGGTGCATTATGGGTCAATGACTGTTTCACCAAATAGACCAAAATCAAGTTAAATGCACTCGTGAGCCACAGAAATGAGATATATTTTAATTAAAAATGCAAATTTTATGATTTTATTTGCTTTTTACCTGCTCGAAAGGACCTGAGTATTGTAGAAAATCTAAAGGGTCTTGTTTATCTGCAGTTCAATTTCTGGGATTTGTTGAGGTTGATTTCTCTTTTTACAGGTGCTGGTTGTAAAAGTAGAATATCATGACCAAATTGATTTATTTCAGGAATTCAATTCAAAGGTGTAACTTGCATATTAGATACCTTCATCACACACAGACTGACATTCTGTTTATTTCTTTCATTTTGATGACGACAAAGGACGACTACTGAAAGTCCCAAATGACCAGCACCTGTACGTCGTGGATGTGGGATAATGCGCTTTTTCTTTATCCTCTTGAACAACAATGTGACACGGGTCTTTGGAAATGCTAGGCTGGTTTTCTTTGTGATGTGTACAAGTCTGCTGAAGTCGGTGGATTTGGGTTTCTTACTGATCTGCTTTACAAGTTCAAGATCACAAATATGAGAGGCTGAAAGTAGTTTTCTGCGTAGGACGGTTGGGCTCGGCCTTGCAGAGAGGGTGAGGAGGAACTCTGTAAAGCCGCTGCTCCTCCCCATCAAGAGGAGGTGGTTCAGATATTTGGTCAGAAAGTCTCCTGAACGCCTTCGAGGGGAGGTGTTTTAGTCATGTCCTACCAATAGGAGACCTCCTGACACGCTGGAGGGATTATGGCCCAGTCCCGATACTCGCACTGGACCCTTCTGTCTTCAGCAACGTGCACTCTGAGGAAGTACGCAGTAAGGCTTTGAGTGTAAATTGTTGCTGAACTGGGACAGTGAGCACACGGGACATATATTGTCTTCAAATGAAGTTTTCATTTTGGGTAAACGAGGACACGATAAAACTTTGGTTCTAATATTGAAGACTTTATTTTCCATAAACCGTACAAATGTTTTTCCTTTTCATTTTGAATCAACATGTTATTGTTGACTCTGCAGTCTGAATATTAAAACAAGTGAGTACATTACTGGCATGTTGTCCACATTTGCACACCAGCACTGTAATCTGTATTAAAATGCAACAACAGATGTGATGCAACTATCAGCAGAGTTTGATTGTAATCAGAAATGAGCACAATAGAAAATACCTAAAAAGGGTGGCTTGCCAACTCCGGGTTGGGGGAGAGGTCCTACCTCAAGTGGAGGAGTTTAAGTTTCTCGTGGTCTTGTTCACGAGTGAGGGTAGGAGGGATCGGGAGATCGACAGGCGGATTGGTTCAGCATCTGCAGTGATGCGGACGCTGAGCCGATCTGTCGTGGTGAAGAGGGAGCTGAGCCACAAAGCCAGGCTCTCGATTTACCGGTCGATCCACGTCCCAATCCTCACCTATGGTCATGAGCTTTGGGTAATGACCGAAAAAACGAGATCGCGGATACAAGCGGCCGAAATCAGTTTCCTCCGTAGGGTGGCCGGGCTCAGCTTTAGAGATAGGGTGAGGAGCTCAGACATTCGGGAGGGACTCGGAGTAGAACCGCTGCTCGAAAGGAGCCAGTTGAGGTGGTTTGGGTATCTGGTCAGGATGCCTCCTGGACGCTTCCCTGGGGAGGTGTTTCGAGCATGTCCTGCCAGCAGGAGGCCCCCGGGTCGACCCAGGACATGCTGGAGAGGTTACATCTCCAATCTGGTCCGGGAACGCCTTGGGGTCCTGCCGGAGGAGCTGGTGGAGGTGGCCGGGGAGAGGACGGTCTGGAGCTCCCTAGTTGGGATGCTGCCCCCGTGACCCGGATAAGCGGAGGAAGACGACAACGACATTTTTACAAAAGGCTCTTAAGCCATTGCTCCACCTTCTCAAAATTCCCATGCAGCGGTGGATTGTGGGTAATACCTTTTTGTCTTCATGGATCAAAGGTGCAAAGAGGGCGTGGTCAACTTTCACACTTGAGAATTGGGACAACCTGTGCATTCGCATGCCTGGACCAGAGCGCACATTTGAGGGGCCAATATCTCCTGGGAACGCCTTTGGGATCTCACTGGTGGAGCTGGATGATGTTACTGGGGAGAGGGCGAATTGGGCCCCTCTGCTGGGGCTGCCACCCCCTCTACCCCAACTCTGATTAAAGGGACTTTACAGAGTTTTGAATTTTTTATGCTCGCGATTGCCCCCTCAGGCCAAAAGCGTAACGGCAGCTTCAATAGTAGGCTCGTGCACAAGGCGCGCATGCTGTACGTGCACACTTCTTAACGAAAATGACAGCTGAGACAGTCCCGTGTGTGTGTGTGGCACAGAGGACAGAGGGCAGGAGAGAGCGCAGCTAATTAATAAAATAATTTAGTTCTGTAACTTTCTCTTCAGCACAGCCGACAAAGGTTTATGATGGGTCAGTCCGTCAGCTTCACAGAGCTTCCCTTCCCTTGCTTGAAAAATTGTTCCAAAATGAAAGTTGAACCCACATCTTTTTTATCTGTGAATTCAATGCCGTTCGGCAAGTCTCAAATAAAAATTTGGGCATCTTACTGTAAAAAAATATATCAGTAATGTAAAAAATAAATTCTAAGTAAATTAAGTTCACATCCAGAATCGAACCCAGATCTTCTGCACGGGAATCCGACGTCTAAGTAGGTGAGCTAAAGCGCTGGTGACATCTTGCGTATCTGTAACTTTTATATCCTTGATGACAGCTGAACCAACGTTCAAAGAATGGTTCGGAGCGAAAATGGTTATTTAGTTGCTAATTTGCAGGAAATGTCTAGAAGAAAGTAGCTAAGGGTCTCAGAAATGTAGCTAGGTTCATCACTAGGCGTTAGGAACAGCGACAAAGTTGCTGAGTTGGCACTACCTCACTCTCTGCTGCTAAAGCTACTGATAGCAAATGCTACGGGCTATGCCTGAGCGTGAACGCGCATGAAGCAGCCTGCTCGACCCGGGCAGCTCAGCTCAACTCTCTTTTTCTGTGATTTTACAGAAAAACAGGCAATCACAGTAAAAATGCCAGGGCTCATTCTACAGGACCAGGGCATTGCAGGAGAATGTATGAAGAAGAAATGTATTATTTCTATACATGTTTTGGCTGTCAAACTTCCATAATGCCCCTTTAAGTGTCGGTCTTCTTTCACATGTGCTGGCAGGACCTGACCTATTCCTGATACATAGTGTCAGACTACACTTTAATCACCCCTTCGTCTTTTATTTATTGATTTTTGGTTCAGGTGTATCCAGCTAATCAGAACGCAGCAGCTGTTGCTATGCTCCTGCATGCCAAACTAGCAAACATTCATGCTTCTGTGATGATCAGCATCGTTGTTGCTCTAGTTTTTTATCAGGCAGGGTTAATCCTGGAGCGGAGGTGTGTTCGTGTGTCTCTAATTATCACACTTGTGTGTTCCAGTTTCCTGGAGGCAGTGACAACTACCTGACCATTTCAGGGTCCGGCCATCCCTTCCTCTCTTCTTCTGAGGTAGGGCCGCTGTTTAACACAGCATCTCTCAGTGGGAACTTAACAGAACCAGTGCTGCTTCCGCATCATTTAGATTTAGAATTGGTTTTGAGTTTTAGCTTCTGGCTGGTTTGTCGGTCTGAACAAAGGCAACCAGACTGGGTCAACCCCTGGATGAGTTACGGCTAACGGAGAGAGTCCCGCTCAAACACACGTCTGTCCAAGATAACAGCTACTGTTGGTCTCTTTAAGCTGCTCCCAAGAGCTCTGTGTTTTGTCTGTTGGTTTGTAATGTTTATCAGTTATCAGTGATCCGTTACAGGATTTTAACTAAACTGTCTGGAGAAACTAGATTAGATTAGAACCAAACTGGAACTCAGACTGGACCTGAACGAGTAAAACATTACATTTTCATTAAATTGAATAAAAACAAGTGTTTATGGCTCCTCCTTTGGGCTAAAAAGTGAATTATTTACCTTTAGATTACTTTCTGGTGTATAATTTATTTTTTGTCTTTTTTTTTTTAATAAATATTCTCAGGTATGATCTTTTTTTGCCATTTGTACACACACACACACACACACACACACACACACTTGGTCTGACTACATCTTAACCGAGGGAACCAGCTTTGTCATTAGTACCTCTAATGGTTGACCATGTTTGACTGAAAGATGCAGATTTCTCAGTTAACCTTCCTTCGGTTTTTTGGGGGGGTTCTACCTCTCCAGACCTTCCACACCCCCAGCCTTGGCGATGAGGAGTTTGAGATCCCCCCCATCTCTCTGGACCCTGACTCGGCTCTGACCGGGTCTGACGTGGTGTCTCATTTTGGGGAGTTGTCGGACACTGGGCCCTCCGACAGCATGGTGGTACCTGGAAATGCGGTGGTGGAGGGAGACGACCCGTCCTTCGCCTCCACTTACGTCAGCGCCCCCTCCCAGGGCCTGGATCACCTGAGTCTGGGGGTCATGAGCCAGTCTGGAGGAAGTGCTCTGTTGGGGTCCTCTCTGGGGATGGTGAGGACTATGAGACAGGTCTGAATTTGTCCCACGTCTCAAATCTAGACGTCGTTTTACTCCTCCTTCCTCCCTTTGTTAGGATCTGGGACATCCCATGAGCTCTCAGTTCAGCAGCTCGTCTCCAGTGACCATTGATGTCCCACTGGGGGACATGGGCCAGGGCTTACTGGGCTCCAACCAGCTGACCACCATCGACCAATCAGAGCTCAGCGCTCAGCTGGGACTCGGTCTGGGAGGAGGGAACATCCTGCAGAGACCCCAGTCCCCTGACAACCCTTTATCGGCTACCGCGTCTCCCACCAGCTCACTCCAAGATGATGACATGGACGACTTCAGACGGGTGAGTCTTTAAGCTCTAGAGAAACAAAATGTCCACAAAGAGACAACTAACTCTGGTTTCTCGTCTTCATCCAGAGTGTACTAGTTGAGTCTCCAGTTTCTCTGGCTGTATCCCCTGGAGTCATCTCCCTGGACCCCTCTCTGTCCGACTCCCTGGTCTCTGCCGCGTCTTCCAGCATGTCCTTGTCCGTTGGACGGAAAGGAGGGCCAGCAGGAGGGAAGAAAGGGAGGAAGAAGAAAGACCCCAATGAGCCCCAGAAACCTGTGTCGGCCTACGCGCTGTTCTTCAGGGACACACAGGCAGCCATTAAGGGACAAAACCCCAACGCTACGTTTGGAGAGGTGTCCAAGATCGTGGCGTCCATGTGGGACAGCCTGGGGGAGGAACAGAAACAAGTAAGAGGGTCCCCGGTTTTTGACAGGAAGTAGGGATGCAAGGATAAACCCATTTATTTGTAGAGCATTAACGTTGAGTGGTCAAAACGTTCCTTTTTCCTATTTAAATATATATATTTTAACGTTCTTAAACATTTTCAGGTTTACAAAAGGAAAAACGAAGCTGCAAAGAAGGAATACCTGAAAGCTCTGGCAGAATACAGGCAAGGCAAAGTTTCCCAGGTGAGTCCAACTTTAAAAAGAAGAAAACTTTAAATTCAGCGTGTGAAATATCTGTCTGGTTGTAAACGGTCTTCGTTGGCAACCATTGGTGTGATAAATACATACTTTTATACTGTAATCATTTCAACAATAGTACTGATGTTTGCCACGTGCAGTATTTGGATCCTCCACTAGAGGCAGACTACATGAAGCAACACTAAAGAGTTTCCCCGATTCTTCGTCCTACTGATTGAAAGCAAAATTATAGCTGGTAAACAACTCTGTGGTAGCCTGCTGTAGCTAGCGCTAACAACAAGCTAACAAGCCATTTGATACTAAAAAAGCCACAAAGTATGAAGATCCACAGTTGGACAAAAACTATTATTTTCAAGTCCAGTATCACCAAAGCCAGGTCACCATCAGTCCAGCATTTTGTAGCTTCCTTCAGCTCCCTCAGGTGTAGGCCACGCCGATGTTCACTCTGATTTCAGCTCTTTGCTTCCCCTCCAAAGACATTACTCTCTTACTTTTACTTCCACGCTCTGCCATGATGCCAACAGAAAAGTGAAATTCTTTTCTTCTCATCGTTTATCTTTTATTTACAGCCAGCGAACCGCAAAAGCTAACTGCTAGCCTTTATATTGGCTAGAAAAGGAGTAAACATTGCCGTAAAGCAGGTAGAGACTTCCACCTAGTGCACCTACGGGTGCCACGAAGATATTAAGTGTTCTTTCTGGTCAGCAGAGAGCTTCAGGCTGAAGTTGGTCTATTTTCTACTTCAATAACCGCTGAAACCAGATAGAAAGCAGTAGCTGAAAGTGTTAAAAACTCTTACGTGTTACTTAAAGCTGCTGCTTATTTCTGTTATTGTTTGTTTTCTTTTTATTTTGTGTTTTTATTTATTTTGCTTGCTGCTTTGCACCTCAGGCCCCCATTGAAGTTATGGACACCTCCCCGTCGCCTCCACCTCCACCTGCAGCTCCCGTTGTCGTGGCCACGCTCCCAACCACTACTCCAACCAGTCGCCCCACCCGATCGCAGCACTACAACCCCGAGGAGAACACCATCACCAACATCTGCACTTCCAACATCATTCTGGACATCCCTCAGGTCACCACGCGCTCTCGCACCGGCGCCATCAAGCCTCAGCCTCCCCCCGCCAGCACTACTCCACCCAGCCTCCCCACTGTCACCAAGATAATCATCAAACAGACTCAGCTGCCTTCGGGCGCCATGTCCGTCACCTCCACTGCCACCACCTCTGCCCGCCAGCCGCCGCCGCTGCAGCAGATGCAGAGCAACCCTCCCCCGCCCCGGTTGCAGCAGATGGTGCACGCTCAGGCTCCACCCCCTCTCCAGGCCAAACCACGGGGTGGAGGCACAGCGTCCGCTAGTGCCCCGCCTCCACTGCAGATCAAGGTCGTCCCGCCAGCGCGGCAGTCCAATCTTTCCACGCCGATCATTGTGACGTCTACTGGTGAAGCACCTGCCTCCGTCCCATCCTCAGGTGTGGCGGTGGAGGTGGGGCAGCCAGATGCTTTGGTGGTGTCAGGAGAAGACGGGGTAAGTTGGAGACATTCTAAATGGCTTCCATCTTGTTGTCATCCTAAAGCATCCATCTGTTTACCTGCAGATGGAGGTGGAGGTAAACGTGGCCTCTGGTCCAGGTGTGACCCCCGCAGCTGGTCCCAACATCTGTGTACGAGCCGGCTGCACCAACCTGGCTGTGGAGAGCAAAGACTGGGACATGGAGTACTGCAGCAACGAGTGTGTCGCCACACACTGCAGGTGTGTATTCAGTCCTGTAGTGTCATTAGTAGCAGCACTCTAAATGTGGCGGCTGCAAACGCAGAGCAGGAATTTCTCCAAGAGGATCAATAAAATGTAAGTTATTTAAACTAAAATCATCTTTGTTTAGTAGGGCTGTAGCGAAGCGTCGACGGCTCGATTCTAAAAATTAGTCGACGTCAGATCCGGTAGTCGACGCACCGCGCCCACTTGTTGCATCCACAGGAGTTTGTAAATGGAGGAGGAATCTGTCTGTTTTTCCTCTAGTTCGCCCTCTTCTCCACCTTCACTAACATCTCAGCCAAATACCAAAGACCCGGAACAATGTCCGTCTGCTACTAGATTCCTTTCCTGTTTTGCCCGCCTTCGTCTCCCGGCAACGGACAACAACTTCCGGGGTCAAATGCGCTGCTCCGTCTCTACCGCAGATGTAGAAAATCACCGGGAGCATTTCTCCCTTCATAAAGGAGCTTCTTTCAGACATTAGGAGAGCTGTTTTGTGGTAGCAGTCTCTCCTCCATGCTCGTCTGTTTGCTGCTGGGTGTTTTTGGTTTATTTAAACTTGGTAACTTAAACTTAACGTTGGTAAAGCTACTGTTAGCATTTTCACTAACAGCTTCTTGCGTTGGGATAAGCTGTTACGTTTTGGTTTAGAGTTCATCTTTTTTGTGGTGCAGATCTCCCTTTTATTACATTTAGAGTGTTGTGGGTTTTCGGTTTCGTTTAAAATATCACCTTGAGTTTGGTTTAACCTCCCAGTTTAGAGTTTGGACCTTTGGAGATTCTTATTTTGGTCCAGAACCCTGTAATCTTTGCCCAGTGGGACATCCCTACTTATTTGTACTTTTGTTTTAATTCCCCACAGGCAGAATTAGTTTTATTATTCCCAACCTGTGGATGGAAAGATTTATGTATTTTTGTTGTTGTAAGTAAACCTGATCATCATTTTAACTTTTAAATCCCGTTATTGTCCCTTCCTTTTTGGACATGAGCCGAACTCCCCAGGAAGGGTTGTAACACCACTCGCCTCAGGCACATAAGTGACCAAATCAAAGCAGCATGGAGACACTGTCTCCAACCACCTCTCAGGCAGCAGCCTGCACTCCCAAGTTCTACACGTCACCAGAACATAACCAACCGCAACACAATAAAAGCAGTGTTATACAAAATGGAAGGCCTGTATGTTTATTCTCTTACAGTAACAATTAATCAATTTTTTGAGGAATTTATTTGAAATTTTCTGGTTTTTATTAACTGTGCAATAGAAAAATAATCATTAGATTAATTGTCTAAATAGTCGTTAGAATAGTCGACTATTCGATAAAATAATTGTCAGAATAATCATTTTAAAAATAATCGTTTACCCCCAGCCCTACTGTTTAGAAATGACGGCGTTATTGTCATTTTGGTTAAATCTGGTAAAGTGATGTGCATTCTGGACAGATCAGATTAAGCATTAAATAATCTGCGGCAGAGTTCTGCCCTGGTCCAATTCTACCTGACGATGATTTTCAAACATATACGAGTACCAGTGGTCATCTGATCAGACCCGACCCTAGCCTCTGGACACGCCGATCACAATGTTTATCTGTGTTTATCATTATTACTGACCAGTCCAACGTTCTGCCACTGTGCAGTACCAGAAGGACCGGCACTCTCCCGTATCCAGGTTAGCTTCTATATCATCCGTTTTCGTGTCCTTTAGCTACCTTACGTCTTTTTGTCTACTTTTTTGTCTTTGCTTCCTTTTGTTAATTAGGCACCAATTACACACACACACACACACACACACACACACACACACACACACACACACACACACCTTTCTGGAACATTTCTCGCCAAATAGCTTGAAATGCTCTTAACAGACTGTTGTTGACCATCAAATGAAATGTTTAGTCTAAAGACTTTAGCTACCTCTAATGTACAATCCTGGGAAAACCTCAGTTCTGGTCTCGCTCCTAAGTGATTGGATCATAATCACTTAATCAATTTCCCTCTGGGATTAATAAAGTATTTTTTAATTTGAATTTGAATTGAATAACATCAAACTGCTCCCCTGAACGTCTCTCACCCTCTGGACACTGACCCTGCTGGAACGAGTACCTCACCTTTAACAAAACCACAACCTGGATTGTTTTAAGGATGTCCAATGTTGTCGGACAGTGTTGGTGTTAAGATGCAACATTTCTAATGATCAGTATTGGGTAATACTTTTCTAATAACAAAATGTTAACATACCATACACATGTCATACATCAGACTCTTCCGCTTTTCTCCTCACTAAAAACATCAAAATACGACCGATCTCAAGTAGATTTTGTTTGTTCGGCGTGGCTGGCCTAACACAAATTGAAGTTGTTGTCAAATTTGGCACAGATGATGCTTGCACTTTAAGGATGATAGGAAGCTGAAAGTACTGGTATCGGTTTAATTCTGTATCATAAATTAGGAGTTAGTGTTTATCAGTGAAAAGCCGATTGAACATCTTTAGTTGGCTTCTGTGTGTTTACTGGCCTTGTTGTAGGACTCTGACCCACATCTAATATCATGTCAGACTGTGTCTCAGTAGCTGCAGAACTCTGAGTCGTATTGATTATTGTGTTAGCTAATGTTGACATTCTGTGGCAGCCATCTTGTGTGTTTACTTTTTGAAAGTTCCATTACAATCCACCCAGCGGATTATGAGGTGTTTCACTAACAGACGCGTTCCTTTAGAACCACCTGTATCGGGTATTCTACGTGTTCTAACCGGGCGGTCAGATGTATGTCACCAACTTCAGACTGAAAATGATCCGTGTTTGTTTCCTCCTCCCTTCTCAGAGACGTGTTCATGGCCTGGCGCGCCATCCGAGGACAGAACTCCACCACGGTCACATAGGAAACGGACACGTGCACAAGAACAATGCAAACGAACACGAACGGCTGTCTCAGGTGTTGGAACGTATGCTTCATTCTTCCCTCATGCTCGGATCGTCTCGGGGACAAGAACAAAGACCTCACAGGAAGTGGACCAGGAAGCTTCCTGCGGCTCTCCTACTCCTTTGTTTTAAGCACTGTTGGTCGTAGCGATGCTCGCTCGGAGAGGCGGATGGCCGTGCTGCTGCGGGTGTTTCTTATTGATTATGTGATGTAAAATTAAACCCTGGACTTGATAACAAAAGAACATTTTTATGAACTTTGTGGTGTTTTTAATCGTGTAAAATGAAAACAAAAACCTCCAGGAGGAAACTCGTTGATGGACATATTTTATTCATTTAAAAAATTGTCAACGCATATGTGTGTGTGTGTGTGTGTGTGTGTGTGTGTGCGCGTCCCCTTCCTTTAGCTGTTATCCTGAGGAATGATCATTCTGATTTGTTTTTTGCGTCGATGGGGACTGGATTTGGACCTGAGAGCACAAATCATCTAAAATCTTTGGTTTTGAGAATTAAATCTGTTAAAGAAGAGCTACAGAATGAGGAGAATTAGCCACCGCCAGATTAAATCAGTTTACCACCTAGAAAATTAGGATTCTTCATTAAAACAGGTGCTACCATCTCTGCTCCCCACCTTTTCTGCTACACTCAAGCTCTTGGATTAACACGGTGCAGATTGCTGCTCTGTGAGGAATATTCATCAGAGCCTCAAATTAGAATGAATGAATTTAACACCAGCTCTGCTGCTTTTAAAGAGAAAATACTGTAAAACCTTTGTGTGAATTAAGGAATACGTTGGGGATTGAATAAATACGATTTTTTTCAACCAAATAAAGATAAAATGATGGTGGGGTCTGTTACAAATGAAATGTTTTAATAATGAAATAAAATGTTTTATGTTGTCATATTAATCTGGTATGATGCATTTAATATTCACCATTAGTTTACCATGGAGTGTTCAGGATGTCAAGAAAAAAATTCTAATGTTGAGATTAGTTACAGAAGAGGAAAGGGGCTGCTGGAAAAAGAAGAATTAGGATAATCTCAGAATTCTGATTTGAATCTGATTATTTAGATTATATCCTAATTCGGACAATTTTCAAGGAATTCTGAGATTAATATCAGAATTTGGAGATTAAAATCCAAATTATTTTTTATAAGAATTCTGACCTTGATCTCAGAAGTTGAAAATTAAAATCAAAACTCTTTGGAAAATAAAGAAGTGCTGGAATTAGTGTCTGAATTATTTTTTCTCTCCAGTAGATTTACTCCTTTACCATGTTGGCAATGAGTTAAAATAAATGTTTACTTCCCGATTAGTCAAAGATGAAGGATAAAATGAGGTAAGAGTGGAAATAATTTGAGATAAATTTTAGATACATGTCAAAATATTGAAGGAAAATCAATTATTCTAGTTTACAGCAAAAATTGTATTTTTCTGTTCTTGAATAGTCAAAATATTTCCAGATTAAAACTGAGAAGTAATAATTTATTGTTTTATTATTTTCGCTATTATATTATAGTAAAATTATTGAGAAGTGGAAAGATTTTCTTTAGTCTGAAGCGCGCGCGCGCGTGTGTGTGTGTCATCTGCTGCCGGAACGTCCTTTCACAATAAAAGCCTTAAACTCACAATTGGATCTGATATATATTTCCAAAACATCGTAATGCTGTAAATTATGTATTATTATTATTCCACTCTGGTTACCTAAACTGCTGGACGTTCTGAGAACTCGTCAGGTTGTGTACAGCTACACGCTAAATTAATTATCTTTTTTAAAACAATTAGAAAGTCCTTATTGATTATTTACGCAAAGCATTGCGGGAAGTGTGTGCTTTTGACAGTGCTGGTTAGCTTTTGATTGTATAATTAATGTTAAACGCTGTAATCTCCTACATTTATATAGTCTCGTTTGTAGTTTGTATCGCGAGATTAACGTCACCAGCCTCGTTTGATGATGGTGGCGGGAAAAAGCCAAGGAAGTCACCATGGCGGGAAAAAGCAGCGTGGTCAACACAAGACAGGGGGCGCTGGGGTGCAATCAACATACAAATGCGCCATCAAAGCAAATAAAAAAAGACTGAAATGCATTAATTTGTTTTCTTGTTTTATTTTTAAACGATTGAATTGCTGAGTCAAGCTATGTTAGAGGCTTTTGTAATAATTAATAATTATTAGCAAATATGTTAATACTCAGAGGGGGGAGGGGGAGGGAAAAGACGCACTGGAGCAAGCAAGGGGAGGGGGAAGGATCTTAATTATTACAGGGTAGCTTACGTGTAGGGACAAGAGGATACAACTCACCTTTTAAACATCTTAAATTAAGATATATGTGTAATGGTTATTCTGTGTTTTGCCTCTGTCGCACACCAACTCCATTAAAACGGCCTCGTTGGTGAAATTTAAAGGCAGCGAGCAGCAGCATCTTTCAGTGTTTCAGCAGCAGGCGTGGAGGAAAGAAAGTGCGTTGTTGTGAGTTGACACTCATCGTGATCGTCATCCGGCCTGCTGCTGCTGAGAGGCGAAGCCGGGAGCTGGAGTTGTTTTTCGGGGACTCACTATGGCGGTCAACCTGGACAAGGAAGCGTACTACCGCCGCATCAAGAGGTTATACAGCAACTGGAAGGTGATTTTCTGTCGACGTGAAGTTCGTGGTAGAGCCAGAAAGTCTGCTAGATGTTAGTGAAGCGGAGAAAGTGTTTGAATCTCATGATTTAGCCGCGTTTTTTCATCGACTCCAGTTGAGCGTTTGTGACGTTTCCCATTGCAATAAAGCAGCAGCTCAACCCCAGTTTGTACGAGTTAAAGTCCCTTAAGTGCTCCGCTACTCTTATGACTTAATTAACATGGTAAAATACGCTCGTATTGTCTATCCGGACCAGCTGCCTCATGTTAGCAAAGCTCGGCTCATTCACCGTGTTAGCGTAGCGGGTCGCTAACTAGCCAAGCTGCTAAACCTGTAATGGCAATAACGCTTCGTAACTTGATTAATACATCATCATTAAGATCTCGCAACAGATAAACTGTTCGCATATGTTATCGTGACTTGGAGCCAACGATAAAAACTTATATGTTTACATTTGCTCTCTTCTCGCACTTCATTCTAATGTTAGCTAACTAGTTAGCGTCTGGATAGCAGCAACAGCCCATGTGCAGCTTGCCCGTGTAGTTTCTGGAGATTATTGCATTTTTAGAAATTAATATATGGAACTAAAGTAGTATTTTTTTTTAAATATTGTTTCCAGAAATTGTAGCCTTGTGCTTCTGTTTCCTTCACTTTCATATATTCTATTTTACAGCTTTAAGAGTTTTAAAGTGTCTGAAGGAGTTGTGTAAATTACATTGAGCAGCATCTGATGATGATAGGGACTAAACTGGTAAACTATTGAATTATGAAATTAATGAAACAACTTCTGGTTGCAATTTACAGATTAATCATAACTCATTTTCTAATCACACTATTGGTGATCACAAATCAAAGCTGATCACCACGACATGTGGGGTCCCCCAAGGCTCAATTCCTGGAACACTGCTCTTCAATCTCTACATGCCCCCTGTAGCAATTATTACATATTAATTATGACCAATAAGATGTGATTTTCCATATAAATATGAAATATCAATCTGATTGATCTTTGAGTGTTTAATCAGAAGATTCTAGGGTTCTTTACTTCTTTGAAGACCATAAACACACTTCGTATTAATTCAGACAGAGTCAGGTATATAGTTTATAAAATGAATTTAATTCTTTTTCCTAAACTTATCATTTTTACATGAAAAGATATGGTAAATGGCCTGTATTTTATATAGCGCCTTCTAGAATCCTGGAACCCCCCCAAGGCGCTTTACAACACAACCAGTCATTCACCCATTCACACACACATTCACACACTGGTGGGGATGAGCTACAATTTAGCCACAGCTGCCCTGGGGCGCACTGACACACTCACAGAGGCGAGGCTGCTGAGCACTGGCGCCACCGGTCCCGGACCACCACCAGCAGGCAACGTGGGTTGAGTGTCTTGCCCAAGGATACAACGGCAGCGACAGACTGAGCGGGGCTCGAACCTGCAACCTTCTGATTACGGGGCGAGCACTTAACTCCTGTGCCACCGTCGCCCCAGCATAAAATCAGTAGTGAAAAATGCGATGTGGTGTGATGGATGTGAGGTGTTGTGATGGAAGCTACATGTTGTAGCAACCGTTCTCTGTATCTGAAATTGTGAACTCTGGGTGTAAAATAATTAGTTGTTTGGTTCTAAACTAGAGAGTTAAAACAGCATGATCAGACGCAATCTGTCATGCCAAGTCTACGCACCCTTGGTGTGGAGGTTCTCGTTCGATCCGGGGGGGTCGATGGTCACTGTCGGTGGAGTGAACTCTGATATCAGGAACCCATAGACAGTTATGATAGGACCCGTCCAATCTGAGATCCCTCGAGGTGAAGGCCGAAAGCTGGAATGCATATTTGTGTCTAAGGTTGTTTGTTTGAATGTGTCTTCGTGGAATGTTAACACGCGCTGAACAGAACCTTCTGGTTCTGGAAGGCCAAATAGAAAGTGGATTTATGATGTAGATGAAAGTTCACTTTGTTGGTCAATATATAGGTGAAAATGGACACTTTTGGACGTTACACCCCCCTGGGTCAGGTCATACACATTAACAACATTACCTGTCATAGTTATGCAGGTGATACCCAGATCTACCCAGCTGTGATGTCCCCTATAGACTCACTCTATCAGTGTTTGGAGCAAGCTGATGACTGGATGCAGTCAAACTTCTTCCAGTTAAATAAAGACAAGGCTGATGTTATTGTCTTTGGGAATAAGCATGTTAGGATGGAGGTTATTGCTCAGTTTGGCGCCAGAGGAATAAAGACAAAGACTCAAGTTAGAAAGTTTGGTGTCCTAATTGATTCAGATCTGAGCTTCACTGGTCACATTTAGGCTATATAACTAGATCAGTGTTTTATCATCTTCATCAAATAGCACTAGTCAGGGGTCTCATGTCAAAGCAAGACTTGGAGAAACTCATTAATGCGTTCATCTACAGCAGGCTGGACTATTGCAATGGTCTCCTAACTGGTCTTCCCAAAGAAGTTGTGAAGCAGCTGCAGCTTACTCAGAATGCTGCTGCTAGAGTCTTAACAAGAACCAAGAGAACCGAGCACATCACTCCTGTTCTTAGATCTCTACACTGGTTACCATTAAACTACAGAATCCATTTCAAAGTACGTCTGCTAGTTTATAGATCACTCAGTGACATGGGGCCAGAATACATATCGGATCTCCTTCCTGTAAATACACCCAGCAGGGCTCCGAGATCCTTAGGAAGCAGTCAGCTGGTAGAACCTCGGGTCAGAACCAAACAGGGTGAAGCTGCTTTTAGCTACTAGGCTGCTCACAGATGGAATCAGCTTCTTCATGACCTCAAATGTGCCCCAACTCTAGAAACTTTTAAATCAAAAACCTTCATGTTTTTTATCTGCCTTTAAAATAAATGTTCTTGTGCTGCACTTTCTGCACTGTATTTGCTCACCCTTTAACTTTGTTTCTTTCATTTTTAAATTGTATTTTCTGTCACGTTGATTTTAATACTCTTGCTATTCTTACTAAGTGAAATACATTTAACTGCTCCTTTGTATGAAATGTGCTATAAATAAAGTTGCCTTGCCTGTTAAATGACCCTGATATTATCAGGAGTGCCGCAAGCTGATAAACCAATTTCAATTAATTATTTTAACTTATTTATCTAACTGTGATTTATTTATTTATTTTTTTTCAGAAAGGAGAGGATGAGTTTGGTAAAGTCGATGCCATCGTGGTGTCCGTGGGAGTGGATGAGGAGATTGTGTACGCCAAATCCACAGCCATACAGGTGTGTGTGTGTGTGTGTTTGAGAGATCAAAGAAATTATTGAATAAGTTATCAGTTGAAAGTTTCCCGCACAATAAATGAATTGTTTCCTGAAATTGAAATAGTCCCATTAAAATGGCATCTTCCTTTGACCCATCCCCATGGGTAGTGGTGAGCTGCAGCAGTGGCTAACCCTAACCCTCAGGAACCATTTGGTGGTTTAACTCCCCAAACCAACATCTTAAAACTGAGTGTCAAGCAGGGAAGCATTGGGTCCCTTTTTTAAAGTCTTTGGTATGACTCGACCGGGATTTGTACCCTGATCTCCCAGTACCAGGGTAGATGAGTCCATACCACAAGGCCACTAACAAATACTACTCTGATTGCGATGCTTTAAAGCTGAGGCTGTGTAGTGTGTTTAAACTATCTGAAGAGTTCACATTTTAAGGAAACTGCAGGTATCAATGGAATAACTAATCAAATCTTTTTGTAACCTAAATAAATTTATTGAAAACACTCAGACACCAACTCATTGAACGCACCTTATTTGTCAGTCACATGAACAAACATGGTGCTGCCATTCAAGCAGCGAAGAGCTGTTACTGAAGCCAGGGAGTCACTGCACTTGAAGATAATTTTTAGACTTGGGGAAAAAAATTAATTAATTAATTAATGACTGCACACAGTGAAGAAGAAACAATCTTTTCTATAGCTCTTGAGATAAAAATCACGAGGCGCGGTTTAACCCGGAAAGGCAGCATTGGTAGAAAAGGCTGAATGAGGAGAAGGTGGTGATGAAGAATCAACAGAAGGTCACACAAACATGCATGGAGGTCATAACTGAATGTAGAGGAGGCTTATTACTGATGTGTTTAAGTCTTTCAGCCATTTTTACTTGTACTGACTTTTTAAAAAAGACATGTGACTGTTGTCCAGGGTTAGAGAGCTGAATCTGATCTTTGAGGTGTGTGTGTGTGTGTGTGTGTGTGTGTGTGTGTGTGTGTGTGTGTGTTTTTTTCCTTCCTTCCTCCTCAGACCTGGCTGTTTGGCTATGAGCTGACAGACACCATCATGGTGTTTTGTGACACCAAAATCCTCTTCCTGGCCAGTAAGAAGAAGGTGGATTTCCTCCGACAGGTGGCCGTAACCAAGGGCAACGAGAACGCCAACGGCGTGCCGCCTATGACTCTGCTCACCAGAGAAAAGGTACAGGTGGAGTTTTGGCTGACATGACTGTTCCGCTGTGGAAACTGACCCTTTTTATTTACCGTGTGACATTTAGAATGAAAGCAACAAGGCCAACTTCGACAAAATGATTGAGGCCATCAAGGGAAGCAGGGAAGGGAAGTCCGTGGGGGTATTCAGCAAGGACAAGTTCCCCGGAGACTACATGAAGAGCTGGAACGACGCCATGGCAGCAGAGGGACTGGAGCGGGTAGGAGAGGGTCCGGTGTGATTAAACCCCTCCCCCTGTGCCAGGGTTTGTGCTGTAGCAGCATTCTCGTGTCTTGCAGGTGGACATCAGCGCCGTGGTCGCCTACACCATGGCGGTGAAGGAGGACGTGGAGCTGAACCTGATGAAAAAGGCAGCAGCCATCACTGGAGAGGTTTACTCTAAGTTCTTCAAGGACCGGGTCATGGAGATTGTCGATGGCGATGAGGTGAGGAAGGGGAGTCGGCCCAGTGTGGTCTCTAGGGGTTGGTAGAGCTTCGTGATCAATGAATGAATCTATACCACTATGTGGGTAGAAGCTAAGAATTCCAGGAGCCTCATTTAGAAAAAGGTTAAGTTGAATCCTTACTAAAACTACTTCAGCTCAGCTAAATAAAATGATTACGTAAACTAATTTCGGGGGGCTTGGGGAGAAATTATGACACGTCTCTAAATAAAGTAAAATTTTCTAGTGCAGAGTGGAGACAACCCATAGAAGCACTGATTTGATCTCATTTGAGAGAAAAATAGAACAGGTTAGTTGCACCTAATAAATAAAATTACTAACAAACTCAGGAATCTTTCTTTGCTTCACTGTTCTGGTGCTGAGAATATCACTAATGCGGATCAAAGGAGATACACAGATGAATGCACCTCTTATTTATTATTTGGAGACTACATTTACTGCAGCTGGCAGAGACAGAGATTTTTTCTATTGATACACGGAGTTTACAGAATCATTTTAAATTTTAATAGGGGGAGACTGCAGGAGGGAGCGGTAAAATCCAGGGGGTCCCCAGCAAAAACAAGAAACTGTACGAGTCTGATGAAACTTGCTGGTGTTCCTTCAGCAGGCCCGGTGGCAGCTCTAACGACCCAGTGGCTGTGCGGGGTCAATGTTATTGAGCTCAGTCCGGCTCGGCCGTGAACGAGCTGAGGCGACGTCGTGCTCTGCTTAAAGCCGGGCGTACACTGTGCGGCTTTTTCACTTTTTTGAGCCGATTTTCCAGTCGTGCGAGAATCCAAGACATCGGGGCGAGTTTTGCGCCGAGCGGTCGTGTAGTGTACAGGGGGTTACGAGAGGCGATTAACACCACGTGACCAGCTGCCGATCAGCAGTCGTGAGGTCGCACGGACTTCTGGCGTGTTTAATATTTCGCTCGTCCCTCGTGAGGGTATCGCACTGTTGAAGCGGCGCTGCGAGCAGCTGCGACCCAAAATGTATCAGAACCGCTCACGGCGCATGTGCAATCCTGCATCAACGCCACTCGCTATTTCCCTAATAACACACGCTGTTCGTTTTTGTTTCTACATGTTTTTTAATCACAAAGATTGTCAAGAAAGCGTGTTTGTCGTGTTCATGTCAAATTAAACTGATCACAAAACACAGATTCACTTTCTTTATTTTGTTTTCCTCATCCAACCACCATAAATCCCTGTGTGTCCTCCTGCAGCGCTCCCGAAGGACAACAGGCAAGACGAGACCAAAAAAGTCTGACGTGTTGAGTAAAAACGGCTATTTTTAGCATATTTTTAGGGCCAATGTGTTGCTACCAGACGTACAGTGTGAGCAGTCAGGCCGCATGCGAGAACTGGGTCGTACAGTGTGAGCACATGACTTGTGAGATCTGCCCTGCGAGGAAGTCGTACAGTTGGAGCTGAAGCTGAACACTGCGAGTGAAAAAGTCACACAGTGTACGCCCGGCTTTACTAAAACTACTTCAGCTCAGCTAAATAAAATGATTACGTAAACTAATTTCGCACCTATAAAACACAAATTATGACACGTCTCTAAATAAAGTAAAATTTCCAGTGCAGATTGGAGACAACCCATAGAAGCACTGATTTTATCTCATTTCAGAGAAAAATAGAACAGGTTAGTTGCACCTAATAAATAAAATTACTAACAAACTCAGGAATCTTTCTTTGCTTCACTGTTCTGGTGCTGAGAATATCACTAATGCGGATCAAAGGAGATACACAGATGAATGCACCTCTTATTTATTATTTGGAAACTACATTTACTGCAGCTGGCAGAGGCAGAACTTGTTTCTATTGATACACGGAGTTTACAGAATCATTTTAATTTTAATAGGGGGAGACTGCAGGAGGAAGCGGTAAAATACAGGGGGTCCCCAGCAAAAACAAGAAACTTTACGAGTCTGATGAAACCCGCTGGTTTTCCATCAGGCAGTCACGGGGCAGCTGCCACGGCTACGCCTATGTAAGGGAACCCCTGGATGAGCTGTCGCGCAGCACGCAATCAATGCATCAGTTAGTAATTTGAAGATGAATGAATGTAATATTTATTACAGATTTCTATACTCCGTTCAAAGAAGGGTGTGACTGTTGGTTTTGTGTGTTTGTGAGAGTCTTCAAGTCTGAAATGTGACCTGAACTAACCTTTTTACCAATCACATCTCCAAAATGCTCTTACGGACAAAGTTTGCTTAAAGTTGCCACATTTTTTCATTAAGTTTTTCTTTGTAAATCACAAAGTTTGCATGGAAAGTCAGTGGGGCTGGGCGATGTGGCCTAAAATCAATATTTAATTTCAGTCGCGATATTTTGAGGATTTCACCCCAATAACGATACATTTTCGATTTATTGCCCAGCCCTAAAAGTCATTTGAGCAGTAATCAGGCCTGTTTTGTGTGTTACCAGCTTAAATGAGACGCCTGATGGTTCCAGGAACAAGTAGAGAAACTTTGGGTTAGAGTCTCAAATTTAATTCAATATTTTTGACCAAGCGCCAGACACTAGATGTTGTTTTAACTACAAACATATGATCCACTAATGTGTAGCTCTTCGGTCACAGCTCATTTAATTATTTAGAACTGCAAATGAAAATAGCTTCATTCTAGAACTTGGTCTGAACTTTTCCTCAACATTCTGATAGTAAATCGTTTTTTAAACTGTTTCTTGACATTTAAAAACTAATCTATAAAGTTCAACTACAGTTGGGAAATAATTCAGCTTTTTTTCCTCCACTGTTTGAATATATATATATATATATATATATATATATATATATATATCTCGCTGGGCGATAAATCGAAAATTTATCGTTATCGAAATTTCTGACTCTTATCGAGATAATTTTTCAAGTCAATAAATTTGATAATAAAAAAATGAAAAGATGTGTGTAGGTTGACAACGTTCATGCGCCTTTGAGAAGCTGTACCACCTCGAGTCATGCAAAAATGTTGACTCAACGTGAGACATGTGACAGCCCCATCTTGTGGACAACTGTTGTTTCTGCGCATACCTGTATTTATCGTCCATTTATCGTTATCGAGGTGAAATCCTCAATATATATCATGATATTGACTTTAGGCTATATCGCCCAATGAAAAAGTATAATTAGGTTTACATGAATTCTTGTCTTCTCGTAACCAAATGAATATGGATGTACCGATGCAACTTTTTCACTTCTGATACGATACCGATATTGCAGCCATCAGTATTGACAGATACCGATATGAGTTCGATACGAAATCGGCACAAATCATTCATACTTTAACCTATTTTGTAGTGTGGAATGTTTGAAAGGCTTGATCAAGTGGTGTTACTCAGTCGGAGAACGAGAGCCAATAACAGTAACTATGAAAAAAACGACAATTTTTTTTAACCATTACTTGCAAATATGTGAACCTTAACGGACCACTTATATTGGAGGTTTTTGATGCCGTCCGATATAATCCGATACACTGTTTTTTGGCCGATATCGAATTATTTCCAATATTGATATCAGAATGGGACATCCCTACAAATGAATCTGTTTTTTATTTAAAATTTATAAGCCAGAAGTGTTGTAAGAGGGATTAAAGTTTAGTTTTTTCTTGTCCGTTATCCAAGCTGCTGCCCAATTTATAATCAGACGAGATCAATAGATTATTTTAATGAGATGCATAGATTATTTTTAAAGGCCAATACCGATTTTTGATTCTTGTACATCTGAGCTGCTTTATTTTGAAGAACTTTTTATGTTTTTAATTCTTCTGGCAGTAAAAACCTGTACATGACGTTACTGCTGCCTCGAGCTCACCTGACGTTTTTATGTCCTGGTCAGAACGTAGATATTTTGGTTTTTAATAATTCTTAATCAAATAAAACAAACGGATCAGGATGTGTTACAGCAGGGTTTTGATGAAATTAAGGACTTTCTCTAAAAGTGTTGAAAAATCATCCTTGTCTAGACAGATGGCGGACATATTCGTCCAGCTGAGGTAAAACATTCCTTCTGTAATCCCTCCTCGTCTCTTTTTCCTCCCAACAGAAAGTCCGACACAGCAAGCTGGCCGAGTCGGTGGAGAAGGCCATAGAGGAGAAGAAGTACCTGGGCGGCGCCGACCCGTCCACGGTAGAGATGTGCTACCCTCCCATCATTCAGAGCGGCGGCAACTACAGCCTCAAGTTCAGCGTCGTCAGGTAGCTTTTTCGTTCTGTGTTCCATCGATTTGTCTCAGTGGACAGAAGGATGTGGAGCGTTGGTCTGAAGAAAACTTCTAATCTGTCTGATTGTTCTAGAGATTAGAATTAAAATACTTTATGAAAGTTTAAATAGTCCTGTAGACAATTATCAGGTACAATCTGCTCAAATATTAGCAGCAAATTTCAGAGTGCAATAAGTTTGGCCTAAAGAGCAGAAGTGCACCAAAATAGACAAATGAATGAGGGGAAACAAACATATATTGAATATAATATAAATATTTTTATTTCAGTTTTATTTTTTCAATTAATTTTCTATTGTGGCGGGTGGTTACTCCATGTTTTCTATTCTGTTTATATTCAAACACACGATCCATAACAGATCTATTTTTCAGCTGGTTGTAATTCACCTGTAACACCACTAGATGTCACTGCATCTGCTTTTGCTGCAGAGTTTAGACCTTTAACTTTACACGAAAGAAAGTCAACAGATTAATCAAAACAGAAGCGATTAGATTTTCCTGCCGACGCGTGGAGCCAGAACCTCGACCCTGACCCGTCCCTTCTCTGCACCAGTGACAAGAACCACATGCACTTTGGTGCCATCACGTGTGCCATGGGCATCCGCTACAAGTCCTACTGCTCCAACCTGGTGCGCACACTTATGGTGGACCCCTCGCAGGAAATGCAGGACAACTACAACTTCCTGTTGCAGGTGGAGGAGGAGCTTCTGACGGAGCTGAAGCATGGTGAGTTCAGGGGCCGGCTGGGGCTGTGGGAGCTCTGGGCGCTCGCTAAACCATCAAGTAGTAAACTGTTGTTTAAATACGTTATTCTGATTTATTGCTTTTGGATTATGATGTTTTGTATTTAAACTGAAGATAAAACTTAGACTGATGCAGCTTTTATGCAAATGTCGAGCGACACGAATCCCTGACGTTTAGAGCCCTGTGATATACTGGCTTTAGCTTATTGTTACCAGGGTTACGGCACAAACGCGTCTTTTTAAACTCCTCAGGTGTGAAAATTAGCGACGCCTACAACGCCGTCCTGGAGTACGTGAAGAAAGAGAAGCCAGAGCTCGTGGGGAAGCTGACCAAAAACCTCGGGTACATTCGCACACGGCTCCGTCTCTCCAGCCGCTCACTCAGACCGTCTCCAACACTCCGGCTTTTATTTTTCTCAGGTTTGCGATGGGGATCGAGTTCAGGGAAGGCTCCTTGGTTCTGAACGCTAAAAACCAGTACAAGCTGAAGAAAGGTGAGGCGTTGGACTTTACCGCTGGGAGGGAGAGTGTTTACATTTACACCTGGTGTTGTTAAGTGTGTGTTTGTGTGTGTGTGTGTGTGTGTGTGTGTGTGTGTGTGTGTGTGTGCCAGGCATGGTGCTGAGCATCAGTTTGGGCTTCTCAGACCTCCTAAATAAGGACGGCAAGAAAGGCGAGCAGAAGTACGCCTTGTTTCTAGGCGACACGATTCAAATCAACGAGGTCAGGATGGTTTTATTCATACGAGGAGCTCCTTTCTTCTGCTCTGATCCTGATGTGTGTGTGTGTGTGTGTGTGTGTGTGTGTGTTCCAGGACGAGGCGGCCACAGTTCTCACACCTGTGAAGAAAAAGATAAAAAACGTGGCGATCTTCTTAAAGGTCGGTGTCCTTCAGTAACTTCTAGTGTGTGTTTTGTTGTTTGTATTATTAAAACTTCCCAAAGCAACCCGAGCTCACACTTTAACTTTCTTTGAGTGGGAAACTCGTCTATAATAAAAAGATCTATTAAAAAAAGAATCTTTACTGATTAGCTGCCAGCTGTTTTCTGATCAGAAAGCCAATGACTGCATGTGTTTTTGAGCGTTTTTACTGTGAGTCGCAGAACATTGTGCTCTACGACCACTGAAACACCAAAGGTACCAAAAGAAAGAGTACAGGTGCTGGCCAGTAAATTAGAATATCATCAAAAGGTTGAAAATATTTCAGTAATTCCATTCAAAACGTGAAACTTGTACATTATATTCATGCAATGCACACAGACCAATGTATTTCCAATGTTCATTACATTTAAATTTGATATTCATAAGTGACAACTAATGAAAACTCCAAATTTGGTATCTCAAAAAATTAGAATATTCTGAAAAGGCTGAATATAGAAGACACCTGCTGCCACTCTAATCAGCTGATTTACTCAAAACACCTGCAAAGGCCTTTAAAAGGTCCCTCAGTCTTGTTTTGAAGGCACCACAATCATGGGGAAGACTTCTGACTTAACAGCTGTCCAAAAGACAATCATTGACACCTTGCACAAGGAGGGCAAGACACAAAAGGTGATTGCTAAAGAAGCTGGCTGTTCGCAGAGCTCTGTGTCCAAGCACATTAACAGACAGGCGAAGGGACGGAAAAAATGTGGTAGAAAAAAGTGTACAAGCTCTAGGGATAACCGCACCCTGCAGAGAATTGTGACGACAAACCCATTCAAAAATGTGGGGGAGATCCACAAAGAGTGGACTGCAGCTGGAGTCAGCGCTTCAAGAACCACCACGAGGAGACTCATGAAAGACATGGGATTCAGGTGTCGCATTCCGTGTGTCAAGCCACTCTTGAACAAGAAACAGCGCAAGAAGCGTCTCGCCTGGGCCAAGGACAAAAAGGACTGGACTGATGCTGAGTGGTCCAAAGTTATGTTTTCTGATGAAAGCAAGTTCTGCATTTCCTTTGGAAATCAAGGACCCAGAGTCTGGAGGAAGAGCGGAGAAGCACAGAATCCACGTTGCATGAGGTCCAGTGTAAAGTTTCCACCGTCAGTGATGGTGTGGGGTGCCATGTCATCTGCCGGTGTTGGCCCACTCTGTTTCCTGAGGTCCAGGGTCAATGCAGCCGTCTACCAGGAAGTTTTAGAGCACTTCATGCTTCCTGCTGCTGACCAACTTTATGGGGATGCAGACTTCACCTTTCAACAGGACTTGGCACCTGCACACAGTGCCAAAACCACCAGCACCTGGTTCAAGGACCATGGTATCCCTGTCCTTGATTGGCCAGCAAACTCGCCTGACCTTAACCCCATAGAAAATCTATGGGGTATTGTGAAGCGGAGGATGCAATACGCTAGACCCAACAATGCAGAGGAGCTGAAGACGACTATCAGAGCAACCTGGGCTCTCATAACACCTGAGCAGTGCCACAGACTGATCGAGTCCATGCCATGCCGCATTACTGCAGTTATTGAGGCAAAAGGAGCCCCGACTAAGTATTGAGTGCTATACATGCACATTCTTTTCATGTTCATTCTTTTCAGTTGGCCAACATTAGAGAAACAAACATTTTTTCATTGGCCTTTAGAATATTCTAATTTTCTGAGATACCAGATTTGATGTTTTCATTGGTTGTCACCTATAAATATCAAAATTAAACGTAATAAACATCGGAAATACATTGGTCTGTGTGCATTGCATGAATATAATGTACAAGTTTCACGTTTTGAATGGAATTACTGAAATATTTTCAACCTTTTGATGATATTCTAATTTACTGGCCAGCACCTGTAGACTCACTTCTCACATCGGGAAGAGTCTGCGTGTTTCTAGATTTTTCCGTTCTTTGACAATCCGTGAGCTGCAGAAGCTTTTCCCGTTTGCGCCTCGCTTTAGGCTCAGCGGACTCCCAAAACGACGTGCTGATACACGGGTCGTCTGCTTCCGGATCAGCACTTAGAACCGTAACCGTCTCCCGCTTCCTCTGCCGTTATTACGAGCAGAAAAAAATCCCGTTTGGCCCACAGCCAATCCTGGCACAGCCTTTACAAACCAGGACACACCAGACTCCACGGTCCACATTTGGAGTCACTTTTAAAAGTGGACGGCATCGTTAGCTTCGCTGTGATGTAATCAGCCGTGGTAGGTGCAGCCCCTGAGCACATCCACAGATTCGCTCACTCCCTGCTGGAACACTCCCACACCGCCAGCTGCCTTGTTGAGCGTCACGGCGGTGAAATGTTTACACCTGTTGGCTTGCAGAAAGAAGACGAGGAGGATGAAGAGGAAGACGAGAACGACGCCGAGGAGCTGCTGGGGAAGGGAGCCCGTGGCGCCGCCCTGCTGGCAGACAGAACCAGAGTGAGTGTTGCTGTCCGTGTGGTCATGTGACCGTCTTAGGATCTTCTCTGACTAAGCCTGTGAATGTCTTTGTACTCTATCAGCTACTTGGGAAGGTGAGTCTGTGTTTTCCTAAAATAAGCTGACTCAGAAAAGGAAAAGATGAGATGAGAAAAAGTTCATCTGAATTTGAGTTTCTGTCTCATTTTGGTTGTTTTTATTTCATTTTCTCATCTGAATCTGGCCGTGAGGTTTTCTGCATGTGTGTTGTGCCCATCATCCCAAACGTCGCCCTCACGCGTTTCTGTTAAAACGCTGTTTTTAAACAAACTCAGAACGAGATGACGGCGGAGGAGAAGAGGCGGGCTCACCAGAAGGAGTTGGCCAATAACCTGAACGAGGAGGCCAAGCGACGTCTGACGGAGCAGAAAGGGGAGCAGCACACCCAGAAGTGAGAGCGGAGCCTCGTCCTGCGCTGCTTAGCGCTCGGATATCTAGTTACGCCTCTGCTCGTTCTTCCAGGGCCAGAAAATCCAACGTGTCTTACAAGAACGTCTCTCAGATGCCCAGAGAGAAAGAAATCAGGGAAATGAAGATTTACATCGACAAGAAGTACGAGACGGTCGTCATGCCTGTTTTTGGGATCGCAACGCCGTTCCACATCGCCACCATCAAGGTCTGATCAGGGTTTGCACCTAAAGCTAACCGATTAGTGTTTGTTTAATATAAACGCATCATTGTCGTTGTGTTTCACGTAGAACATCAGTATGTCTGTAGAAGGAGACTACACCTACCTGAGGATCAACTTCTTCGTCCCCGGCAGCTCTCTGGGACGACAGGAAGGAAACATCTTCCCCAACCCGGACGCTACCTTTGTCAAAGAAATGTGAGACTTGTTTCACTCCTGTCTGTCGAGCTGAGTGGTGTGTCCTAAACCCTTTTCAGATGGACGTTCTGGAATATGTGCGGACAATTGAGTCCGGTTTTTAACCAGAACTGTGTTTTCAGACACACCGCTTTTGTACCCGAACTTGTCCTTTCGGCTGCCTTCACACAGCAGGGAAACGTTCCAGATGTCGGGGGGGGGGGGGGGGGTATTGCGTAAACATGGTGCGGCGGGCGTACATGCGTCATCTACCCTAACAAAGCCATTCAGTCAAACATGGCCGACGAAGAGATAGAATTCCTCTCACTGATCGGACTTATGTTAAGCATAATTCTGTGCACACGAAGACGCATAAGAGACCTGGATGATGAAGCTCAAAGGTTAAAGGAATCACGGAAGCGGTGTGAAGCGCTCCGTCGCGCGTCTAGATGGTACCGTAGGAGGCGAGCTGCCGTGGTTCGCCGCATGCTACAGGAGCGGGCTATCTAGGTGTACACAGCGTCCCCCGGTCCCCTCCTCCTCCCTGTCCGGAGCTCGACCTCACCAGTCTGAAGCAGTCACCCTGTCCGTAACAAGTCCGGACCTGTTACTAGGGGCTTCGTCCGGTTTAATTACGGAAAAGGTTATCCGGATGTTTGTATTTGGACACAAAGGTCTTACGGACAGAGTCCTGAACATTTCCGTTTTTCATGGCCTGTCTGAAGGGGGCTCTAGATTCTAGTACGCACCTTAAGGTTAGAGATGCATAAAAACCAGTTACCGTGGGCGATCTATTTCCTCTGGTGGCGTTTGGACTGACACGCCACAGACTGAAGTGGTTCCTAATCGGTCTGTGGAGGCTGACCAGAGTTCTTCATGTGAGATTTGTTCATTTCCAAACTTTATTGGCTTTTTAATGTCAGTCGTCGGTATTCTGCACCACAACTGGTTGAAGCCACACCGGTGTTGCGTTAACTGGATATTTTCACTATTTGACCCCCTTGTTTTTTCTTTTAAACAGTGACAGAATAATCTGAAGGCTGCCTGTCATTTTGACAGATTGCAATTACCCCCCCCCCCCCACACACACACACACACACACACACACTCATGCAGGCGTGCAGTTATTTTAAACGTTACAGAAAACGTCGCAGAGGTAACAAAATCAATCTGGATGTTCCCATCAGAGCATCTGAGCGCTAGCTTCCAGTTGGACACCATTCGTAACGCATCTCGCTGTTGATGGCGTGCTGATGAGCTGTGGGTAGGATGTCTGAGCATGGATTCATCCTCCAGAACATTTAAACATCCATGATTCTGAGGCTGAGGTCCAGAACCTCATGGCTACAGCCTCTTCAGCAAGCTGCTTGAAGACCAGTTCAGGCTTACGCAGAGCAGAAGGAAGGAGTCGGAGTTCAGACCACAGCGGGAGGCGCGTCCCTAAATCCTGTAAAGTTAATATGTTGCTGGGGCTCTCTGGTCAACGTGGACTAAATATTAATTAGACATGAATCAAAACTAAGTTTTTATTATTTTATAAATAAAAGTGACGGGGGAAAATCGATCATGACCATCTAATCTGCCAATAGCAGATGATTTTCCCCCAGTGGAGAGGCTAACCTTTATTCCAGAGGATCAGGTAAGATGTTCAAAGGTCTGAAGCATGAATGAGGACGCCAGTGAAGGCTCTGATGAGGACTTTGTAAGATCCAGATGCATCTGAAGGAAACGTTAAAGGGTTTCAGCCGTAAATGGTGTTGGATTGTAGACAGAGAACTTGTGGACTATTTTATCAGAGGACATTAATCGAACACTTGTTGACATAAAGCCTTTTTTTTTGTTTCAGAGGGGTCGGCTCTGTCTGACATGTTTAGTTATTTCACATTTTTGAGCAGGTTGAGTGGCCTTTACTGTGTCTACAGTTGTCCTTTTAGTCATGAGAATCCAGCTTTTTAAACACGTATAATGTGCATAAGTGCAAAACGCCTCTTGATTTTTGTCTTGAGAAGCGCTATATAAAATATGTTTCTTCTACAGAGTGTTGTAAAAGACACTGATTTTGCCTGGAAGTAGCGAAATTTCCCATAAAAGAAATCGTTTTTAATAAAAGCATCGCTGAAGGGCTGGACTCGTCATCGATTGTCATTAAGTTAGTCCAATCACCCAACCTTAACACGAGTCGTAGATCAAGACTAGACCTCCATTCCTCACTAGGATTAAATCTTATGGCAGTTTTCACACAAACCAACAGCTGAACTAGTTCAAACACACTCTGTTTATTCATATAGCACCAAATCACAGCAAGAATCGTCTCAAGGCGCTTCGCAAATTCAACATTCTAATTCAGTTCAGTTCATTAACTCATTTATTACCAATGACGACAAAAGTCTTCTCTTTAAGTCCAACTGTTCGCCGTCGTTGACAACTATACTATATGCATTATTTTACTGTGTGGGCGTCGGAACGAGCCCCCGCACCGTGAGAACAAACATCCCAGCTCTAAAGCTGGTCTTCATCATCCGCGTACGTCACACGTCACGTGATCAGGAAGCAGAAAATCCATGCGTTAGGAGATCGTTTTGGGCCGCTGCTGTAAAAAAAGTGAGGAGCGAACTGAAAAAACTGGAACTGGTAAAGCGTCTGCCATGAAAGGACAGATAACGCTAAAAACAGGTGGATTCTTCCTGACGTAAAAAAAAAGAAAAGAGAACTCTTTATCATCATCATCATCATAGAGCACAATGTTCTGTTGACTCTTTAAAAAAAACAGTAAAAACACTCAAACACTGGCAGCGAGAGGCTTTTCCGACCAGGAAATGGCCGGCAGTTAATTAGTTAAGCCAATCAGTGACAAGTTTCCTATATAAGAACCCAGCAGGTTGCATCGAGTCACTGACTAGTGTCAGAGTCTTTACAGCAATCCTCATACTAAGCAAGCATTTAGCGACAGTGGAGAGGAAAACTCCCGTTTAACAGGAAGAAACCTCCAGAGGATCCTGGCTCAGTATAAGCAGACACACACCACACACACACACACACACACACACACACAAAATAAAGTAGTAGTACTTTCTATCCAGCTTAATGTAAATAACAAGCATTCATGTTGAGTCTGGTGGTGCTATAAAAAACTGGGCTGAAGTTGGTAAAAGTCATTAAATCTCAAACCTGATGAGAATCACACCATCAAGCTCAGACACCGTGAAGCCAGAGTGAGAAATTAGTAAACAGTCATTCCTCTGTCATTCAGTGTTAGTTTAGTTTGAGCTAACAGATTAGCAACAGTTATGTCACTCCCACTGGCACCAGCTGCATACTCCACTGAGAACTCCACATAGAGTTAACTCAGACAAAGGTTAGCTTCTGATTAGTTGACCCTAAAGGGGGGCGGAGCTTGTCACTACACAGTTCCCCCACTGAGGGGAAGATGTCTGTTTAAATGGAACGTTTTCTGTATCACTCCAGAACGTACCGGGCGTCCAACCTGAAGGCCCCGGGTGAATTGTCGGTTCCTTCCACCAACCTTCAAAATGCCTTTCGAATCATCAAGGAGGTACAAAAGCGCTACAAGACGCGAGAAGCTGAAGAGAAGGAGAAGGAGGGCATCGTCAAACAAGACTCACTGGTCATCAACTTAAACCGCAGCAACCCCAAACTCAAAGACCTCTACATCAGACCCAACATCGCCCAGAAGAGGATGCAGGGGTCACTGGAGGCCCACACTAATGGTGAGAAAGCAGGAAGTGATGTAAGACTACAGTAAACATTAGGGTTAGCTGACAAAATGATACAACCATCCTGGTTTTTTCTGCCCAGGCTTCCGTTTTACGTCAGTCCGCGGGGATAAAGTCGACATTCTTTATAACAATATCAAACACGCCATCTTCCAGCCGTGTGATGGCGAGATGATCATCGTCCTGCACTTCCACCTCAAGGTGTGTGGGCTAGCTCATCCCTTATACTTTTACCTCCGAGTTTCCAGTGGTACAAAACCGAGATCATCTTTACCAGTGGCTGTTTGTTCTCTCCAGAACGCCATCATGTTCGGTAAGAGGCGCCACACAGACGTTCAGTTCTACACGGAGGTCGGGGAGATCACCACAGACTTAGGAAAACACCAACACATGCACGACCGGGACGACCTGTACGCCGAGCAGATGGAGCGCGAGATGAGACACAAGCTCAAGTCCGCGTTTAAGAACTTCATCGAGAAGGTGGAGACGCTGACGAAAGAGGAGCTGGAGTTCGAGGTGCCCTTCAGAGACCTGGGGTGAGCAGACAGGTGTGGAGGAAATGGGGAAAGAGGTGGTTTGAGAAGCAGGTGGGCTGATGTTTGGTCTGGCTTGGTCTTCAGGTTCCAGGGAGCCCCCTACAGGAGTAACTGCTTATTACAACCCACGTCCAGTTCTCTGGTCAACGTTACTGAATGGGTAAGAGGCTGTGCAGCACTTGAGAGGACTTTAGGTGGAGCTTTTAAAGGACAAACCAAATGTTTTCTCTTTAGCCGCCGTTCGTGGTGACCCTCGACGAGGTGGAACTGGTCCACTTTGAGCGCGTACAGTTCCACCTAAAGAACTTTGACGTGGTCATCGTCTACAAGGACTACAGCAAAAAGGTCACCATGATCAACGCCGTGCCCGTGAACTCACTGGACCCCATCAAGGAGTGGCTCAAGTAAGGCCAACCCCACAGCGCTGCGAGAACGAACACTGGTGTCGACTTTTGACGGACCGCTCTGGTTTCTTCCCCTCAGCTCGTGTGACATCAAGTACACAGAAGGAGTCCAGTCGCTGAACTGGACCAAGATCATGAAGACCATCGTAGATGATCCGGAGGGCTTCTTCGAGCAGGGAGGCTGGTCTTTCTTGGACCCAGAAAGCGAGGTGGGACGTTGTTTAGTTTCAAGAATTGTTGTTTTAAAATACGTTTGTAACGCATCTTCTCTTTCCAGGGAAGCGGTGCAGAGGAAGACTCTGAGTCAGAAATGGAGGATGAAACCTTTAACCCTTCCGCAGATGAAGAGGAGGAAGAAGAGGAGGACAGCGATGAGGACTACAGCTCAGAGACGGAGGACTCTGGTATGTTTTTATTTGTATTTAAACACGACTTGCTGATAACGTTGTGGTAAAAACTTTTGTGCTGTGTGTAGATTACAGTGCTTCTGTGGGCAGCGAGGAGGAGAGCGGGAAAGACTGGGACGAGCTGGAGGAGGAAGCGAGGAAAGGTCCGTATTTAGGTTGTCCTCGCCTCAAGTGGGAGGGGCTTGTGATCTCACACACGTCTAAACACTTCTGCTTTAGAGCTGTGTGAGAACACATGTTTGAGTGTCTCAGGTCTTCACTTTGTTCTCAGATGTTATCATCGTTGTTGTTGAAGATGCAAAAACTGCACGAATGTTTTAATGAGCCAATCGGAAGAGCCGTCACCGTCACATGTTCTGGATCACTTCCTGTGCCGGTTTATCAGCACTTTTATGACTTCAGTCAGATTTGCTTCTCCAGTCGGTTCTCAGACTCGCCATCTGCACTGATATTAACGAGTGATCAGGTTTATGTTAACAGCTGTGGTTACCGTGGTAACGGCTCAGCCCACCAATAAATGTCTGCTTGTTGTCTGACTCAGCTGACCGGGAGAGCCAGTATGAAGATGAGGACAGCTCCAACAGGAAGAGGAAGGGCCGGTCAGCACCTCCTCCCCCCACTAAGAAGAAGCGGCGATCCTAAACTCCTACCACACACACACACACACACACACACACACACACACACACACACTGCCAAATTTAGTTTACCTCCAAAATCTTTTTTTTTTTTACGCCCCAACTGGCTCTTTTGAGGCTCAAACTTCTCTCTCCGACACACACACTTACACACGTTCAAACCATTTGTACATAGATATAGAAGCCCCTCCCCCTTTCTTATATTTTTTAATAGTTGTTGTCAGTGGTGTTGTGTTGATGAAACAACCAGCAGGACAGTCACTTCATTCCTCGTTCTGTTTTCCCTCGTTCTTCAGGTGTGTGTGTGTGTGTGTGTGTGTGTGTGTGTGTGTGTGTGTGTGTGTGTGTGTGTGTGTGTGTGTGAGCACACAAGTGAGAATAAATACGATTTTATTGCAAATGGTGTTCTGTTCACAATTTTGTTTCTTAATGAATTAATAATAAAGACGTTTCTGCCAAGTGTTTTTATAGAAAAACAGAACCTGTCCTCCATGTTTTCTTCTGTTCTGAAGCCTTTTTTCATGTTCTGATGCTTTCTTGTCTTTAAACGGGGTGTGTAAACTTAACACGCACACACACACACACCATCTCGCCCACAGTTGTCCTGTTTCATATTTTGATCAGCAGAGTTGATATGATGATGATCTGTTTAATTCTGAAAATCCAGTTTTGTTGTTTTGTAATAAAGTTAAAAGGAACTAGTTTGCTTTCAGTGGCCGATTTGTCCTTTTTAAAAACATAATTTATGTCAAAGGGTTAAAAATATGAAAGCTAAACAATAAATGGTGATTTCTGACATGCATCTTTACCAGAATGTGGTTGGTTCATCCTAGTTATTACTGATCTAGTGTTTGCATGAAGAGGGTTGGTGTTCGTCTAGGGTTAGCTTAATGAGTTTACTATTAAACCTTACAAACACTGCTTTCAAGAAAATTCACTATTAAGCATTTTACAACAGACTTTAGTAGATAAAGGTTTATAAGATACTAATGTAAGGGAACTGCAGTTGCTGGTTCATGTCAGCAGGTGGCAGACTAGGACCCAATAACCTCTGCAATTATTGTAGTAAACTGTTAAGAAGGGATTAATTATTACAACAAAAAACAAAAGCATTCCAAACTATTTTTTTGCAGTTTAATTCTTATTTAGAAATTATGCACAATGACAACTTCTATTGTTTTGAAAAGGAACAGGATGAATCATGTATTTATTAACCTCTGAGATAACTTACAGAATTTGTAATAAATTGGAGGACAGTAAAGTAACGCTCCTCCATCAGTCTATATCTGGTAGAAATTAGTTCTTAGTATTAAAATTTAATTTGTATCGTGATTTAATTTTCTATTCCTTTTCCAGAATAAATTCTTGTCTTCCTGTGAACCCTTATTTTGTTGACTACATGAGTAACAGTCCTAAATTCTATTAAGTATTTTAGTCAAATAACATTTTGTTAGTAAATGTCTTTTCTTTTAAACTGACATGAACAAAAAGGCTGCTATAAAAGAAGGGAAAAGCTGCTACTGGAACCCAGAGGTAGGACTCTTAATTGAGGCCATTCGGGAAACTAAACTTCTGCAGAAACCATTCAAAATGGCGAAAATTATTTTAAAGTCCTGAATGTTTTTTTTTAAATGATAGTTAAATTAGTTATAAAATACTAAAATCTGATAAAGTTTACATCATCTGAGAAGAGTTCAAGGTTAAAACAAAAGGGAAAGAGAGGGAAATGTTTAAAATGGACTGATCTGATTAAGAAAAATTCAAATATAAATAATTTACCTGTGATTTTATAGAGAAGACCACGATGCAAACGTTCTGTACTTTTTATGAGCAAATAAATGTCTGAATGAGGGATCAAATCATCAAACATTTATTTATACAGAGAGACTGATTTGCATTCATTTAAACTCTCCTGAGAAAACAAGGACGTTTTTAAGCCCCATGTGACAACGACACATTTTAACCTCAAAGTTTAAATAGACATACCTAAACCCCCAAATCTTTATTTTAGTTTCACATTTGCAGGTTGTTTGTTCTCGGTTTTTTATTTGGGGCCTTTTATGGGTTTATAGGTTTTTGTAAATCGTAAACAAATATTCAAACCCACATCTGGTGCTTAAATAACGACAAAGTCAAACATGAGAGGAAGAATTATATTGCCAAGGAAATTCAACTTGGGACCATGAGGAACTTTAAAAATAAACAGATTTTAACGTTAATTATTTTATTTTGTAATCAACAATTCTAAATACAAAAACATAAAAACAAAGAAATACAGCATTCTTTTGACCCATTTACAGTCAGTTTTAATAGTTTTGGTAACACTTTACAATAAGAGTTCCTTTATTAATGTTACTTAGTGCCTTATTAAACATTTATAAACAAAGGACCCCTTTATTAATGCTACCATCATTAATAAATTAGAAGGTTAGGTCAAAGGGCCGAAGGGTGTGAACTCAGTAAAGCATTACATAATATGGTTAATCAGTTGTTAATAAATAAATTAATACATTAATTAATTAATTTAATTAATTAATAATACATTAATAACCTTCTAGAAGTTCCAAAGACCAGATATAAAAGTGGAGGTGATCGCTCCTTCCACTGTTGCACCCTGACTTTAGAATGATCTTCCTTTATCCTTACGTAGCACTGACAGTCTGGACACTTTTGTTTAAAGCTGCTTTCACATAAATCTTTTGTTTTCTTATTTTTAAATGGTATATGGCCTGTATTTGATATAGTGCCTTCTAGAGTTCTTTGAACCCCCCAAGGCGCTTTACAACACAGTCATTCACACGCTGGGGCGCGCTGACGGAGGCAAGGCTGCCGAGCACTGGCGCCACCGGTCCCTCCGACCACCACCAGCAGGCAACGTGGGTTAAGTGTCTTGCCCAAGGATACAACGACAGCGACACACTGAGCGGGGCTCGAACCTGCAACCTTCTGATTACGGGGCGAGCACTTAACTCCTTTGCCACCGTTTAACTCAAGTTTTTAATCATCTTTCAGCTGTTTATGAAATTTAGACTTTATTTTTTCTGATGTGAATCTATTCCTGTTTTGAGATCATTATGATTTTACGACTTTATTCGTGAAGCACTTTGTGATTCTGTCTGTGATAATAAAGGGACCGCTATTGTAAAGTGTTACCTTGTTTATTTTTTTATTCTAGATTTTACTGAAATTTTCTTGAAAATTTGTATTTTTCTTTTAAAGAAATGGTTTCACTGGGAGAAACAAGTAGTTGTCCCCCAACGGAACAAAACAACAACAAAAGAATAAATAAAATTAAATAAATAAATAAACAAGAATGAAGCATTGCGTTAAGCATCACAAGCATTAGACTAAATAAACAAACAACCAGAGATAGATATGTTTTAAATAAAAGTGTTAAGATAAACTATTACAAGCTGTTTGAACAGAAATGGAGAATAAAGTGGAGATCGTAAAAATAAATATTTATTTTAGGTTTTCCTATTTTTAAATACTTTTTTTCCACTTAGAGTAAATCTGTAAATAACGTCTGACTGTCCTTTCCCCGTGGTCCTGGTGTCCAGCTGGGAGCACGTTTGCAATGGTTTAGTTCATTTGCATATTGATCCATTTAAATCTGAACCAGAGCAGCAGGACACTCTGGGTCTCTCGGGTTTAGCAGAATCGTTTACTGTAAATCCCTTCCTGAAGATCTCTAGAAATCATGACACAGAGTCTGGAGCTTGTTCTGGTTTTGGGTAAGTCAAATAATAAAAACAGATAATGTGTGTTCTTGCATTTTATTATAATAAATACAAATAAAACATCTCAGGCCAAAATGAGATTTATTATAATAAGTTATTATGATTATTTTCAGGATCAATTCTTCTCTGTTTGAAGATCACTGATCAGGCAGGTAAGGAAGTTTGTAGTTTCTATGTTTGAAAATCCAGGTTTGGTCAGTTCTCTCTGATCCGGTTATCTGGTTCTGATGAGGCTGGTATGGTGTTCTCATGTGTCTGATTATTTATTTCACACCACGTTTAAACAATTAATCAGAGAAAATGTGAGTTTCTTTTTGAGAACTCTGAATTCTGCATCATATTAGTGAGGTAAAATATAAACATGATGAGTAGTACTTCTATTAATTATTATCATAAATGTGATATTAAACAGTTTCTTGTCTAACAAGATGATTCAAGAAGTGTTTTAATATGCAATATAATAATAATAATAATAGTAATAATAATAACATCATCATCATACTATGGTAATTTTGTGGTCCACTGATTTCCCTCTTTCCTATTCAATCTCTCTCTCTTTCTTTACATTTTTTAAATCAGAATTGTCTATTTTTGCTCATTTTAAATATATTTTTAATCATTTTCTAAAATCTTTTATATATTTTACATTTGTTGTTTTTGAGAAGCGCCTCATGAATTTTATCTTGAGAGGCGCTATAGAAAAGATCTTTTCTTCTTTTTCTTCAATAAGAAATAATTTTATTCCAAAAGAGAAATCATTATTAATTTGAAAGTTGTGTTGTGAAAAGGTCACCAAGATGCAGGAAATGCATTGTTCAATGTTCTTATTTCTAACTGGAATACAGGAGAGTCAAGCTTATAAGCTGTAACTGTCTATTGTTTAACGAGCAGAAATTTAACAACAATAGACAGCTGCAGCTTAAGCTTGACTCTCCTTCATTCAGTCAGAACTGACAAAGCTCCTCGGATGAGAAGTGAAACGTCTTTTAGAAACCAAAAAAGTCCAGTTGCCTTCATTTGTACCCTTTTGGATCACCGTGACCTGGATGACTGAGAACCGTCACCAGCAGATTTGGAAGCTGATTTTTACCACTTTGGTGAAAGAAAAGTTCTCATAATTATGATTTATTATTTCATAATTATAAGAAATTATCTCATAATTACTCCTTAGACCAGGAGTGTCCAAACTTTTTAATAGTCAAGTAAATATATATATATATATATATATATATATATGCATACACTTTTTTTGTATAGTTTTATGGTCCATTTTAAATTGGTTCTCTTTTTAGTATTCATCCTAAATAGAAATAAAATCTGAACATTAAAATGTTAGAAATGGTTGTCCAACACCCTACTGGAGAGTCAAATGTAATCTTTCTAGAAATGCAATTGGGGCTCACACAAAAACACTCCGAGGGCAACAAACGGGCCCCTGGCCACACTTTGGACATGCCTGCCTTAGACCCTATTTCATACACACCAGATATGGTATAAGAATGGGCTTTTTGTCATCAAAGTGGCAGTAAGAGGGTTTCATAGAATAGAACAAAATGGTTATAATAATGTAATGATATGGATATTATTGTGTTAAAATAAACATTTCTAAACATTTTTTAACAATAGTTTTTAGTTCAGGTGTTTATTCCCAGTTGGAAGGATGCCCTTTAACCACTGGGTGGAGCTGTGAGTGTAGTGTTTCCTTTATTTTCCCCAAATTATTTAAAAGCTGAAAAAAATAAAAATGAAATTGTCATTGCATTTTTCTTGCTGTGGGTACCAAAAGGTAGGAGTGGGCTTTTAAAAATCAGCTCAATAACTTCTTCTGTTGTCCTGATGCCCCCTGCCAGATAATGTGGCTCCCAGGGGCAGAGCTGCACAGTCTGCAGGACCGGCTTCTGTAGCAACTGGTCCAGAAATGGCCATTGATTCCTACAAAGACCCACAACACTCAGGAACAACCTGTGCCTCCGTCCCAACCCAGGACGACCCGTGGTGGCGGGTGGATCTGATGAGCATCTATCACATCACTGCTGTGTCCGTCTTCAGCGAGCAACACTGCTGCCAGGAGCAGCTGGACGGTGCAGAGATTCGCATCGGCCTCAGAAACGACACCAACAACCACAGGTGATGTCAGCAAGAGCAATAGAGGGTTTACTTCCTGGAAGAACATTGAGTTAAATCTCATCCTTTGTGTACATGCATGCCCAGGTGTGCCATCATATCTGCAGCTGAGGGCCACACTGAGTATGGCTACCAGTGTGGAGTGGTGTTAGGACGCTTTGTCTACGTTGTTCTTCCTGGGCAACAGAGAAATCTGACTGTTTGTGAAGTACAGGTGTATGGCACTGTGCTTGGTGAGCGAACAAAGACAAATTATTTTATGATAATTCAATGAAAGGAGAGTTTATCAAGTCTGGAGTAATGTAGATAAAAGTCCCTTTACTTTATAATTATTTGGTTTAAAACTTTATTGTATGTGTTTATTATAGGGATTGCATGTTTCTGGTTATAAAGTTATAAACCATTCTTCTTACCTGTTGTGGCCTCTGATCAGAGAAATACACCTCATCCATAGGATTGATGAGCTACTGGCTAGTCTGAATGCAGCTAATAAAAGTTTATTTTAACCCTTTTGAATTAGCTTCAATGTGCAAAATTTTATAGCCGTTCATGGGAAATATAATTTTTCTACTTTACACCTTTGTCAAATTTGCTAAAACTATTTTCTAAAAGACAAAATTTTCTGCGATAAAGTCATTTGTTTTGCTACTAGTGATATTTATACCAAACCTTGGTGCCGCTGTTGCTAACTGCTCATAAAGAACCACGTCTGGTGAGTATGACGCCAATGTAAAGGTTAGACCGTAGCTTTTTAAGACAACACAACTAAGATCTTGGCTAACTTGAGCTAATTGTTTACACGTTATTCCTAAAAGTCGTAAACTCTTTTTTTTAAACGGACGCTTTTCAAGAAGTTTTCTACAGTTGGTGAGATGATATTATTTGTAACTTTTACACTGAAAAACACTTGAGTTTGTCATTCATTCTTGATCCTGTGTGACGTTAGAGAATGTGGCTTTGAGGGGAGTGGCCTACCAATCTTCCTCACAATGGAAGACAGCAGGAAAAGCCAGCAATGCCATCGACGGCGTTCAGTTCTCCACCTGCTGTGTGACTCAAAACAAACCTAATCAGTGGGTGAACGTTGATCTGGTGGTTCCTTACAACATCTCTGTCATCCAGCTTGCCTTCAAAGAAGACTGCTGTTATGATGTGGAGGTCCATGTGGACATTACAAGGTATGTTCTTTTAGAAAATAAGGATAAAGTAAAATGAAGTTGTTTTGTAATGGTTAAAAGACCAAAATCACTTTCAGTCCAAAAACATTGTTACTGTTCTTTATTAGAAACTAAAGCCTTATTTATACTCCTCCGTCTTTGTGGGTACGGAGACACACAACACCATTATGCATCAACTCAAGGCCTCTGCAGCAGACTGTCCTTGAAAAGCAACAGAGCCCAGTAGTTGGTCAGGACACTACTTCCTTTAAAGGTGCATTATGTAGAAACAAAGTAAAAAAATCACATCCTGTGGTCAAATTTGGTTACTGCAACCACTTTAAACAAATCTGGAGCTTTTTGCCGGCCGTCATCAAATTACAATCGTCAACATTGCAGTATTAGCTCGCAGGAGACGCGACAACACCACACGCACTGAGGGTAAACAGTAACTATGTCCCTCCTTCCTTTGCTTTAAAAGGAGAAAAACTGACAATCCCTACAGCTGGATATGAAATGTGTTTCAGTATAACCTTCCTTCTAAAGTGACAAAAATATTAAGACTCTTTTAGGATTTTCTCACTGTAAAATTCTCACTATATTCTTACATACTGCACCTTTAAATTAATTAGTAATACCGCCACTCCCCCCTCAAAAATATGGAGTACAAAAATGGCTTCGAGGTGGCGACTGCATGAAGAGGTGGATGAGGCACAATTGTGTCCATGTTGAAAAGTCTCTAAAATACATAAACACAAAATAAATACCTATGCAATAGTAAATACACTATTGTACACTGGAGACATAACTGCAATGGTGGGGGATACCCCAGAAAAGTGCTTTGCCGTTTGTCATCCATGCGAGGAATTGCTTTACACTCCCCAGGTGATGGAGAAGTCTGAAGGGAAACGGTGTCTGTAATTGCATGTGCTCGACTCCGGACTCGAGCTGACGGAGAAGTATAAATAAATCAGGCTTAACAATAGGCATACACATCAATTTGAAATTGGGTGTTTTTCAATAGTGGCAGTGGCCATGTTCACCTGTTGCAGGTGCTCAGGTACCTCCAGCAGTTCCCAGTCTCTGATGACCTTGGATTGTGGTGGGATTGTTGGTCGCACTGTGACGGTGTTCCACCCTGATGTACCACTGACTCTGTGTGAGGTGGAGATCTTCAGCACGTGGAATCATCCAGGAAACATATTCCAACAGAGACCCCCTACCTCTGGTAAACAGCTGATGTAGTTTCATCAATGTCTTCATTAGGGTATTTTAGGTATAATTTGAGCAGTTTTTCACATTTGCAGATGATGCTTTGATTTACATTTTTTTATGAAATTGCTAAACTAATTTACTTGATTGCTTGCTAACATCTTTTTTTGTTTTTCACACTTTTGTGTTATTGATGTGAGGTGACATAGCAGTACTCTGGTGTTTACGTCTTGCGCTTCATGCTAATAATGTATTTCTTTCCTCAAATAAATGGACAGTGTTGCGTGATGCCAGTAGCTCCACCCTAACTTCACCTTTCCATTTACCTATGGGGTCCCAGGAATGGTGCCGTACGGGTTGGTTGTATGGGCCACTTTTACAATGGAAACAGACCAAATACTGTAGGGTACGACCCACAACATACCCCTCAGTGGGAAAGAGGCACAATAAGCTTTCGTGAAAAGACCCATCAGATGTTAACTAATAAAGTTGTTAGTGAAATGTTTTGTTTTATCCACAGATTGCTGCTCCTCTGATTCCTGCAGCTGTGACTATGTGTTCCTCGGTAAAGAGCCGATGACGTGGTCTCAAGCCCAAACCTACTGCAGAGAGCGGTACTCTGATTTGGCCATCGTTAACAATCCCAAAGATATGAACATAATCGTAGACAACATGGATAAGAACAACCTTTACAGTTTTTGGATCGGGTTGCATGAAAACGAGTTAACCTGGAGGTGGTCAGCGCCTGAAGAGCTTTACTATAATGACACTAAAGCCGAGTTCTGGAACTGGGCTACTGGTGAACCCAACAACCAGATGGACATTCCACATTGTGTTGGTATAGAAGACACCGGCAGATGGCGGGACCTGGACTGCAGCCTTCTTTACTGCTTTATTTGTTTTGATGGTAACACCACAACAAAGCTTTTCTATTTTATGCATTTAGGCTTGTTTTCCAGATATAAACATTTCATATTGATTAAGTTTTAAATTTGGCACAAATCCAAAAGCTCTTCAGTTTTTTTATGTGATTTTAATTCTTTATTGTGACTCATTAAACAAAACACTTCACATTTTAGAGTATAAATCAAACTTAGTCCTACGTTTTCATCATAAGATTTCCTGATATGATACCAAGAGTATTTCACCTTCACAGGCCAAGATGGTGCACCTCAAGCCAAAGTTCTCGTGCAGACACCAATGAGATGGACTGATGCTCGACAGTACTGCAGAGAGGAACACACAGACCTGGTCGGAGTGAGAACATCAGCTGAGAATGAGGAACTCCAGAGCATGGTCCCGTCAGGAATGCTGGTCTGGATCGGTCTTTATGGAGACGCCTGGAAGTGGTCCGATGGACAGGACAACCTGTTCAGATACTGGGAGAAGGGTCAACCGAAGAACTCTGGGAATGGATTGAGCTGTGCCTATGTTGGTGGAGGAGCATGGACGACTCAGCCCTGTGACACAAAGTCTTCTTTTCTGTGCTACTGTGAGTTTTCCTTGATGCTACAGCAAACATTTTAATAAACTTTATAGGATTTTCCATTAAAGCTGTTTTATTTTAACAATTTATTTAATTAAATAAAAAAATTAAATCTGGATTTACAAAGCTGAAACAAACCAATCTTTTGTTATTGCTTACAAATACAGTAAATATATCCTGACAGTTATTTACATATTTACTTTTTCAGACTATAAGAAGAGGACAGTGGTGAAAATCAGCACTGATGCAAACTTGTGTGACCCTGTCGTCAAGCAACACATCCAAAAACAGGTGAGATAGAGGGATTAGCGCCAGCCTGTGTGAATGTTTTTAATAATGTTTTTTCACAAACCAAAACATGACTAAATGTATTAAGGATTTTTAGATTTAATAAACATGAACTGTTTTCTAGCTGGAAGCAAGGATGAAAAACAATGGCATCAGTAACTTTAAGATCCACTGGAAGACATCTGGGAGACAACTTTACTCCAAGGGACAAATATCACAGTAAGACTCTTTGTTGTATAAAGGTGGCAAAGTAAATAAATCACAACTATTGCTATAGTTACTTTGGCTACAAGTGTAGAGGTGAGTAGAAAACTACCAGGTAATAGAATATTGGTGCTAGAGCAAATAAACAACATTAGCTCCCCCTTGAGCCGATCGGAAAGGGAGGGGACTTAGGCTCCCTATTTACCGGTAGTTAGAGTGAGTGGGCGGAGCTTACAGCCCCACGTACCAAATGACCATAAAAAAACAACATAGCAGCCCTTGTAAACAAAATGTTTTGGTCTTACTATTCACTGATGGAGGAAGCTGGAGATACCTGGTCTATTGTCATACATGTCTATGGTTTATACGGTGATATGGATATGGCAGCTTCAGCAGCAGAGCTGATTCTGGTGTTGTATGGCCACTTATCAGGGTTTAGACATCTGAGAGCCCCATGAATGTTTCATATACTTCATAGAGGCTCAAAGCATTGTTTCCCATTGTTAATAAACAGCATTCTAGCACACCTTTAATGTGGCCATGAAACTTGCACAGTGTCATGATAAAAATTCAATATTTACATTTTAGGTGATGTTTTTGAAGTTAGGCCTGTGGTTTCCAAAATAATGCTTCACATTAAAAACTAATAGTTTTTTTTACACGTCTGTTAAATGCAGCTGAAGCCATCTAAACTGAGGGTGTTTTTCATCTTTCACAGGTGTGTGAATCCTGAAGATGGTGAAGTCTGAAGACTCAAGAAGGACTACAAAAGACACTGAAAGAAGAGGAAATGTTTTATTGTCTTCATTTTTTTAGAAACCAGGGAGCTTTTTGCAGTTCTTCTAGCTGTGCATCTGCGATGTAGCGTCTGTGTCTGAATCTGTTTAAAGGGATTTTTTCCCATCTTTTATTTCATTTAAAAACATAGTAACTTTAAAAATAATAAAAAGAATAAATACAACTTACAATGCTTAAATGAAAAGGAGCAGATAGACGAAAATCTTGTATGTAATCTGCCCCATTCACAGCCTTAGAAAAAAATAAAGACATACTCACTAACAAGGATTACTGAGACAGCTGCCAAGCAGCTTGCCACTAATCAACTAACAATCCTTGAATGGAGTTTCAATACCTTAGCTCGAAATCATTGTTGATCGATACAGGAAAAAGAAAATTAAAAGAAAAATACACTCAAGAGTATTCCATATAATTTCTTAACATATGGTTTTTTACATTCTGTTTGAACATTATAATTGATTTGGCCTCTTTCATTGCGTATTCCAGACTGTTCCATATCCTGACTCCATATACAGAAACACAGTGCTCCAACTTTTTAGTCCTAAATCTAGGTTTTATAAATATCTCGTACTCTTTTAAATCGTAGCAACTTTGTCTTTTTTCAAATTTCATTAGAATATTTAGTGGTAATGATTTTTTGTGAGCTTTATACATGAATTTTAATATGTTATGATACACTAAATCTGGAAACTGGACCAGACGATGCTCTATAATTACTCTGAGTAATGATTCTTATGACTCTTTTTGTAGTAACAAAAGTGAGTGTGTATGAGTTTTATCTTTTGTTCCCCAGAGTTCAATACAATAAGTCATATATGGTGCAATCAAGGAATTACATACTTGAAGTAATGCTTTTTTATTTAAAAAATATTTTATTTTATGCAGTAAACCAATTGCTCTTGCTATTTTTGTTTTTACACCATTAACATGTGGCTTCCATGTAATATCTTCATTGATAATGACCCCTAGAAAAGTAATTTCCTTCACTCTTTCAATTTTAAAAATTTCTATAACTAATCACATGTCACTATTTGCTCCTCTTGTTCCAAATACCATAAACTGAGTTTTCTCAAGATTCAGGGATAGTTTATTGACGTTAAACCACTGTTTCAGTTTTACTAGCTCTGACTGAGTTACTTCTCTCATATGTTCTAGATTGTCACCTGCATAAAAGAAGGTTGTATCATCAGCAAATAAAATGCAATTCAACAATTTAGATACACTTGTGATATCATTAATATATATGTTAAACAGTTTAGGGCCTAAAACGGACCCTTGAGGAACCCCACATGAAATATTACATGTGTCTGATTTAACATTGTGTCTCTGTACATGTTGTTGCCTGTTTCTTAAATAACTTATAATCCAGTCAAGTGCCACCCCCCTGATTCCATACTTGCTAAGTTTTCCATACAGAATGCTGTGATTTATGGTGTCAAACGCCTTCTTAAGATCCACAAAAATACTTCCTGTATTATTCTTTCTATCAGTTTCTGTGGAGATAAATTCCATTAATTCCATCAATGCCATTGATGTTGAATGATTGGCTCTAAATCCATTCTGACTACTACTCAAAATATTCTGTCTGTCCAGAAATGCATCTAGTTTGGCAACAAATATTTTTTCTAATATCTTTGAGAACAGAGGAAGCAGGGAAACAGGTCTATAATTTGTAAATATATGTTTGTCTCCATTTTTATACAGTGGAATTACTTTGGCAGTTTTCATTTTTCCTGGAAATACTCCAGTTGATAATGATAGATTACATATATAGGTAATATATATATATATATATATATGTATACAGGTCTGACACAATCTATAATTTCTTTTACCAGTGACATGTCCAAGTCATCACAATCAACCGATCTTTTACTCACACATTTATTTACTATCTGTGTTATTTCATTTTTCCCAACCTCATCCAAAGTCATACTGCATACATTATCTATTATGTTATCACGTCCATTCTCCTTTGTATCAGGAATATTTTTGCAGGATTTATACCTGTACTTGCAAAAACCGAGTTAAATTCATCCACTAGTTGTTCTGTTGCATTAATATCTGTATTTTCTTTAACAAAATAATTTGGAATCAATGACTTACCTTTATCCTTCTTTACAACCCTATTTATTATCCCCCATGTTGCCTTTATATTATTACTATTTTTATTTAGCAAATCACTATAATATGCTTTTTTTTGTCTTCTTATTATAGATACTAGTTAATTTTTTATATATTTTGCACCTGTTTTCTGCATCTGTTGTTCTCAATTTTAAGAAGCTTCTGTATAAGTAATTTTTCTTCTTAAAGGCATTCTGTAAACCTCTAGTTATCCATGGTTTACTGACCTCCTTAATCTTGTCCAGCTGCTTAAATTTACAGTTTTTGGTACAATTTACATAATAAACTTATGAAGGAATCATAGGCAATGTTCACGTCTTTTACATAAACAACTCTGTTGATCCAAATCTTTTTTAAGGGCCACCAAGGTCTTTTTTTTTTACCTATCCCTTACTTGTTTTCCTGGCAAGTCACTTGATATATCTTGATACTGTTTATATACTGTAAAAACTGGTAAGTGGTCAGTAAGATCAGACATCAGGATCCCACTTCCCCCCACTCCCTCTAGCACATTTGTAAGAATGTTGTCAATCATCGTAGCACTTAGTGCCGTAATTCTTGTTGGTTTATTTATCAGAGGGATTAATCCCACACTACACATTGAATTCACAAAGTCATTTGCTTTTCCTGACCCAACTTGGTTACGCAAATCAACATTGAATTCCCCAGAAACACACTCTTATTACCGTTTCTGTCGAACAGCTCCGTCACTTTCTCTGTGAATACATCTGACTTCTTTCAAATCTCTACTTAAAGTAGGAGCTGAAGCTAGCCTGTCTGTGATGGGGCTGCATGCAGTGGTTAGCACTGTTGCCTCGCAGCACGAAGGTTGCAGGTTTGAAACTCGGCTGCGGCCTTTCTGCGTGGAGTTGCATGCTCTCCCCATGCATGCGTGGGTTTCCTCCGGGTACTCCGGTTTCCCCCACAGATCACAACATGCACTATAGTTATAAATTGTAAGTCACTTTGGATAAAAGCATCTGCTAAGTGAATAAACGGCATGTAACGGCAGGAAGTTAACTCCACATGTTGGTGCCAGAGCTGGACCAGTTTTCTTAGTTTTCGAGGAGTGTTGTTTAACAGATCAATCAGCAGTTGTTGTCATTACTTCCTAGTTTTTATTAACAACCATTTTGTTTAAAAATCTCAATAAGTCAACCACTACATCAATATAGTATAAGTTTCTGTTTCAGTCATAGTTGATAAAACAGGGTTTGACTCATGTCAACTTCTTTTCAGTCAAACAATATGAGGATATAGCAGGTGGAATAATCTGGCCCCACTTGCTTCTCTCTAAATAACTTTTGTTTTAAAACAAACTTCAGCTTTCTCTGCTGCTAAAATGTTCTGATTTAGTCCTCTATGGCTGTTTTAAGTGGATATTATTTAAAGAATATTAATGCAAAACAGTTATTTCTATTATAAACCCACACTTAGCTTTTAAATCCATATTCTTTGTTCTGGTTATTTTTGTTTCCTAATATGAAAGCAGTTGTTTATGATTTTTTGTGTGATTTCCTCCTTTGACTGCTCCACCTGTTCGTTGTATTTAGATTTAGGTATTTATTCACACAAGAATTTCAGTTTCCTTGTGTCAACATGTCATAGTTTGACCAGCACCTCCTAATCAGCTTTGTGATTCACTTTCAGTTTTACTGAAATACAAGTGAGTCCGTACCTGTGATGCCCCCACAGGTCAAAACCAGTCCCTCCTGCTTTGCATCAACTGCTGTTTTTATACGATGATACAAATATTTTACATGTATTTTGGTTATCTGAGAAAAAGGATTTAATGTATGTTGTGTATTGGACTGGCCCACTTTGGGCAATGGCCGACTGGGAAGTGCCAGATGACCAACCCACTCCTGATTAGAAAACACCTTTCTTTGCACTAATTAAAATCACTAATTTACAGTCTTATTTGTCACAGTTACCTCAAAACTGCATTATCTTTACAAATAAAGTTAATGACAAATGGCCTGTATTTGATATAGCGTTTTCTAGAGTCCAGGAACCCTCCAAAGCGCTTTAGAACACAATCAGTCATTCATGCATTCACACCCTGGTGGTGATGAGCTACAATGTAGCCACAGCTGTCCTGAGGCACACTGACAGAGGCGAGTCTGCCGTACACTGGCGCCACCGGTCCCTCTGAACACCACCAGCAGGCAAGGTGGTTTCAGTGTCTTGCCCAAGGACACAATGACTGTGACAGACTGGGTGGGGCTCGAACCTGCAACCTTTAGATTAAGGGGTGAGAACTTAACTCCTGTGCCACCGTCACATGGGCCTCATTTATCAAACATTGCGTAGAATCCTTACTAAAACCGTACTTAAGCTCAGCAAAAAAAATGTACTTACGCCAAGTAGGTTTGTGATCTATCAAACATGGAGTACGCACAGCTGCACGCAATCTCCGCTTCATAAATAAGAAACTATCTAGAATGTTTCTCAGCTGCGTTTTAGTCACATCCCGCCCTCACCACGCCCACTTACTGCCATAAATAGTCAATGCAAAGTGCCTTGTGGATCTCATGCATATACATAAGCCAGCTGTTGCAGCGCTCCACCAATGACATGGTGACTGTAGATCAATGCAGATCAAGGAAGCGCAATTTCACAGAAGCAGAAATTCAGTTACTTGTGGGTGTGGTGGAGAAATGAAAGGAAGTGCTTTTGCAAAACAAATAAGAGAAAATCTATGGAGTGGCACAGCGTTGCTGAAGCCGTCAATGCTGAGTTCTTCAGAGAGATCTGGTGGATATAAAAAATGGTCCAATCAGGATTCGATTCCCAGACTCCCGGGTGGAAGTCACATGTGCTAACTAATCAGCCAAACGGAAATCTTCCTTGTCCAAGTAACCAGGGTGCATCATCAATCGGGTCACAGTGACAGGACACACACAGTCACAGACGCATGACATTCTGTCTCAATCTGTCCCCCTGCTGATATTCTGCATTCCGTATTCTGCGCTTCAGGCTGTGTTTGTGTGAGCGCACGTGCGTGTGTGTGTGAGTGTGCGCGCATGTGTGTACGCACGCGGGGTCTTGTTCTGTGTGAAAACGAAGCAGTACAAGTGATAATGCTGCAGGATTTCATAATTTTATCCTTCTCAGCAGCAGCAGCACTGCAGGTGCTCTCCATGTCCAAAATGAGCATAAGCAAGGTCCTTTGTCAACTTGAAGTTGGGCACATTTTTCCGCTACGTTTTCTTTCTTTTTTGATGAAACAGAACTTACAGCATGTCTTCTACAGTCAAAAGTAAACAGATCAAAAGAAAGAATTCAAAGAATGAAGAGGGTGTGGTTAAAGTTGTTAATAAATACCGCCTTCTTGAGTCAGTCACCTGCAAACTGCTGGGAGTCAAACAGGTAAGCGATAGCTCTGTGCTCATCATTGTGTGTGTGTGTGTGTGTGTGTGTGTGTGTGCGCGCGCGTGTGTGTGTGAGAGACATTGACGAAGGAAATAGATGTAATACATAATTTATTTGATCATATATATTTACTGATGAAACTCATCATTTTTTATTCACATTATGCTTATAGTACATTTATATACTTCATACATGCACATTTGAACTAAACTAATCATTTTAAACCTATATTATAATGAGGAGAATACATACTGTTCAGCCCGATACCTTTATATAACACTGTGGCCAGATAATTATTATTTTTAATGGACCTGTTGATGTAATGTGATGTTTTTCTAATATCTCCAAAATGTGGCTGTAATTAATTCAGAACCTTGTTTCTCATCGTTAGCCACTGGCCATCAGTCCTGTTGAAGCAGCTCACACAGACAGATTTTAACGATCTTATTTTACCACTTAAACCAACTTCAGAGTGGCTGAAAAGTCAAGAAACTGAACAGATTATAAAAGTGTTTATTTTGTGTTTTTATTATAAAATCATATTAATTTTGTGCACTTATCCAGGCGATTTCAGAGTTTGACAAAAAAGCAGCATCTTACCGGAGCCAAAGAACAAATAAAAACACACGATCAGTCTGTCGCTGTTGGAAAATGTTTAAAATATTTGAAAAACAAAGAAGTCACAGAGCTGCTGCACATGTCCTAACCCCTTCTCATTTGACTTTCAGAAGACTATAAAACTGGGAGCAAACCTTTTAAACAAAGTGAAAATTTGTGACTGAACCCAAATGTAAAGCTGCACAACTATCACATATCACAAAGTAAACCTCAGCAGTTTGATTCCTGCTGAAATTTTGCACATTTTCTCTCATTGTTGTTGCAGACAGCTGCAGTCCAGTGAGACACCGGTTCCCTTCAAAAGCTCTCTGATGGCACACAGACGTAGTCCAGCTTGTGATGGTTCTGAGTTGAAACTACTTGATAAACACTGTTCTCTTCACCTTTCAGGTTTTTGGACACTGGTGATCTTTTTCTATAAAGCTGAATCAAAGATGGAAAACAATTCTGTAGAAATGATGGCCCCTGACATCGTTGAACAGGAAGGTGACTTGGAACAAAAGATAAAAGCGTAAGTGCGGGATAATCTACGATCCACTAACACAAGGTTGTTCTCTATGATGGCTCTGCTGAATGCATGTATTCCTGAGTCCTACCT